TACTGGATCCAACAGCATTCCACACTTGGCACAGGTAACAAACGTTTGTCAGTTGAGTTTTTCAATTGATTGCCTCCAAGTCTGTGATGGTGGGAAATGATCAAAAAGCTCATCTACATATGAAGGAACTGTACCTGGACATTGATCAAAAGGCGCAGTTGGATCTTATACGTTATCTGCTCAGACTCAGTAAAATCTTGACTTTTATTTCAATATCTACCAATGTGTGCTGCATTCTCATGCCTCCTACAGTCATGGAAAAACCGATTCTGTTGCATGTCATTCAATACAAGCTATGCTCTAACAATTATATACTGTGTTGCCACAAATCTTTGGTTTTCTCACAAATAAAATCATTGTGAGAATCGTGTCAAAAAGGTTAAAGTACAGCGGGTCTTCGGTTCCATGGTGTAATGGTTAGCACTCTGGACTCTGAATCCAGCGATCTGAGTTCAAGTCTCAGTGGAACCAAATTGGTTAAATGCTTCTCAAGTGTTCTGTCACAAGAAGACAATTGGTGAGGAAATTTATAATCATTAAGTATTTCATATTTTCTGCAAATCTTTGAAAGTTTTTTCATTTGTTTCTGAAAAATGTCTTAGGACATTATTGATTGCCTCTTGCAATGCATTAATTGATTTTGGAGATGGAACCAAGGGTCTTATTATGCTCTTCGTAATACTGTATCGAATGAGAACGGATGCTGACATCCACAAATCAAACTTCCAATCTTGCAAATATCCACTTTGTTTAATGCAAGTGATGGTGCTCTACACAAGAATTTTGCCCTTTGCAAATGGTTGCTAGTATTTCACTGATTGATAGTTTGACCATTGTGGGATTGCTGCGGGAATGGTTCCAAGTCCTCAATTTATGGATCTATGAACAAGCACATTGCAGTCCAGTCATATTTAGTATTCTTTCCACTATACTTTCAAAGTTCTAGGGTTTCATGGTGTAATGGTCAGCACTCTGGACTTTGAATCCAGCGATCTGAGTTCAAATCTCAGTGAAACCTTTGCCTGTTTTGATATCTAGGACAATCAATGGTGTACATGATTACTCTTTGAAATTTTCATTGAAGGAATCATGAAATTTATTACTTGATTTGAAATGATGAAATGAGAAATTGTCTTTTTTCAATATGCAAACCAATTCAAAGTGTTTCTCCCACTCATAGACTTTGCTGAAACCCAGGATTGAACCAGGGACCTTTAGATCTTCAGTCTAACGCTCTCCCAACTGAGCTATTCCAGCTGACAAAACTATTCATTCACCCAAAAATGCCAAGTGACTATACTGGATCCAACAGCTTTCCACACTTGGCACTGGTAACAAACGTTTGTCAGTTGAGTTTTTCAATTGATTGCCTCCGAGTCTGTGATGGTGGGAAATGATCAAAAAGCTCATCTACATATGAAGGAACTGTACCTGGACATTGATCAAAAGGCGCAGTTGGATCTTATACGTTATCTGCTCAGACTCAGTAAAATCTTAACTTTTCTTTCAATATCTACCAATGTGTGTTGCATTCTCATGCCTCCTAGTCATTGCAATCCAGTCATATTTAGTATTCTTTCCACTATGCACTGAAGCTTGAAGGGTTTCATGGTATAATGGTCAGCGATCTGAGTTCAAATCTCATTGAAATCTTTGCCTCTTTTGATATCTAGGACAATCAATGGTGTCCAAGATTTCTCATTGAAATTTTCATTGAAGGAATCATGGTATTTATTATATAGCACATAAATGTTAAAAAGCACTGGACCTAAAATTGAACACTGGAACACACCACATGAGATGCTGTGGCCCCCAGAGGAACAGGTATCCAAACTTACCATAAAAGTCTTGTCTGTGAGGTAGGAAGTTAACCATCTATGAACAGTACCAGAGAGTCCGATCTGTTTCAAACGAGTTAAAAGAATAGTGAGGTCTACTGTACCGAAGGCAGCACTTAGATTGAGTAGAACCAACACAGTCACCCTCCGTTTATCATAATTTACACTTAAATCATTCAAAATCTTCAGAAGGGCCATCTTGGTGCTGTGGTTCACCCTAAAACCAGACTGAAATTTCTCTAGGACATTATGAGTGTTGATAAAATCACTAAGTTGAATTAAAACAAGCTTTTCTAAAATTTTGCTTAACCCTCTGGAGGCAGGCGTTGCAAATGGCAAGTTGGATACCGGTTGGAATTTGTTTAAATCATTAAAATCTAAATCTAAATTGCTCTTCTTCAACAGCGGTCTCATCACCGCTCGTTTAAAAGTGGCAGGAAAGACCCCTGTCTGAAGGGAGCAATCCATCGAAGGTAAAATCTCATCTCTAAAAGAATCATAAAATTTTTTTAAAAAACCTAGTGGGAATAGGGTCCAGCGCTGACGTCGTTAGGTCCATTTTAGGGGGGCTTCAGCCCATCATTTTGAGTTTTTTTAGGGCTGGGACTTTAACGCGTTATTATGATTAATTAGAAAAAAACGACACGTTAAAAAATTTCACGCATTTAATCGCATCTTGCATTTCGAGCACGACGGAACCTTTGTCATTGCACGACTTCCTCGTAGACAGAATATCACTGACGCACACAACAATGCACAGTGCTAATGGCTACTAACGGAATAAAAACAGAAAGAAGTTGCCTTGCTTGGACTGATGTAGGATTTAGGAAACCCGTCCGCCTCTTTTCTTAACTTGAAAAAAACAAACGTCCAGACAACAACGGAGTCCGTGTCGCGGACATTTTTCAGAGATCTTCTCTGCTGCGGCTGCCCGATGTCACCGGAAACTTTACAAAAGTTGCGGTAAGCTATATTTTTAACATTTACCTAACATCTGTGCAGCGCTGAAAGCACCAGACAGAATAATTCTGTGCCCTAACAGTAGTTTATGAAAGTACTCAGACAAACGAGAGGCACCTGGCTGCCGCTGGGAGAACGCTCCGTGTTCTCACTACCCTGTAAACAATCACAAACAATGTGTCAAAGTTGAAAACAGAAGTTTAAGTTAAAACAGAAACACTCTGAAACTTTTCTGATGATTTTCTAAACAATGCTGTCGGGGTATTATGTTTCTGAGACGAGTCACTGTCTAAACATCACATGCATTACTATCATTAAGCAGCGAGGTGTTTTGAAGCTGTCATCAGCTAAGGGGCGGATGCTTTAGTGCATCAGGGGCAGCGAGGAACGAGAAAGTTGTGATCAGGCTGGAGATCACACCAGATTTGCTGCTGCAGGCGTGAATCTGCGGGTCTGCAGCATCCCCTTCTTAACGTGACATCAAAACTTCCCATTTAAGGAAGGTCCGCTCACCTGTTCGTCACATCATTATTTCCTCGCCATGATCTTTTATCTTCCCATCAACCTCCAGTCATCCAACTGGAACCAGTTAGTGTTCCTGATCATTCTCAGAATATGCCATGCCTGCTCTGGTGTTAAAAGTTAGTACATTTAAGTCCTAGATCATATTTGTGCCTGTTCTACTGTCATTTTGAAGGATTATTATTTATGTGATTTTACTACATTATGAGTAGAAATGCTAATAAAAACTCCCATTTATACAAATAAGTGAAACTGGAAAAATTAGAATCTGTTGCAAAGTCAAATTTATTTCAGTCATTCAACTAGACAGAGAGACTATTTAAAGGCTCGGGAACCCTTTGCAGGCATTTTCTATTTGTAATTATGAATTTTAGTTGATTTGGGTCTTGTTTCATATCACACAGTGACATTTGATTAATTAAAATGCATTTTTTTATTAAAAGCTTTAGTTTTACAGTAATAACTATGTCTAATGTTTAATTCTCTGTCTCATAATTTTAATTAAGTTTTGCTTTGAGAGCACATTTTCCTGAACGATTAAAATGCGATTAATTTAGATTAATTAATTACAAAGCCTCTAATTAATTAGATTAAAAATTGTAATCAAGTCCCAGCCCTAATTTTTATATATACTGTTATTTTGTCTTGTAATTGTTAATTACATACTCCTTTATTCCATATCATATCAGTGTTATTCATATATTAAAACTGTCAACTGCACACTCATTTGACAGAATAAAAGTTTGACAATTATTCATTTGTTCTTTGTCATATTTCAGTAACATTTATAATTAAGCAAGTTGTAATTAAACAAATTAAACAAATGACTGCAACATTTCCCCCTGTTAAGTGCAGTAGAATGAAATGAATAGCTTTATTTGGAAATATAACATACCTCATTTTTAATGGACTTATATAAAATCTTTCTTCAACATAGATCCCACTAATGAATTGATTAAGTGTTATTTTTTATAAAAAGAAGAGAGGAAATGCACAAAGGTAGGAAAGGAAAAGAAAGTGATAAAATAATAGGTTTTGTTAAATGTTCTTCAGATAATGAATTAATTGACAAAGTTTTTGTAGGGTGTGAAAAAAATGTTCAAGGTCAAGCTCCTGGGGCTAAGCCCCCCCTATATTTCAATCTTAGTGACATCCATGGGGTCCAGGACACATGTGGTGGGTCTCACTGAGGATAAAGCTTTATCAGACTCTCAGCTTCAACCAGAACAAAACTGTCCACTGATTCCTCGGGTAGACACACACTCTTCATGACACACTTGTCCCTTTTTATGGAAGCAGCACTAATATTTTTTTTCCTGGTTAAAGTGGAAAAATTTGAATATGGTGCAACAACAGGTAAGCGGAAACAAATCCACGAGACAGACTCATTCCATGCAAAGCCTTTATTTGTTATAACTGTGATGAATATGGCTTACAGCTGATGAAAACCCCACATTCAGCATCTCAAGACAATTAGAAAATTGTGAAAGGTTCACTATTCTTGACTCAAAGTGTCACACTCTCATCAGCTGATGAACCCAGAACACCTGCAGAGGGTTCCTGAGCCTTTAGATCAGGGGTGGGGAACCATGGTCCTCGAGGGCCGGTATCCTGCATGTCTTTGCTTCAACACTTCTGATACAGTGGTTGATTCACCTGTTCTGCAGCTCATCAGGCTCTGCTAAAGCCTGTTAATCACTTGCTGATTGAAATCAGGTGTGATGATGCAGGGTTGAAACTAAGGCCTAGTCCACACGTAGCCGGGTTTTTTTTTAAACGAATATCCGCCCCTCCAAAAACTTGCATCCACACCACCTGGTTTTAAAAAGAAACTGTCCACACGTACCCGGATAAATGCGTTGTTAAGGACATGCCAGACCTGTAGGTGGCAGTACTTCCCCCGTTCTTAACCTCGTCCTTCGTCTGTGGTCTTCCGCAAGGAGCAGTAATTCCGCTTGCAAAAACAAACAAGCAAAGAGCGCTTGGACAATTGATAAAGCGAGCGCAGCTCTGAGGGCATCCATGCTGTCGGCTAGTGTAAACACAGGTCGCACACGTGATGTCAGCATTTTTTTGTCGCGGAAAGTGACGTTGTGGACCTTAAAACTCCGGTTTTGTCTGTCCACACGCAGACACCCAAAACGGAGAAAACGCTGATCTTCACTTTGGCCGGAGTTTTTAAAAAGATCCGTTTTCGTGTGAAAAAACTCCGTTTTCGTGTGGATGACAGGCCAAAATGTAGAAGAATATCTACGTTTTGGCAGATCCCCGGCTACGTGTGGACAGGGCCTAAAATATGCATAGCGGCCCTCGATGGACCAGGGTTCCCAACCCCTGCTTTAGATGGTCTCTCAGTCTGAACTGAACCCTAACCCATAAATGGACTTTGGCAACATTTACTAATTTTCCAGTTTAACTGTAAATAAGCATGGGTGTGTTTTCCCTTAAAACGATGCATAATTCCTTATGAACATGTAGGCCAGCACCATTACAGGGAGATTGTCTGGTTGGGAGTGCAGATTCAGACCCAGATGTGAGGGCTTGGTGAATTAGATGGGTCCACAATAAAAGTGGACTTATTACTGTCAAAAGCTGCATAATCCTTTAAGTCTGCCAGGGTAAAATGATAGAAGTAGTTTATTACTGAACACTAAGATACCATCAAAAATAAAACTATTAAAATTTAAATAGACTAAAAATGGTGATTGTTACATTTGAGTTTTTCAATACAGAGCAAGAATTCTCATTTTCAAGCTAAATGAATAAAATGAATGTTAATAAACACGACTACAAAGAGCCGCTCTGTATTTGTTTTGGTAGATCTCTGAATAAAAGAATGATGAAAGTTAGTTTCAGCTGACAAACTGCTTCCCAGCACATTTAAGAGTTCAGGGACGGGTTATGCACACGTAGAAGTCTGAAGACAGGAAAAATGTTCATTTAAGTAGGTTCAAATAAAAGCTGACACCTTGCTTCAGAAGGCTCAGGGTGTCCCTGTGGGACAACTTTCAGTCCTATGCTGAGCACAGCGCTCTGAGATGTTTCTCCTCAGCTCATCGATGTCTCTTCTCAACCGGTTGACTTCAAGCAGCTTAAAGCTCAGCTCCTCTTCATCTTCCTCGCCTGCTTTACACTCGCTGTGGTCTGCTGAAACGCCGAACGCTGGACAGAGACAACACAAAGGCGTTATCACAGGTAGGTCATGCAGGGTATCTGCGAGTTTAAGGGAGCAAAATTTAAGACTTTTTGAGACCTTTTTTAAGGCCACTTTGACCAAATTTAAGCTATCTTTTAAAATTAAATTTAAGCTATAATTTCCAGCTGTTGCCTGGAACCGGTGCTAGCCACGTCGCAAACGTGGGATTAGCCATCCAGTTACTATTAAAATTGCACTTCCCCATGGCGCAAGCTCCCACTAGCTTAACCAGCTAATGCGCTCATCTAAAAATAGCCCCCTTTCACAACCAACTGAATGTGTACGGTTCCGCTTACGCCAACATCACACACAAAAAATGCTGAACACTCACTAGAAATTCAGGAAAACAAAAGAATCTTGTTTATTGGGTCTTTGGTAATTTAAGACCTTTGGAAACTGTATTTAAGGATTATTTGTCATTTTTAAGGATTTTTAAGGCCTTAAATTTAGAAAAGCAAATTTAAGACTTTTTAAGGACCCGCGGATACGTTGCTAATCTGCTACGCCTGCATCCAGAGGGTTAAATACGTGAGCAGTTGGGATTCACACACGGTGTGTGTGTGTGTGTGTGTGTGTGTGTGTGTGTGTGTGTGTGTGTGTGTGTGTGTGTGTGTGTGTGTGTGAACGTACACTCTATGCCGAGAAGCAGAGAGAGGCTGGGCTGCTTTCCCTGAGCTCTCTGAGACAGGATGCTGCAGAGACCCTGGAGGTCCAGCAGACACAGGGACATCTCCTTCAGCAGCCGGTCCACTTCTGAGACTCTCACTCCAGACGAGAGCGGTGCCAGCACGCTTTTACTCTGTTTCAAAGGATTAAAAATGTTTGTAATCCTTTAGTTATTCATTGTTTTCATCTTTCTTCCAGATGATGTTTTGAAAGGCAGCTATGAAGCAGAGTTGCACCGGTTTTGGCTTGAACATCTGATACCATTTAAAAAACAAACCATTACTAAAGAATGAATCATTTTTGTGTAACTGGAACATGCGGATTGTGTCAGATCTGTTACTGCTAGTGTAAGTTAGTGCTCAGCGATGGTGAGAAAATGGCAGAATTTTAATTGTTCCGTTTCACCAGTCACCCCAACTATGCTAAATGTGAGCCGATTCCGACCTCCTGCTGGTATTTTGGAGCTTCTCTACCACATAAACTACACATTGTTCTCACAAGAAGCGGCCCTTTTGTTCAGTCATCTGTCAGCAGTGTGTGTGAAGCGAATAACGAGTCAGTCATGGTGTTTTACTTCCTTTAATGAGTTGTTCAGAACTACAGTGGGTACAGAAGGTATTCAGACCCCTGTCAATCTTTACTCTTTGTCACGCAGCAGCCATTTGCTAAAATCAATTAAATTAATTTTTCCCCATTAATGTACACACAGCACCCCATACTGATAGAATTTTAGAAACGTCTGCAGATTTATTAAAAAGGAATAAATGAAATACCACACGGTCCTAATAAGTGTCCAGACCCTTTGGAGAAGGTCCTTGTCCAGGACATCCCTGCACTTAGCTGCATTCATCGTTCCCTCGATTGCAACCAGTCGTCCTGTCTTTGCAGCTGAAAAACGTCCCCACAGCATGATACTGCCACTGCCATACTTCACTGTGGGGACTGTATTGTACAAGTGATGAGCATGGTCTGGTTTTCTCCACACATACCGCTTAGAATAAAGGCCCAAAAGTTTTAACTTGGTCTCATCAGATCAGAGAATATTATTTCCTACCATCTCAGGGTCCTTCAGGTATTTTTTAGCAAACTCCATGAAGGCTTTTATGTGTCTTGCACTGAGGAGAGGCTTCAGACGGGCCACTCTGCCATACAGCCCTGACTGGTGGAGGGCTGAGGTGATGGTTGACTTTCTGTAACTTTCTCCCACCTCCCTGCTTGCCACTCAGCTTTAAGAGGTTTGATTGGGGGATTAAACCACCAGATAGTTCCCCGGAGCGGCCACTGCTGCAGTTCACCGCTCCCCACGGGGATGGGTCACATGCAGAGATGAATTTCACCAGTGTGTGATAATTTAATGGGACTTCACTTGAATTTAAATGGCTGCTTCTGTGGATAGGATCATGTTGCTTTGTTGATACTATGCGTGTTAAGTATTTTTATTAAATGTTCATGTTGGTTGGTCTGCAGAATCTTTCTTTGTGTGGGGTGACGAGCTCATGTGAAATTTGTAATGCCTGAGGTCATGAATCTCTGGAATGTGGTAACCCTAGGAGATGGGTCTCTGTACCTCTGTAACCCGAGAAGGCCCCGCCTTCTCCATCCTTTGCTGATTAAAGGTTGGTTTATGCTTGACGCGTCCGCGAGGTCCGCACGGCTCCGCGCGGAAAAGTTGCGTCATTTTGCTTCATTTTAACAACCACGCCTCCGCACGGCCCAGAATTTCCGCAACGCGCACCTTTGGAAATTTTCTAACCACGCAGACGGTCGGACGCGGAAAAACATGGCGGACTGGCAAGAACCAGTATGGCAGAGGTTCGTAAATACAGACGTTTGTATGATTCAGCTCTCAGAGATCACCGTGATCAACATGTTGTTAATAATTCTTGGAGAGAAATAGCTCGCACTGTCGGAAAAGACGAGGACGCTGTTAAAAATGCTGAAATGCCATGTTGTAAACAGTAATTTCTACTTCTACTACGGTGTAGTGTTGGATGCATGCCGTAGAGCTCCATGCTGCCCCCTACAGTTTGGGAGAATATTGGCTCACCGCAGAGACAAGCCGCATGAACCATAAACGCTGCAAGTTGTGAAGCGCGTTCCATCCGCGAGCCGCATCACCAAGCGGAAAGTTAACGCGTCAAGCATAAACCAAGCTTAAAGCCACTGGAAACTCTGAAGAAAGTGGGAGTCGCATGGCATCTAGCTCTGGAGAGGGTTAGTGTCATTGGTGGTCTCCCCCTCATTTGGAATTCAGTGTAAAATGTCTCCCTTTCGTGATGTGTGTTCATTTCAGGTTCCAGGGTTATGGAGAAGTAAAAATTACCCAACAATGGGTTTTTCTCAAAATGTGTATTTAGCTTTTTTCCAGTCCTTTTATTTAGCGTCATGGTTGAGGTAGAAAATGTGGACACAAACATTAAGACTGGTAATTTGGCGTCCTCTAGTGGTGATATATGGTGAGCGTCTAACGTCTAACAAACGGCATAACTGCGCCCAACCAAAAAAACCTTCACCTGCTGCCACTGGTCTATGTTTGCATGCACCACTGTATAACAGCACGCTAACAGCAAGACGGTAAACAACCACACGTCCTGTAATGCCGGAGGCGTGTTACCGTAACAAGTGTAGTAAGTGCTCACTGCCATAAAAATCCTGAGTGCTAACACCAGATATAAATATGTATTTTTTTTACTTATCAACTTCCTGTAAATGACTCGTCTTTTGGTTTACTCGACAGTTTTTCTTTATTTCTGACAAAGACCTCTCATCCCGACGGCGTTTACGACCTCTGCAAAGTGTTTGGTTCTCTTCCACATCTGCAGCCAGGGCCTTGATCTCTGTCAATACATTATGTTTTTGGGAGAACACAGGGATTCCCCTCATGAGGGTGTCTCTGTATGTAACGGACTGTGAACAGGTGGGATTTATCATCACTCGATTGCGGAGGAATGTGTTTACGAGAGACCACTCCATGTTTTATAGATCGGGATGTTGGCCGTTCGTATGAAAATTCTAAATTTCATTTGTAGGAAGGAATTTAGGACAGTTCCTACAAACGTTTGATAAATGAGGGCCCTTAACTTGATCTCATTCGAGCATCTAGGGGATGTTCTGAAGGAATCTATGGAGGATCTGCTGCTAATGGATCCAGATCTTCAGAAGTTTAGAAGAGACATGACATCTGCAGGGATGGTCATGGTGTTATCGTGTTAGCGTACAGTTAGGGGACCCTACCGTTAGCCGTGAGGTCAGTCTGTCGATCTCTTCTCTCTGAAGCCTCAGCAGCTGCAGGGACACGTGAACAACATGATTTAAATGTTCTGACAGGATGTGTTTGTGCAGTTTGTTTGGCTGTGGAACACCAACCCTGCTGCTGTGATCCTGCTGCTGCAGGAGTTGAGAGTTCTCCACCTCCAGCCGCTTTAAGTCTTGCACAGGCAGCCTGACGCCATCATCCAGACAATGCTGCACCTTCTCCTGCAGGCTGCGGCAACAGAAAGAGAACCACATCATCAGCACACAAGCTGCTTTACTTCAGTACTTTAAACTACAATGCGTCAGTCGGCCTTCATCTCCACACAAGAGATGGACCTTCAGAGTCCAGTTTGAAAGCTAGAGACTGAGCAGAACGTTTAACATCACCATGTCCAACACTGTGGTGTTGTGTTTTTGTATCAGACATAGATCGACCCTCAGTCCAGGGTCTACTGCAGCATGTTTTTATTCTAGGAGCCCGAGCAGCGGGGGTGAGACTCTGGAGCAACCAGGGACCGACTGTCACTGATGTGCTTTCGGCCTGGCTCAGAACACTTGGAGCCCCATTGAAGCAGGTATCTAAAGGTTGGCAGCAAACATGGATCTGTTACTGATGGAAATAGCTGGAGGTTGCTCCGAGACGAGTCGAGCTGTGCTAAGTAGGTTCGGGTGGAAATGGCCCGTAGTGCCCGCATGTCCTCGTACTCCATTTGGAAAGACGTGTTGTTTCATTCCCAGTTCTACATGCTGTTGGTCATGGGTGGACTTACAGCCACGTTAGCTCCTTTAATCACCTAGCTACCTGTGAACAGATGCGATCATCTCCTTCTCCCTCCTGGCCTGCAGGTCAATAATGAGGTCCTTCTTTCTCAGCAGCGCACACTCATCCTCGATGCGTTTCTGTAGCCGAGACACCGTTTTCTCCAGATCCTGGGCTTTCTGCCGTGACTCCTCCTGCTGAACACACCAACACAGACACAGAGCTGAAGAGAATATTTTCATTTTTCTCAATGTTCTCAATTTTAGGTCCTCTTTGTTTACCGTCTATGGTTCCACTTGGCTTTATTTATAGAAAACTTTTTTTTCATTGCTATGCTGACGATACGCGTCTGTATGTCCCTCTGAACCCGGGAAACTCAGACTCAGTTAACCTAATCAAAGCATGTCTCCATGAAAATGCTGGATAGCAAACAGTAACCTCCGGTTAAATGATAAGACAGGAGATATTACTTTTGGTCCACCGAGAGTCAAACGGTTTGCCAGCCACTTGGGAACGCTGTCGGTACGTGTCTGTAAACTCGCGGAGAACCTTTTGTTAATCTTTGTCTCAAATCTAATCTTTGAAATAGTAATAAACTCTAGTTAAATCTAATTTTTTTTCATTTTAACAGGGAAGCCATGCCTTTGGCTCCATAACTGGAAAGCCGTTCCTCCAGTTCTCATGTCCTCCAGGCTCGATTATTGCTAATCCTTGTATTTTGGTCTGCCTTGGTGTGCTCTGATGCATCTACAGCTGGTGCAAAAAGCTGCAGCAAGACTCATAACAGTAACAAAGAAGAGAGACTTATCAGCCCCATCTTTGTATCTCGGCACTGGCTTCCAGTTAAATTTCCCATTTTTAAAGCTCTTAATGGATCGGCCCCCAGTGCATTTTCTTTCTACCAGTTCTGCCTTTCCCGGGATCCGCTCGTTATTATTTTCTTATTCATTTTCACTTTACCTTTCCTCCCATTTTTTCCCCAATCACAATTTTACTTTTCCCAATTATTCACAGTACCAAGCCAAAACATTGGACACACCTTCTCATTCAATGTGTTTTCATTATTTTCGGGACCACGGCCATTTACAAAGGAGCCAACAAGTGCTAAACTCCTCCGCCATTTCATTTTCTTGAAGCTCATCAAGAGACTGCCAAGAGTGTGCAAAGCAGTAATCAGAGCAAAGGGTGGCTTTTTTTGGGAAGAAACTAGAATATAAAACATGTTTTCAGCTATTTCACCGTTTTGGTTGAGTACATAACTCTACATGTGTTCATTCATAGTTTTGATGCCTTCAGTGAGAATCTCCCAATGGTCCTGAAAATGGTCATGAAGACAAATGGTAAATGGTAAATGGCCTGTATTTGATATAGCGCCTTCTAGAGTCCTGGAACCCCCCAAGGCGCTTTACAACACAACCAGTCATTCACCCATTCACACACACATTCACACACTGGTGGGGATGAGCTACATTGTAGCCACAGCTGCCCTGGGGCACACTGACAGAGGCGAGGCTGCCGAGCACTGGCGCCACCGGTCCCTCCGACCACCACCAGCAGGCAATGTGGGTTAAGTGCCTTGCCCAAGGACACAACGACAGCGACAGACTGAGCGGGTCTCGAACCTGCGACCTTCCGATTGCGAGGCCAGCACTTAACTCCTGTGCCACCGTCGCCCCAAAGACAACACGTTGAATGAGAAGGGCATTTTGTACGTGTTGGTCCTCTTGTCTGCACTCCTCTTCTTCTGCTACTATGGTTGCTCTGTGGTAAAGCGTCCTGATTACTGAAATTTTATGTATGGTAGGATGTTCTGATGTCCATAATACATATTAGTCTGTGTGTGTTGGTTTTCTGTATGCGTTCATGGTCAGGGTTCCATCTTTCTGTCCGGTTATTTTCACATCCATGAACGTTATAGTGCCTTCTTCTTCCTTGTATGCGTCTTTTATGTGGTTGGTGCCATCGATATCGTCCTCGGCTGCCCACAGATAAAAGGAAGTGACGCCAGCAAGATCCGGTGGCTGCTCTGATGAAGGCACCGGTGAACGTCAAAGTAGGTCAGCAAAGGTAACAACAAACCCTTGACACTTTGTGTACAACCAAGAACTAAAGAAATTGGATAACCAACACAGTACAAATGTGACAAAGAAGCTAATGCAGGAGATAGATGTAGGAGACTATTTTCATGTTCAGCCTACATGAAAATACATTTTAAAAATGGTTTTTCAGTCAACCACATATTTAATACAGAAATCAAGCACTTTCCATACTTGAAAACACTGAAATGGAAGAATTTAAGAATTTCAAGCACCCGTACGATCCCTGAAGCAATCTAAAATCATCCAACTTAGACTGTGGTTGCATGAAAACCATCAAAGGCACGAACATATTTACTGCCTGTGGGTCGTTCAAACTCAGAATGATGATGAGCTCTAAGGGGGTGGGGCTACATCACTTGTGTATGTGTGTGTACCTGCTGGAACTGGACCTGGACCTCCTCTAAAGAGGGCATGTCGGAGAGGTATTTCTCCAGCGTCTCGATGCGCTGCCGTTTGTCCTGGTTCTGTTCACACTCTCTCTGACACTTCTTCTTCAGGCTGGTGATGTAACGATCTCTTGTTTTTATCTGTCCACAAAGAAAAAAACAGTCAGACACGAAGATGAAGAGTTCTCCTCCTCCTCCTGAAGGTGGGCGGAGCTCCATGTAACCAGTCTTACCTTCTCCTCCAGTTTTCGGATGTCCTCTGTGTACTTTTGGGTTATTTGGTTGAAGAACTTGTTCAGATAGAGGACTTCAAGTTCAGCCACTAATAATTTTCTACCAAAATCTTCACCGTAGCACAAACTGTCTGACGGCTGTCGGCATGGTCTTCTGAGTGCCGACTCCTGAAAGACAACCAGTGTTTATTCTGTAACTTCAGGCACCAACAGGCTAAAGTTCTAATCCTGGTTCTTTCCTGAAGCTCACCTCTATGTTCAGGATCAGGGAGTCCTCAAACAAACCTCTCTGGCTCTGCAGGACTTGCTTAACTCGCAGCTCGTTCTCTCTGATCCGAGCGTGAAGCTGCAAAATCTGCAGCTTTTGTCTAAAATATGTAAACAGAGGAGGAGAAAAAACGAGTTTTATATAGTGCCTCTCAAGATAACATAAAATAAAAATAAATTGCTTTAAAAGATCATAACAAAAATAGGAGAAAAAAATGAAACTTTTAGACAAACAATATGAATAAAGAAAAAGGTAAAGAAAGGATCTGGACAAGTGGGGGAGTAGAGGGAGGTGCCTCTATCTAAAAGGCTAGGTTATCCAGTAGGGATGTAAGAAAATATCGATGTGGCAATATATTGTGATATATTTTCTTTTTCTTGTGATGTTACATCGATATTCAAAAGCCATATATCTAATTCTGGAAGAATTTAATTACAAACATTGGTGTATTTTCTTTTCGTGCAATTCAAACGCTGACCGCTAGATGGCACCAGTGTGCAATGGGTTTTGTATCCACCATTGAAATGTAAATCTCTCAATTATGGTTCAGACACCTCATGTTAAACATGTTAAGTATCAGTTTGGACTGTTTATTGAATTTTCCTACAATAAATTCAATTTAAAAATGCTACTATTGTCTCATATCATGACATATTGCATCGTCTCCCCTACATGGACGTAGTTTTCAAGTTAGAAGTGGGGTGGGGACACAACCGGCATGAGGACCGGGGGGGGGATCTTTACAGTAAGAATATAAAAATATGTCTATATGTGTGTGTGTGTATATATATTCATATAGGTTCAACACAAGCAGTTGTTCTCCGCTTGGTCCTAGAGCTCAACCAGTGTATGTATTATAGCATAATATTGTTTTTGGACAGTAAAAAGTGCAGGGGACAAAATTTTACTTTGAAAAAAGTGTGTGTGTGGGGGGGGGTGGGGGGTGGGGGGGGGTGGCATGTCCCCCCGTTCCCCCAAGAACTAGGTCCATGCTCCCCTGTATCGTAATACCTATCGTATCACCATAATTTCACCAATACACATCCTTATTATCCAGAGTTATCTCTGTAGTTATGCTGCTATAGGCTTAGACTGCTGGAGGACACACTGACCACTTTTCACACTCGACTACTTTCTTCTACAATCTGCTCTTTAACTGTATTATTTCCTGCTATTTCAGCTGTTAACTTTATTTTCTCCCCAGAAGAAGCTACAACGATGTTCTGCTGAGCTGTGGTGGCCTCATGGAGGGGGCCATCGTCTAGCACACTGCTGCTAACCACTTAAACATTCTCCCTCTCCTCATAATAACATTTTACTCTCTTTGACGTTGGGTGTGCTACTACTAGTTTATACATTGAACTAATTATAGATTTTTTAGGATAAATACAATAAAGAGAGAAAGAAATAGAATCTCTACTAAGAAATTGCAGCAAAAGAAACACTAATTTGTGTGTGTGTGTGTGTGTGTGTGTGTGTGTGTGTGTGTGTGTGTGTGTGTGTGTGTGTGTACCTGTTAATCTCCAGTTCTCTCTGCCTCAGCAGTCCCTCCTTGACCTTCACCAGGATGCTAACAGGAAGTGAGATCTGCTGACACAGGGGTTGAGTCTGTTACACCTGCGGCTGCAGCATCACATCATTAAACGTGGCGAACATCTACAGATGAACAAACACAGCTCAGGTGGACTCTGTTAGTTCTAAAATCAGGTCGGCTCTCCACACCGACCCGAGGGCTTTAGGAGGCTGTTAAATGCTGCTTTGGTTTCCCTCCTTCATTCGGTGCACGTCTTCTCACTAATTAAAATAATAAACATCAATATTTGTGGTTTGTGGGTCAGAGCAGTTCTTCCTTACATTCCTAGACTGGATGTAAGAGAGAAAAAACAGAACAAGGTCCTTGCACGCTGTAGATTTGCATCAGTTTGGGTTTGTAGTGACGCTCAAATACTTTCATTGCAACAATAATCTGTTGGAATAATAAAAAAAACATCAATGCCAACCGTTTTCTACCATGAGGTTGAGACCGTCCCTCTGATCAGAAAATAGAAAACAAATCACCTGATAAAAAAGATATAAAAATCATTAGAGATCACCGTTTATTTGTGTTTAGATGCTTTTGTCCAAAGCGACTTGCAGGTTCAGAGTTATGAGACGAATTCCCAGAACACCAAATAGGAAAACATCTGAAAATATTCCAGAATACTGTAAACATGAAACACGTTATTGTTTATGTGTTCATGAGTGCTGCTGCTCTGATAAGTTGTGATTACATTTTTAGAAAGAGCTGCGGCTTGAATAATTAACTGTTTCTTTCAATTGCTTAAAGAGCAAGTAACGCCTAAATCAAACATTTTTTTGCTGATAAACTGTATAAATGGGTGTCTAATATTGCTGTAGACATGTGTAATCTTTTTTATTTGTTGCATTTTTTTTACATTTTATTAAAAAGTCACTTTTCCCCCGTGGGGGGATCTGGGCGGGGCCTTGGGGGTCGGGTCCTGACAGATATGCTGCCGGGGAGAAGGCAGGAACATGCAGCAGTGCCTGACTCGGGTTCGGGGGCCTCGGGTAGACCTCGGCTCCTCTGCTGTCCCATCACAGGGGAGGGGGAGGTCCAGGAGGGGGAGGACCCAACCTTACCTGGACATCCTGTGTCTTTTATAATCCAGAAGTTGTGCAAATGCAGGGATAGGCGTAGATATTCTGCTGGGGTGGGGCTGGGTTGGTGCTCTCGAACTCCGTGAGGCTATTTTTATTTTAGAAAAGCTACAAAAACAGCAGGTAAACAGTTTGATACCGTTTTCACGCGTCCTCACAGCAAATAGCTTGTAGAGTGCTAATGTTTTTAGCAGTTAGCTCAGAGTTGTAATATGGAACAGAGGAGGATGAGGATTAAACAGTTGGAGGATCTTTTTAAAATATATTTCAAACCAAACCAGACACAAACCATTAAACGAGTGATACAGTGTGTGTTGGCTTTTGTTGTGAATCAATAACCTAATTATCACCAAGCGCTTACAATGCACTACCGGACATGTTTGCTATGTTTGTTACCATACTGGGATTTAGTCTGAAACAACGGTGTTTGTTGTAAACGTTCTATAAGCATACGTACGTATAATGGTACCTGTACACCTTCAATAAACAAACCTGGTGTTTTACAGGTTCAGTTAGACACAAAATCTTGTTTTTGTTCATTCTTCTGGTAGTTTATTTTGCTCTAAGTGAAACTGAGGCCTGCCTCCAATTCTGGCCTCCTTCCATTAAAGGCCTAAACCAGGATGCACTTGAGTAAATAAAGGCCCGGGCCTGTATTAGAGGATTTACGGTACACAAACTTCCTCAGAAACATCCTGTTTGGTGCTCAACAGCACGACGGAGCATCAGGCCAGCAGCATAAAGTCAGGACCAAGTACTCATTAAACAACAGAACACAAAACGCTAAAACCGCCAACTTTGTGAAGAGGAAGACGGAATGTTTGGCCTTAGCTGTGGAGGAATCGGAACAAATCGGAGCAGATTGAAATTCCACAGCATCTATCTCTAAAACTGAGAAATAACAGAACAGAGTCGGCCACCAGAGGAGAGATTTAACTCAAATGTGCTCCATAGTTATTATTTGCTGAATCAGCTTTTGTAAACATGGCAGAATGAGATTTACTGGTTATGTTTTTATGTGTTTGGACCCTACTGACCGACAGAAGTAAATAGTTTTATCTGGACCGCCTCTCGAGCCTCTCACCTGGTTCAGCTCCTGGTGCCATGACGACAGCCCATCTAGATCAGATCCTTCTGTCCTAGAACCATGAATCAGACCGGGTTCACCTTCATCATCCACTAGGGGCTTGTGCTCCATCTGCTCAGTCAGCCACATCTGGGTACGAACAGCTGGCTGAATTGGAGACAGGCTGTCAAAGCTGTGTGCCAGAGGCGGGTCAGCCTGGTTGGATGAGGTGGAACTAGAGACCTGCCTCCCTCCTACAGAAGGTCTACTCTCGGGTAAGGCCGCATAGCTCAGGCCCAGACTGTTCTGTTTAGCTGGAGAGGAATGAGCTGAAGACAGGAGCAGGTCTGGTGTCAAATCGTTGGATCTGCCGCGATGGTGGTAACGATGACCAGGGTTGGCACCTGGTGAGCGCAGCAGCAAGCTACTGCAGACCCTGGAGGAGGATACGGGCAGGTAAAGGTCTGGTTTTGAACCCTTGTTTTTCAGTCTAGATCCATAAAGCAGACCTCTATCCAGGGAGCCTTGAATACCTGGGCCGTAACTATGGACGGATGCCCAGGAGGAGCTCTTATCAGTTGCTGAAGACAACTTGGTGAAGGAGGAACTTCTCCAGAGGGGCTTATGGTCCTTCATTTCCAGACCACCTGGTACCCCTACAGGAGGTGTGGAGGCCATGTTAAGGGGACAAGAGCCACTCCAGTGTCCTGTACTGTGGGGCGAATGAGGCGTCCAGTATGAGGAGGATGAATAAGGTGAGACGAGTCCAATGGGAGGCCCGTCATCATCTTCATTTAGGCTCATGTGATGCTGGGAGACAGTCTGGAGGGACAGGGGTGAAGTAGCCGGACAGCAGTCTTCTGTAGGAACACAGACACATTACCATTAAAGGACGTGCGTGTGTGTGTGTGTGTGTGTGTGTGTGTGTGTGTGTGTGTGTGTGTGTGTGTGTGTGTGTGCGTGCGTGTACTCGTTTAACTATCCTACGTAGAACCAAAACTGGCATATTCACTAATCTTCTACTGATGGGCTGTATTAGAACCAAAACCCGGTCCTGATACGGTGGATCCCTGTATTAGGCTAAGGGGTGAGGTTCAGAGGTAAGATGTAAATTGACTTTTTGTTACAGTTCGGTTTAAGAACACACTGGTTTTGGTTAGGACTGGGCTAAGGGTTTGGGTTACGCATAAATGCAGTTAATAAAATGAATGGAAGTCAATACAAATTCCTAATAAGGATAGAAAAACAAACTTTTGTGTTTGTGTGTGTGTGTGTTTTTACCTACATAAAAATAGACAACAATAAAGAACATGACTAGTTTATTTTTCTAAGACTTGCTAAAATGGTTTTAATTCGAATAAGCTGTTGGTCTCTGGTATCATGGTGAATCTGGACCAGAGCAACCAAAGGTCAGAACCAGTGGCGGCTGGTGAATTTTGTTTTTGGTGAAAGTTTTCAAATCCACTCGAACCACATGTGGGACGCCAAATTACCATTCCTACGCGTCACACAGCTTGAGCCCAGGTCCATGAGCATTTACAGCACTTACGACAGTAACACAGATGTTCCAAAAACATTCTTAATATTTACCAATATATGCAAAACACTCATGCACGTAACTGGAAGAGGCTTGTCTAGACGACAGAATCCATATTTTCTGCCTCAACAACACCCAAAGCCAACAATAAGCCGCTAAATGAAAAGGCCATAAAAAGACGTTATATCGAGAAAAACGTAAAGTAGCAATGGTGCAATATGATCGTATCCACAGAAGCAGCCATTTAAATTAAATCAATCTCTCCTCTTTCTAACAATACAAGTACCATTACTCTACATGGACGTAATTTTGGGGGGGGACAGGGGGGACATGTCCCCCCCACACACTTTTTCCAAAGTCAAGTTTTGACCCCTGCACTTTTTACCATCCAAAAACAACATGACGCTATATTAAATTGACACTGGTTGAGCTCTAGGACCAAGCGGAAAACAACCGTTTGTTTTGAAGCCTGTTTCCCATTAGAGCATACTGTAAAGATACCCCCCCCCCCCCCCCCCGTGTCCCCCCCACTTCCAAAGTGAAAATTAAGTCCATGTTACTCTGTGTGCTAAACTCATGGAGCAGGCTGCAACTTAAGTAGCCAACCAGCTAATTTCATGAAGTCAAAAGCATTCATTGTAACGTTCTGTGTCCTCGTCTCCCGTGTCCCCTCATGGTTCCCCCCTTGTTGTGTCATTTACTTTAATTTGGTATTATTATCATATTACCTGTAGGCTCATTTTCCGGTTTACTGAACCTAAATAAACCTAAACACTATAGAAATAAGGACACTGGGGACACTAAAGATAAGCAAACTAATGGCCTAAAGTGCAATAGAACAAAAAACACTGAAAGGCTGGGTGATGATAATACCTAATCAAAGTAAATGACACAACAAGGAGGGGAACCATGAGGGGACACGGGAGACGAGGACACGGAACGTGACATAAATCAAGTCTTACTTTGCTGGCTATAGTAGTAAAAAAAATCCACTTGGTTTGTGTAATCCTTGTCTCAACATCTCACTGAGCTGATCCCTGGCTGTTTTAGGCTCATTTTCCGGTTAACGGTGTTTCTCTTCCTGTGATTGGTTAATATGAAAGCCAGCAGAAAAACTTTCCCTCTGGGATTAATAAAGTATCTTTGATTTGATTTGATTTGATTTACAACAAGCACTTCTTGAACCGTCACCTTATCATGGTGGAGGAGTTTGAGTGCCCTAATGATCCTAGGAGCTATGTTGTCTGGGGCACTTAGTGCCCCTGGTAGGGTCTCCCATGACAAATTGGTCTTAGGTGAAGGGTGAGACAAAGAACGGTTCGAAGGATCTTTCATGGCGGTTAAAACGAAGAGTCGGAGTACCCGGCCCGGAGGGTTACCGGGGTCCCACCCTGGAGCCAGGCCTGGGGTTGGGGCCCGTGAGCGAGCGCCTGGTGGCCGGGCTTTCGCCCATGGGACCCGGCCGGGCCTAGCCCGAACCGGATACATGGGCTCGTCCAACTGTGGACCCACCACCCGCAGGAGGAACATGAAGGGTCTGGTGCAATGCGAATCGGGTGGCAGACCAAGGCGGGAGCCTTGGCGGTCCAATCCCCGGACAAGAAAACTAGTTTTTGGGACATGGAACGTCACCTCGCTGGCGGGGAAGGAGCCGGAGCTTGTGGCAGAGGTTGAGCGGTACCGGCTAGATATAGTCGGACTCACCTCGACACATTGCATTGGCTCTGGAACCCGAGACCTGGAGAGGGGTTGGACACTCTACTTTGCTGGAGTTGCTCCGGGTGAGAGGCGGAGGGCTGGGGTTGGCTTTTTGTTAGCCCCGAGACTCTCTGCCTGTGTGTTGGGGTTGACCCCGGGGGACAAGAGGGTAGCTTCCTTGCGCCTTCGGGTCGGGGAACGGGTCCTGACTGTTATTTGTGCTTCTGGGCCAAATATCAGTTCAGAGTACCTTCCCTTTTTGGAGTCCCTGGGACGAGTGCTAGATAGTGCTCCATCTGGGACTCCATTGTCCTGCTGGGGGACTTCAATGCTCACGTGGGCAATGACAGCTTGACCTGGAGGGGTGTGATTGGGAGGAACGGCCCACCTAATCTGAACTCGAGCGGTGTTTTGTTATTGGACTTCTGTGCAAGCCGCAGTTTGGCCATAACGAACACCATGTTCGAACATAAGGATGCCCACCGGTACACTTGGTACCAGGGCAGCCTAGGTCACAGGTCGATGATAGATTTTGTAGTCGTATCATCTGACCTGCGGCCGTATGTTTTGGACACCCGAGTGAAGAGAGGGGCGGAGCTGTCAACTGATCACCACCTGGTGGTGAGTTGGATCAGATGGCAAGGGAACATGCCGCGTAGACCTGGCAGACCCAAACGCATAGTGAGGGTCTGCTGGGAACGCCTGGCAGAAGAACCTGTCAAGACGGTCTTCAACTCCCACCTCCGGCAGAGCTTTGACCACGTCCCGAGAGCAGTGGGGGACATTGAGTCCGAGTGGGCCTTGTTCCACTCTGCGATTGTCGAGGCGGCTGTTGCTAGCTGTGGTCGTAAGGTGGCCGGTGCCAGTCGTGGTGGCAACCCCCGTACCCGCTGGTGGACACCAGAGGTTCGGGGAGCCGTCAGGCTGAAGAAGGAGGCCTACAGGGCGTGGCTGGTCTGTGGGTCTCCGGAGGCAGCAGACAGGTACCGGATAGCCAAGCGGGGTGCAGCAGTGGCAGTTGCCGAGACAAAATCTCGGACGTGGGAGGAGTTTGGTGAGGCCATGGAGAAAAACTATCGATCGGCTCCAAAGAGGTTCTGGCAAACTGTCCGGCGCCTCAGGAGAGGAAGGCAGCAACTCGCTCACACTGTTTACAGTGGGGATGGGGAGCTGCTGACGTCAACTGAGGCTATAGTCGGACGGTGGAAGGAATACTTTGAGGAGCTCCTCAATCCCACCAATGCGCATTCCGAGGAGGAACCAGAGCTGGGAGGCCTGGGGATGGACTGTCCGATCTCGGGGGCAGAAGTTGCTGAGGTAGTCAAACAACTACACAGCGGCGGAGCCCCGGGGGCGGATGAGGTTCGTCCTGGGTATCTCAAGGCTATGGATGTTGTGGGGCTGTCATGGTTGACACGTCTCTACAACATTGCGTGGTCATCGGGGGCAGTTCCTAGGGAGTGGCAGACCGGGGTGGTGGTCCCCATCTTTAAGAAGGGTGACCTGAGGGTGTGTTCCAACTATAGGGGGATCACACTCCTCAGCCTCCCTGGAAAGGTCTACTCCAAGGTACTGGAGAGGAGGGTCCGATCGATAGTTGAATCTCAGATAGAGGAGGAGCAATGTGGTTTTCGTCCTGGCCGTGGAACTGTGGACCAGCTCTATACCCGTGCAAGGGTGATGGAGGGGGCATGGGAGTTTGCCCAACCAATCCACATGTGCTTTGTGGATTTGGAGAAGGCTTATGACCGTGTCCCCAGGGGCACCCTGTGGGGGACGCTCCAGGAGTATGGGGTGGGTGGCTTTCTGTTAAGGGCCATTCAGTCCCTTTACCAGAGGAGCGTGAGTTTGGTCCGCATAGCCGGTAGTAAGTCGGACCTGTTCCCAGTGAGGGTTGGACTCCGCCAGGGCTGCCCTTTGTCACCGGTTCTGTTCATCACTTTTATGGACAGAATTTCTAGACGCAGCCGTGGTGTGGAGTGTGTCGAGTTTGGTGGCAAGAGAATCTCGTCTCTGCTTTTTGCGGATGATGTGGTCCTCCTAGCTTCATCCAGCTCTGACCTTCAGCTCTTGCTGGGTAGGTTCGCGGCCGAATGTGAAGCGGCTGGGATGAGGATCAGCACCTCCAAATCTGAGACCATGGTTCTCGACCGGAAAAGGGTGGCTTGCCACCTCTGGGTCGGGGGAGAGGTCCTACCTCAAGTGGAGGAGTTTAAGTATCTCGGGGTCTTGTTCACGAGTGAGGGTAGGAGGGATCGGGAGATCGACAGGCGGATTGGTTCGGCGTCTGCAGTGATGCGGACGCTGAGCCGATCTGTCGTGGGGAAGAGGGAGCTGAGCCAGAAAGCCAGGCTCTCGATTTACCGGTCGATCGACGTCCCAATCCTCACCTATGGTCATGAGCTTTGGGTAATGACCGAAAGAACGAGATCGCGGATACAAGCGGCCGAAATGAGTTTCCTCCGTAGGGTGGCCGGGCTCAGCCTTAGAGATAGGGTGAGGAGCTCGGACATTCGGGAGGGACTCGGAGTAGAGCCGCTGCTCCTCCGGATCGAAAGGAGCCAGTTGAGGTGGTTTGGGCATCTGGTCAGGATGCCTCCTGGACGCCTCCCCGGGGAGGTGTTTCGGGCATGTCCTGCCGGCAGAAGGCCCCCGGGTCGACCCAGGACACGTCGGAGAGGTTACATCTCCAATCTGGTCCGGGAACGCCTTGGGGTCCTGCCGGAGGAGCTGGTGGACAAGGCCGGGGAGAGGACGGCCTGGAGCTCCCTAGTTGGGATGCTGTCCCCGCGACCCGGACCCGGATAAGCGGAGGAAGACGAGAGAGACTTCTATGTTGGTTCAGAGTCACGGACAAACATCCAGATCCGAGGCTCCGGTCTTCTGCTAACGCTTCAATCACAAACCTCTTCGTCCAAAGTCTCTCCTATTCTTTGAGGAGGCGTATCCAGTGCGCATGCGCCAGTTATTAGTTTAACTTTCATGTTTTTTTTAACCATTTAGTGATTCCTATCTTCCCCTTCTTCCTGTGAGATTGGTGGGGTAGCGCCCTAGCAGCCCCTATGGACGAGCCACCGCTGATCAGGATCACCTGAGGAGAAGAAGAGGTGACACCCCCAGGCACCTTCATGTTCCTGAGACCAGCAGTCACAGGAACATGAAGTAGAAGGCTCCGCCCATAGAGCCCATACAACAAAACCTACCTTCCACACCATCGGAGCAGTAAGTACCAATTCCTGTGTCACCGCTGTCAGACACCGTACTTTGTCTGCTTCCATCGTGGATCCTGTTCCTGGAGGTAGGAAGGCTGTTGAGTCCCGGTACCCACCCTGGGGGGCAAACGCTGGAACCTGAAACAAACATCCAAGAGCCACCATTAGCAGCTAGCTAGCTTAGCTTAGTGATTAGACTCAACTAGAAAACAGTGAATATAAAAAGCAGGGATGTGTATTGTTGAAATTCTGGCGATACGATACATATCACGATACACAGGGGAGACGATACGATATATCACGATATATTGCGATACATGCAGTCAGACGTTACAAGCCATTTTTTTACTGAATTTATTGTAAGAATGTTCAATAAAGAGTCCAAACTGATACGTAACATGTTTAACATGAGGGATCTGAACCATGATGGAGGGATTTAAATTTCAATGGTGGAAACAAAACCCGTTGCACACTGCTGCCAACTAGCGGGTGGCGACTGAATTGCACAAAACGAAAAGAAAATACACAAATGTTTGCATGTAAATTCTTTCAAAAATTAGATACACTGCTTTTGAATATCGATGTAATAATCACAGGAAAAAATATCACGATATAATGCCATATCAATATTTCCGATATACGGCTTTTGAATATCGATATAATATTGCTGGAAAAAATATCACGATATATTGCCATATCGATATTTTCTTACATCCCTAATAAAAAGCAACAAGTCCAACTTATATCAGAGGCAGATTTAAGTCAGTGTTTTTGCAGAACGTTCAGTTAAGCTGTAATAAAATGAGATTTTCAGCTTTTTTAATTATTTGGGAGAAAGAGACCCAAAGTCTTTGTCTGTCCTCCAGAATGTGGTTGGTTACACTAACAGACAGGGATATAAACTGAACTCGATTTTTTTAATAAACCTTGATGGACTGAAGACGGTGATGAACCGCAGCAATGAATCAAACAGACTAGAAACCCTCAAAGTATTTTTGAATTTGCAGTGAACATGTTTAACCAGGTAAGATTAACATTTCTATATTTCATGAGGAAGACAGGAACTGACTGTGATGGATGTGAAATGACAAATGTGATGCGTTTACATTACTTTCTTAGTGTTGATGATCCGTGTGCATTATCATCCACTACAGTGGATAAATAATTATTTATTATGATAATATTGTACCGATGTAGGATTACGTGTGTGAAAATGGCATTATTTATTTACCATGATGACCTTGACCGTTATGAGATATCTTGTCTCCTCCCAGTGCAAGACTAGCAGCTGAAACCGGACACCTTGCCAGCAGCAATAACTGGTCCAGAATTGTTTAGTTTTTTTTTTTTTAAACCAGCTACGGCGTAAAGTGAAATGCTTTTTATCTCATAAGGTTGCAAATCCAGCGGGGGAATTCTGGCAAAGTCAGCAGCTTGTTACATCGGTGAAAAGCAGCAGGAAGAACATAAGGGGCAGCAGTATCTCAGGAGGTCGAGCGGGTTGCCTCGTGATTGAAGATGTGGAATAAATGCCTTTCTGTGAACCTTTTTTTTTTCTTTTCTTACATTTAAGCTGCGGTGGGGGTCTGCTAGGAACATCTGGCAGTCTCCTGTAAGAAGGAGCTTCAATTCCCACCTCCAACAAAGCTTCCAAAATGTTCCGGGGGAGGTGGGGGACATTAGAGTCAGAGTGGCTCAATTCAAGTTTATTTATAAAGCGCCAAATCACGACAAGACTCGTCTCAAAGGCTCTTCACACAGTAAACATTCCAATGCATTCTGGTTTTATACAGGTATCCCTCATGTGGTAGGACTCACCGCTCGTTCCCATTTTCTAGATGGTTGCCCACAAGAAATAATGCCCCCTAACCAGAATCTCAGAACATAAAACAGCCATATGCACAGGGAATATGACTTATGCCATGGCACACCATTATGTGCTAGCTAGTCAAAGCTCTGCCGCAACACTAAGGTTTTGTTGTACTGAAAAAAATCTCCCCCTTTCTAGAGGAATATTGTTAATCTTCTCTTGCACAGAGAGGCTTATTGGATTCATGCCTTGAACACCAGTGAACCTTTAAGGGTAAATTAAGATTTAAATGTGTCTTGTTTTTGTAATTTGGTAATACTTTTTATTTGTCAACATCACTGCCACTGTTTATATGATGTAGCATTTGGCTTTTAGCATCACTGTAACTTTGACCCTCTCCCTGGGCTGCCACCGTATCGTGGTGGGGGGGTTTGGGTGTCTCAATGATCCTAGGAGCCAAGTAGCCTGAGGCTTTCTGCCTCTGGTAGGGTCACCCACGGCAAACAGGTCCTAGGTGAGGGATCAGACAAAGAGCAGCCCGAAGACCTGTTATGATGAATTATATAAATGGAAACTGTGTTCCCTCGCCCAGACGTGGGTCACTGGGCCCCCCCTCTGGAGCCAGGCCTGGAGGTGGGGTACGTTGGCGAGCGCCTGGTGGCCGGGCTTTCACCCATGGAGCCCGGCCGGGCACAGCCTGAAAAGGAAACGTGGGCCCCTCTTCCTATGGGCTCACCACTCGTGGGAGGGGCCAAAGGGGTCGGGTGCATTGTGTGACAGGTGGTAGTCGAGGGCAGGAGCCTTGATAGTCTGATCCTCGGCTACAGAAGCTGGCTCTTGGCACAATGAATGTCACCCCTCTGGTGGGGAAGGAGCCTAAGTTGGTGTGTGAGGTTGAGAGGTTCTGACTAGATATAGTCGGACTCACCTCAATGCATGGCTCTGGAACCAGTTTCCTTAAGAAGGGTTGGATCTCTACCGCTCTGGAGTTGCTCCCACTGAGAGGCGCCGAGCAGGGGTGGGCATACTAGTTGTCCCCCATCTTGATGCCTGTACGTTGGGGTTTACCCCAGTGAATGAGAGGGTAGTTTCCCTCCACCTATGTGTGGGGAGATGGGTTCTGACTGTGGTCTGTGCTTATGCACCAAGCTACAGTTCAGACTACCCACAATTTTTGGAGACCTTGGAGGGGGTGCTGGAAAGCGCTCCTTCCGGTGACTCCTCATTCTGCTGGGGGACTTTTAACGCTCACGTGGGCAACAACAGTGAGACCTGGAGAGGTGTGGTTGGGAGGAACGCCCCCCCCCCCCCGATCTGAATTTGAGTGGTGTTTTGTTATTGGACTTCTGTGCCAGTCATAGATTGTCCATAATGAACACCATGTTCAGACATAAAGGTGTCCATATGTGCTCTTGGCACCAGGATACCTTAGGCCGCAGCACGATGACCGTCTTTGTTGTTGTTTCATCTGACCTGCGGCCGCATGTCTTGGACACTCGGGTGAAGAAAGGGGCGGAGCTGTCAACTGACCACTACCTGGTGGTGAGTTGGCTCAGATGGTGGGGGAGGATGCCGGTCAGACCAGGCAGGCCCAAACGTATTGCGAGGGTCTGCTGGGAACGTCTGGCAGAGTCTCCTGTCAGCAGGAGCTTCAATTCCCACCACCGACAGTACTTCCAAAATGTTCCGGGGGAGGCGGGGGACATCAAGTCTGAATGGACCCTGTTCCGTGTCTCCATTGTTGAGGCGGCCGACCGGAGCTGTGGTCGCAGGATCGTCGGTGCCTGTCGTGGTGGCAACCCTTGAACCCGCTGGTGGACACCGGCGGTTGGGGATGCTGTCAAGCTGAAGAAAGAGTCCTGTCAGGTCTTTTTGGCCTGTGGGACTCCAGAGGCAGCTGACGGGTACTGGCAGTCCAAGCGGAAAGCAGCTCAGGTGGTCTCCAAGGCAAAAACCCGGGCATGGGAGGAGTTCGGTGAGACCATGGAGCAAGACTTCCGTACGGCTTCGAGGAGATTCTGGTCCACCATCCGACGCCTCGGGGGGGGAAAGCAGTGCGCTACCAACACAATCTATAGTGGGGACGGTGTGCTGCTGACCTCTACTCAGGACGTTGTGGATTGGTGGGCAGAATACTTCGAAGACCTCCTCAGTCCCACCGACACGTCTTCCAGTGAGGAAGCAGAGTCTGGGGACTCTGGGTTGGCCTCTCAAATCTCTGGTGCTGAGGTCACTGAGGTGGTTAAAAAGCTCTTCAGTGGCAAGGCTTCGGGGGTGGATGAGATCCGCCTGGAGTTCCTTAAGGCTCTGGATGTTGTGGGGCTGTGTTGGCTGACGCGGCTCTGCAATATCACGTGGACAAAGGGGGCAGTCCCACTGGACTGGCAGACCAGGGTGGTGGTCCCCTTATTTAAAAAGGGAGATTGCAGGGTGTGTTTCAACTATAGGGAATCACACTCCTGAGCCTTCCTGGTAAGGTCTGTTCTGGAGAGGAGGGTCCGTCGGATTGTTGAACCGCAGATTCAGGAGGAGCAATGTGGTTTTGGTCCTGGCCGTGGAACACTGGACCAGCTCTATGCTCTTAGGGGGATCCTGGAGGGTGCGTGGGAATTTGCCCAACCAGTCTACATGTGTTTTGTGGATTTGGAGAAGGCCTTTGACCGCGTACCTCGGGGGCCCTGTGGGGGGTACTCCAGGAGTATAGGGTACCAGGCCCTCTGATACGGGCTGTTAGGTCCCTGTATGACCGGCGTCAGAGCTTGGTCCGCATTGCCAGCAGTAAGTCGGGCTCGTTCCCAGTAAGAGTTGGACTCCGCCAAGGCTGCCCTTTGTCACAGATTCTGTTCATAACCTTTATGGACAGGATTTATAGGCGCAGCCAAGGTGTGGAGGGCATCTGTTATGGTGGCCTGAGGACCAGGTCTCTGCTTTTTGCAGATGATGTGGTCCTGTTGGCTTCATCAGAACGTGATCTTCAGATTTTGCTGGAGCGGTTCGCAGCCGAGTGTGAAGCAGCTGGGATGAGAATCAGCTCCTCTAAATCTGAGACCATGGTCTTGATTCGGAAAAGGGTAGAATGCCTTCTCCGGGTCAGGGATGAGGTCCTGCCCCAAGTGGAGGAGTTTAAGTATCTCAGGGTCTTGTTCAAAAGTGAGGTGCTGCATCTGCAGTGATGCGGGCGTTGCACCGGTCTGTCGTGGTGAAGAGAGAGCTGAGTCAGAAGGCGAAGCTCTCGATTTACCAGTCGATCTACATTCCTACTCTCACCTATGGTCATGAGCTTTGGGTAGTGACCGAAAGAACGAGATCGCGGATACAAGCGGTCGAAATGAGTTTTCTCCAAAGAGTGGCTGGGCTCTTCCTTAGAGATAGGGTGAGAAGCTCGGTCATTCGGGAGGGGCTAGGAGTAGACCCGCTGCTCCTCCACATCGAGAGGATCCAGTTGAGGTGGCTCGGGCATCTGGTCAGGATGCCTCCTGGACGCCTCCCTGATGAGGTTTTCCGGGCACGTCCAACCGGGAGGAGACCTAAAGGTAGACCCAGGACACGTTGGAGAGACTATGTCTCTCACCTGGCCAGGGAACACCTTGGGATTCTACCGGAGGAGCTGGCCAAAGTGGCTGGGGAGAGGGAAGTCTGGGCCTCTCGTCTTAGGCTACTGCCCCCGCGACCCGACTCCGGATAAGCGAATGAAAATGGATGGATGAATGTAACTTTGACTACAGCTCATTGATTTATAAAAACAAATTCTTTAAGTAGATGAAAATGGACTACACCATTTTTGATTGACCTTTATTGGACAGATACCAACTGAGTTGGTCCAACTCCACCTCTGTTCCAACCCTCAACTTCAAAACCAATGAGCATATGACTAGTATGTTGTTGTCTAATCAGCCTGCAAATATCTGTGTATAAAAACTGGTTGAAACATTAAACTATAACCCCTACAAAGACAACAATGTTGAAACATTAGTTGTTTTTTTTACTTGCACCTATTAAATACTTAATTTGACCAGAGTGCTCCAGATTCCTTTTTCTAATCCCCAATTGTCACTCCCAGCCATTGAGAACCAGCACTCAGTTGGATGAAGTGCGGTGTGCCCATTTATTTCTGTATTGTAGGACATTCTGCTGTCCCAAGTCTGCAGAAGGATGCTTTGAGGTACCCTCGATACAATGTGAGGCTCTTTCCTTTCCCTCTATTCTCACTAATCTAGCATCGATTAACAGGGTTTTCCTGTAGACATGCATGAGCCTCATACGTCACTCCTCGCTTGAAATAATGAGGACTGAATCCCCCTGAGCTTCGTTCTTAGAACCGAATCAGCCTGGAGGGAACTGGAATGCTAATTTGAGTAAGGAATTTTCTGAAAAGCCAGTTTTCTGAGCTAGCTTCGTGGAACAACCCTGAGGTGAGAACGCCCCACCCACTTAGACTTCACATTAGAAACATCATTCTGAGTGTAAACAGGTAACAGGAAGCTGGACTTTCCAAATGGTGTTATGGGAGGTATTCCAGAAAGTGAGATTAGAACATCGGGATCTCCTAATAAATCCCTGCTTGACTAAGCGTTCCCCTCCCGGTTTTGCCGGCTCCTCGAACAATTCTCAGGTGGATTCAATCCCATCTAATCCAGGCGAGGGTTGGCAGGCTAGGCTAACGTGTGTCCATAGACAGCCCCTGTTAATCTATGCTAGATAAATGAGAATGGAAGGAAAGTACAGAGCCTTGGTCTTTTCCCAGCTGGAGCAATAATTATTCATTCACGCCTACGAGGACTACGAAGGTATCAGAACTAAGACAGATACCATGAGCTGTTTGATTAAAGCTGTTTAGCTGGAGTTATTTAGTTAGAACGCACAGCATTTACATGTTTCCATGGCAACGCTGGAAGTCCGCTTCAGCTCATTTTTTTCCACATATTTTATTGAAGGGCAAGTCACCCCATACCAGTCTTACTCCACTCCCACTTCCTGTTTGAAAAATGCAACAAATGCTGTTGCCTAGCAGACCGAGAGGGAGGAGCCGCTAACAAATACACACACACAGACTCACAAAAGCATTGTGACATCATATGGTACCAGCTAACGTCATAAGGTACCACTTAGCCAATAGCGATGGCAAATTTAAATTCAAATGCAGTACAGACTTTTTACCTGAAGACAGTGCAACACGGACAGTTTTAGGTAGAATATTTAAATTTTAACTAAGATGCATTAAAGTGCCAAATTATTGACTACATGTGTCTGCAGCTCGATTAGACACTCATTTATATAGTTTATAAGAAAAAAAAAGGTGATTTGGGGGTGACTTGCTCTTTAAAGTTTTCATCATTTATGTCATTTTCATGTTCTGCTCCAGAGTCTGGATGTTTAGAGGCTGGAGGACATTTGTTTTTGCTGAACAGCTGAGTTTTTAACGTTCGTGGTGGTCACATGACCCTAGAGTTAACTCTGTAAACAGTTTGTCACAAATACACATTTAGCACACCTGTTACACACCAAGGGAAAACATCACGTTTGTCATTTCAATCAAATATTAGCGTGTTTGACACGTGTGACCAGAGTAAATATCCAGTCACGTCAATAAGTATTTCTTTTACATGTATTATGCTAGCAGCTGTAAGCTAGTTAGAGGACAGCATGTTAATGATGTGGGTCCATCCCACACTAAAGCTGATTTATAATTATACTTATTAATAATGCTGATGTCAGGGGCAACATCAGTGGCTGCAAATGAGGATTAAATATAAAAATGTCTCATCTCATCTCGTCTCCTTCCGCCTATCCGGGTCAGGGTCGCGGGGGCAGCTTCCCAACTAGGGAGTTCCAGACCATCTTCTCCCCCAGCCACCTCCACCAGCTCCTCCAACAGGACCCCAAGGCGTTCCTGGGCCAGTTCAGAGATGTACTTTCTCCAACATGTCCTGGGTCGGCCAGGGGGCCTCCTGCCGGCAGGGCATGCCTGAAACACCTCCCTGGGGAGGCGTCCAGGAGGCATCCTGACCAGAAGCTCAAACCACCTCAACTGACTCCTCTCGATTTGGGGGAGCAGAGGCTCTATTGAGTCTCTCTCGAATGTCCAAGCTCCTCACCCTATCCCTAAGGCTGAGTCCAGCCTCCCCGCGGAGAAAACTCCTTTCAGCCGCTTGTATCCATGATCTTGCTCTTTCGGTCATTACCCAAAGCTCATGACCACAGGTGAGGACTGAGCGTTAGGTCGACTGGTAAATCAAGAGCCTTGCTCTCCGGCTCAGCTCCTTCTTCACCACAACAGACCAGTTCAGCGTCCGCATCACTGCAGACGCTGCCCCCATCCACCTGTCGATCTCCAGGCAAAAATGTTAACGTAAATCCTAATAGAACAAATTTTTAAAAGTACAAACTAGGGCTGCACAATATTAGGAAAACCTGCATTATGCGATGACAGTAATACTGCAATGACAATATTACGTGCGATTAATAAAAACTTAACTCGGGGAAAAAATAAATTCAAAAACAAAAAAAATGACAAAAAATCATAAAAATGAGAAAAGCAAAAGATGTGATGAAAGAGAAAAAGAAAACGAACAAGAAAAGGCGATCAGTGGATCCTGGGAAAAGCAGAATCAGCAGAAAGAGCAGAACAAAGCTAACTCAGGTGTTCGCTAACCATCAAAATTAAGTGCTGTCCGCCTCGGGGACGGGCATCTAACCCATGAGAACCCACCCAATTGGCCAAATGGGTGCAGAGCTCTATTTGATTTGTTAAAAAAACATAATGCTTCCGTTTGGTTGAAAGAATGCATTATGTGTAGCAAATATTTGAGCTGACCATTCATTGCTATATTTATGTGTTCTTTACAACATGCATATTGCGCATGCTGATACCGCAATAACAACATATTTGCGATATATTCTGCAGCCCTAGTTCAAACTCCAAATGTATTAATAATTTATCCACCAAGAACAAAGCTGCAGCTGCTGTTACCGCTGTGGGCCAGCGGTGGCGCTAATTCACCACCTCGGAACCGCCAGCCACCCACAAGAAAAAGGTGACGTCACTTGCCTCGTCCAGTCGCTTTTGTAGCCTAGCTGCTAGCCTGCAAGCAGGTGTGTTCTCCGGTATGTGTTACCATGGTGAGTGGGAGGGGCTTCAGGCTAGCCACGTTTGTAAAACCAATTTAGGGGCGGTTACACCGGGAATCTCACGAGAAAGCCTGGTTTTGGTCAAATCTCGCTTTCTGGAGTACCCCACCCCCCCCACCCCCACCCCCCCCGACCCCCGTATCTTTGATGGTTTTTATACAATCCCATTTTAATTTGGAGAATTTGGGACGTTTACGCACAATTGATGGCATCATTGGAACTCCACATTTTTAAATCTTTAGCAAACAGAACCTCTCAAGAGTGCACACCCAGGTGTCCTTGACAAAAGCTGACCTCAGAATAGTTTCGGGTCCCTCTAACTCCTCCATAGAGCCAGTAGAAACATCAACATGTCCTTGTGGGACACTCAGAGCTTCTGCTCAACTGTTTGTCTTTATTTCGTGCCCCTGCCCAACTCTCATTAAGATAAAGAGGGAGACAGCTGTACGGTTACCACGGTTACCCGAATGAGCTACCAGCAGCAGCTTTAACGTTATCTCTGTTTGGAGACCAGACTTCAGTGATGGAGCCGGACTTGTTTTAAAGGCCGTGGCTAAGCCTGTACACAGCTTTTAGCTCCACCACCTCCCTTCATCTGGACCTCCTACTCAGACCCAACGAGTTCCAGCTGAGATCCGCTCATCTCTACAGAGCGACTGTAATCATTTCTAGATCTTTGCTTTCTAGGATCGCACCAGAATATAACTGAGACGTTGGATCAGAACGTTCCGTTTGAGAACTCGGATCATCCTACCTGATTTACTGAAATCACATCCAGCCTCCAGGTCACTTCTGTGCCACATTCCGTTTATGTGGGCAGCTAGAAAACCGCAATCCGGCCAGAGGGCAGACAAAGACGCAGAAACGGGTCCCCAGTGAAGGCGCAGAAACTGCTCCGGTCATGATGTTACCACAAGAAGCACGGAAATTCCTCCCTGGGTTCTCGCCGCTCTAAAAACGTTAAAGTAAACATTCTGTACCGAAGAAAGCCAAATTTTAGCATCAGCTTGAACTCTACGTGCCTTACGTTCTCTAATGACGCAGTCAGCGCAAACCCCGCCCACCAAGTTTCTGGGCGTGTCTAACTCCGCGGAATTTGTTAAGTCACGCCCATTTACTTCTGTTGACAGGTGTTTTAACGGTTTTAACCCTCTGCTCACTAGTGACCTGGTCAAAATGTGAAAGTTGAAATGTTTCATTTGAAAGTAGTCAAAAATTTGAAAGTAGTAAATCGCTCATCTGGGCTAAGTAAATAAGCGTATGAACGTTTTTCAAGGCTGAATATCTTATTCTCTAATCCTGAAACAACTCCATCAGATGCAAACTTCATCTGACCACCAGCTGTCACCTGTATCTCACCAGCCAGTCATGCAAATTCAAAGGAAGGTTCGAGATTTTACAACCCAGACATCACAATTTTTTAAGACACGTAATTAGGGTTGTTTAACATAGCAGTCTGTTTCAGGCGCGCAGATAGGGTGAGGGACTATATTGTAGGTGCAGTTTTTAAGGGTTTTTATGTTTTCTGTAATGATCGGTGCTGAAAATCATTTAATGTTTTGCATAAAGCATGAGGGTTTGGTTAGTAATTGACTGGAATAATAACTAATGACTGAATTAAATAGAAGAAGAAGAAAATATCAATTCTATAGCGCCTCTCAAGATAAAAATCACGAGGCGCTTCACAAAAAACAAAAACAAAAAATAAAAAAATTGTAAAAATATAAAAAAGCATTTCGAAAATGTTTAAAATATATTTAAAATGAGCAAGAATAAGCTATTGCGATTTAAAAGAAAAAATGTTAAGAAAGAGAGAGAGTGAACAGGAAAGAGGGAAATCAGTGGATCCTGAGGAAGGTGGAATAGGTGGGGAGAGCAGAATAAAGAGAGAGAGGTGAAGAAGGTCATACAAAAGCCAGCTTGAACAAGTGAGTCTTCAGCTGCTTTTTGAAGGAGACCACTGAGTCCCTGAGTCATTTAATGTTTTGCATAAAGCATGAGGGTTTGGTTAGTAATTGACTGGAAGAATAACTAATGACTGAATTAAATAGTGGGGCGCCTCTGTCAGTGTGCCCCAGGGCAGCTGTGGCTACATCGTAGCTCATCACCATCAGTGTGTATATGTGTGTGAATGAATGAATAATACACTGTAGTGTAAAGCACTTTAGAGTCCTTACTCTGAGAGGCGCTATACATGTGGATCATTTATCATTTATAGTGTTGATCAGGCAGAGCTTTGTTGCCAGCGTTCCACTGCATAATGGCTTCAGACACGTATATAAAAGTTAGTTTTTTCGTAAACCATTGGATGAAATTACACAAACTGACTGAGCTCTAGTTAAGGCGCTTGCAATAGTTTGTGTGTGTATGTGTGTGTGTGTGTGTGTGTGGTGGTGGTGGTGGTGGGGGGAGGGGGGGGGCTTACATTGGAACTTTGTCCCCCCCCCCCCCCCCCCCAGTTTGAAAATCCTATCTGCGCCCCTGGTCTGTTTTATAGAGGTCAGTCACCTTTTCTTGTAGATCCTGTGACAATTCATTTATTTCCCAGCGACTCATAAACTGGAATTGTTAGTGCATAGAAGGCTTGTTTTGGTATTTTGAAAGTTGAAGTTAGGTCTCACATTTTTCCTCATAAATGGCTTCACAACATCACGGACCATGAGTGAAGTTTATTGTGTTTTCATTCACAAGTTACCCCCCAAAAATGTAAAAAGATCCAAAAGAGTGTTTTGTAGTGACATGTTTAACCAGAGGGGGCGCTGATGCACCGAAATGGAGCCCTCTGCTTTTGACTAAAAGAGAAGAAGAAAGAAGAAGCCCACCGATTCAGCGGAGCATCATGGCGGACACCAGAGAGAAAGCGTTGCAAGATTACAGGAAAAAATTACTAGAACATAAAGAAGTAGACGGACGATTAAAAGAATGTAATAAAAATGTTTTTTGTTTATTTAGTGTGAAGGTGTTTTCCCAGAGTGAACCCGTATCTAAGCTGTGAGCCACTGGTAGCCGGCTGTTAGCTAACTGCTTTGTCATGCTGTTTACATTTTCACAAAAGAGGAGACAGTCAGATATGTGATATGTGTTTAAATATATAGATAGATGGCTGTATAAAACCCGACAGTAATTCGGTGTATGGGTTCCAGTTTTATTTTTCATTTTTAGTGTTTTAAGTGCGAATGCTAACGTTGAGCAGCTAGCTCACATTCACTACGTGATGAAAACTGTCGCTGAAAGTGTGTTTTTGTTCGTGTTTCGCCAGTGAGAGAACAGTTAAGGGAGCAAACCAAACAGTACGAGAAGTCAGAGAATGATCTGAAGGCACTTCAGAGCGTCGGACAGGTAAAACAAACCTTACATGTTGTGTTTGTGCCGAAGATCGCGTTCGGGTCTGTCTAACTGTTTCTGTTTCAGATTGTTGGAGAGGTGCTGAAACAGCTCACCGAGGAGAAATGTAAGTTCGCTGATCTCACTCTGTTCATTTTTCTTTGTCTTTCTCTCATTTCGCCCATTATGAATTTTTTCATTTAGGCCGATAATAGACAAGCAGCCGATTCACCAGAAACCAGGAAATAAACGTGAAAAATGAAAATAAAAACAATCAAAAGGTCCCTTTAGTTCAAAGGCATCCAGTCATTGACTGTAGAAAAGCCTTTCAGTACCTGTGCCCTGTTCAGAGTGGACATGTGGGACATTAGTGACCCTAGACTACTGGGTGAAATGAAGCAAATACAAAGACTTTCTCCTCCTAAAACCTTCCCTGAATTGACTTTCCTTCATAAAACTGGACCAAACCCAGTAAAAAAAGACTTAATATGGTGACCAAGATCATGTTCTTGTTGCTGATACTGGATTTAAAATTATTCAGATCTAAGGAGTTCTGTCATGAAACCATGTTTAGCCTCCAATCCACAAAGAATATTGATGTTTTTTCTACAAGTAATAAAGTTTACATTTAATGTATTACTGATCCGGTAGAAATGAAATACATTTACATTTTTTAACTTTGGGGACTTTGATAATATTTTTCATGAAATGAGAAATGTAGCTCCAGGTTTGATGGTTCACCTCCTCATGGTGTTTAGGAAAGCTGGGGTAGACCCAACATCAGTAACAGCTGAGGGTCACTTGTGTTTTTCTCTAACTCTAGTCATTGTCAAGGCCACCAACGGTCCTCGATATGTGGTGGGATGTCGCAGACAGGTAAGCCCTCATCATCCTGTTGTAACAGAGCTTTGTGTCTAGAGGCTTTAGAACCTCAGAGAAACCCAGACTAACCCTAAATGCTCTGATATAAACATGGAGGAGCAGATTAATAATCTGCAGAGGAGACAGGAAGGGATTGTTTCTCTTAAAATGAGTTAATGTATGCCTTTGATTACAGATGAAGCCCAAAGTCAGTGACTGATGCGTTTATCTACCTGTCGCTATAGCAACATGTCTGAGTCAGAAGTCCAGCTGGATTTCTACGCGCTGATGCAGAAACTACAGGTCCTTCTCAAAAAATTAGCATATTGTGATAAAGTTCATTATTGTCTGTAATGTACTGATAAACATTAGACTTTCATATATATTAGATTCATTACACACAACTGAAGTAGTTCAAGCCTTTTATTGTTTCTGATATTGATGATTTTGGAGTACATCATGAAATCCCAAAACTCCTATCTCAAACAATTAGCATATTTCATCCGACCAACAAAAGAAAATAATTATGTTCAGTTATGCACTCTGTACTTGGTCGGGAATCCTTTAGCAGAAATGACTGCTTCAGTGCGGCGTGGCATGGAGGCAATCAGCCTGTGGCACTGCTGAGGTGTTCTGGAGGCCCAGGATGCTTCGATAGCGGCCTTAAGCTCATCCAGAGTGTTGGGTCTTGCGTCTCTCAGCTTTCTCTTCACAACATCCCACAGGTTCTCTACGGGGTTCAGGTCAGGAGAGTTGGCAGGCCAGTTGAGCACAGTAATACCATGGTCAGTAAACCATTTACCAGTGGTGTTGGCACTGTGAGCAGGTGCCAGGTCGTGCTGAAAAAAGTACTCTGGACCACTGAGCAACAGTCCAGTGCTGCTTCTCTGTAGCCCAGGTCAGGCGCTTCTGCCGCTGTTTCTGGTTCAAAAGTGGCTTGACCTGGGGAATGCGGCACCTGTAGCCCATTTCCTGTACACGGTGGCTCTGGATGTTTCTACTCCAGACTCAGTCCACTGCTTCCGCAGGTCCCCCAAGGTCTGGAATCGGTCCTTCTCCACAATCCTCCTCAGGGTCCGGTCACCTCTTCTCGTTGTGAAACGTTTTCTGCCACACTTTTTCCTTCCCACAGACTTCCCACTGAGGTGCCTTGATACAGCACTCTGGGAACAGCCTATTCGTTCAGAAATGTCTTTCTGTGTCTTACCCTCTTGCTTGAGGGTGTCAATGACGGCCTTCTGGACAGCAGTCAGGTCGGCAGTCTTACCCATGATTGTGGTTTTGAGTAATGAACCAGGCTGGGAGTTTTTAAAAGCCTCAGGAATCTTTTGCAGGTGTTTAGAGTTAATTGGTTGATTCAGATGATTAGGTTAGTAGCTCGTTTAGAGAACCTTTTCATGATATACTAATTTTTTGAGATAGGAGTTTTGGGTTTTCATGAGCTGTACGCCAAAATCATTAATATTAGAAACAATAAAAGGCTTGAACTACTTCAGTTGTGTGTAATGAATCTAATATATATGAAAGTCTAAAGTTTATCAGTACATTACAGACAATAATGAACTTTATCACAATATGCTAATTTTTTGAGAAGGACCTGTATATAGTTGTTGCTATATATATATATATATATTTTTTTTTTATATATATATATTTGTATGTGTATATATATATATATATATATATATATATATATATATATATATATATGCATACACAAACACAGAGCCAGGCCTAGGGCTGGACGAAATAATAAAAATGAGCATATTGATAAACAGTTTTTTATTTTGCTGGATATCGATTAATTATTGAAAAAATTTTTTTTTTTAAAGAAATTGTAGAAAATATATTTTAAGTGCGGCCCTGGCCATTTTATAACTACTTTCAATAAAGAAAAACTAAAACTGACTTAAATTCTATATTTTCTTTATAATCTTTATTATTACGGCTGAACGATTACAGGAAAAGATTTAATTTCATTCCTTTTTCAAACAGAAATTAAGATTTCAGTCCAATTCATGATTTTCCTCAAACCAAGGTTAAACTGTATCACATTTATGGGGTTAGGTAGGTGTGTGTTTGTGTGTGTGTGTGTGTGTGTGTGTGTGTGTGTGTGTGTGTGTGTGTGTGTGTGTGTGTGTGTGTGTGTGTGTGTGTGAGAGAGAGACAGACTAACTTCAGCTACTTCAACTGTGGGACACATTTGGCGATCCACGGTCACACACACACTTCTCGGGAACACGCAAATCTCAGAGCACGTGGGCAAAGCCAAAGATGTGCAGATAAGTGTGTGCTGTCCTCCTTTATTTAAACAAAGGCAGACGTGAGCAGCGTTGCTTTTGGAGACTTCTGATATGAAGGATGCTGCTTCCTACTAGTGAGACTCTCTCTATAAACAGCTGTTTCATCATCACTAGTTGAGCGTTAGCAGCAGGGGCTGATGGCCAGTCAGCTGCAGCCCTGTAACGCTGCTACGGAAGGGGAAGGAAATAAACATGTAAATAAACAAGAACTGGCCTCAGCTCCCATTACAACTTTAAGAAAGGACTTGTAAAAACCAAATTATTCTTTTGGGACAATTTCCTCTGCCTCTTCTTGCTGCAGCGTCTGGTTTAAGTCACGTGCTGTGACCTGGTGACGGCGCGTGCCTGGATCTGTGTTGTTGATTGGTTGGGAGTGTAGTGTTGAGCTACCTGATAGGCTATAATGAAAAACAGGAAATTCTTTTATCAATCGCATCACACATCCATCGATAAATCCATATTGTTGAACTGTTGTCCAGCCCTAGCAAGGCCCAATCAAAATAGGTAAGACCACTTGAAAAGTGGGCAAAAATTATGTTTTGCATATTTGGATTCAAGGTGCAACCAGAAGAAATGGGAGTGAGACAGGTGTCTGTTAGGACACCGGACGATCCTGGACCCGGCTTAAAGGGCATCTTTAATGTTCTTTAAAATGATAGAAAACATCATCTAAGGTCAAAGGTTACTTTGGTTTTCCTCCCAGGTTTTCAGATAACTAGCAGGTGTTTAAAAATACTGAATCAAGGGAAGTGGGCAGGCTTCCCTAAAAACGGGCGGTTTTGGGTACACGTGACTCTTGCGTACCTCAAGGAAGACGGGCTTGACTCCAGCAACACCGATTCAACTACTTCAGCGATGGTTCATGTTTGTGTGTGTTGGGGTTGTCCAAACTGTCTGGACATCGTGTTCGTCCATTTCCACAACAGAAAATGAATATGTGAAGCACAGAGATCATATAAGCTTAAGATCCAACCATGCAAAATAGAGTTTTGGGCCATTTTCCAAGTGGTCTTAAACTTTTGATCGGGACTGTAAACAACGCCGGTGCTGCTGGCAGCCAACAGGAAGTCCCCCTGAGAAATATTTAAACCTAAATCTGCTCTTTTGTTTTGGTCTCTGGACAAATCTACCCTAAGTAAATAAACATGTGGCTAATAAGTCTAATGTAGTCGTGCTGAAAGAGTCACTTCCTGTTTACTATAACCACATGAGTGTGAAGGGTGTGTGTGCTGATGTGTGATTTGTCCTCCCTAGCTGGACAAGTCCCAGCTGAAGCCAGGCACCAGAGTGGCTCTGGACATGACCACACTCACGATCATGAGGTGAGTCCAGAACTCGTTCCGATTATCTTCAGAAAGCAGGATTTAATGTAGGAGTTCAGACTGAGTTTAAAGGATTACTGACTTGATGTTGGAGTTCTAGGTAGCAAACGACCAGAAGGAGTTTCAGGAACGTCCTCATTGGTACCCGGATGTGTGTTGTTCTCTGGCAGGTACCTGCCCAGGGAGGTGGACCCCCTGGTGTACAACATGTCCCATGAAGACCCTGGTAGCGTCTCCTACTCTGAGATCGGAGGACTGTCGGAACAAATCCGTGAGCTGAGAGAAGTACGAGTCCAAATCTGTTTTCAGAGTCGTTCGGTGGTCGGGGACAAGGTCCTGCCAAAGGGGAGGAGTTTAAGTATGTCAGGGAAAGCTGGAGCGTGAGCTGGACAGGCGGACTGGTGCGGGTGTTGTACCGGTCTGTCGTGGTGAAGAGGGAGCTGAGTCCTCTGGTCGCGCCACATTCCAAACTTCACCTGTGGGCGACGGTGGACTTAAGTACCCGTCCGTAACGGGAGGGGTGGTAGGTTCGAGCCCAGCTGTCACAGTGGTTGCGTCTTTGGCCAAGACGCTGGAAGGACGGTTTATTCTGAGCCTTCTGGGTGTTTGTAAGGAACTCGATCCAACCTGAAGTAACAGAGCAGCGCTAAACTCGCCTCTGGTGAATGATTGGCTGGTCGGAACAGCGTTTCCTAGGGGTTGACGTCACCGTGCGAGTGCTGCTAGGTGCCAGTGCTAGACAAACAATCCGCATTTGCCATCTTACAAAAAGCAGACTAAACGCTTGGACGTCGATTAAAAAATAAAAAAAACAGACGAAACAAATTCCAAACTTTAACGCTCAGAGAGCTCTGCGAGGAACGGGTCGCTGTTTAAGGTCTGTTCTTTCCTCCTGGGTCACTGTTGTAACGTACCCGCCACCTCTGGCCAAAAGCCTTTTCCGTCCACCCGTGGAGGGACGTGATGTTTGGCTCAGACGTGCAGCTGGACCTCCGTTTACACCGCTGCCTCCTGCGTACCCACACCTGAGAGCGTAGCTAGGATCGGCTCGTTATCTGTATGCAAATATTAAGCTCTTATAAAATGTTAATTTCATTTAAATCTTTGATATTGTAGTTTTTTTATATCTATAATGGCCTCACTCAGAAGAAATGCTTCAGGTTTTTGGGCTTATTCAGCTTCAGGGTGGACCTTCCCCTGTATGTAAAGATTATTTGATCCAAGGAAAGTTCCTTGTGGACCAGATGGCTGGAGCGTGTGCAATGTTCATGTCAACTGGGTTTCATTTCTACTGCGTCCGCTCCTGTCACTACTAGTGGTGGTGTAACCGTCTTTCTGCAGCCTCCTCGTCCCTGACACGGTGAAACAAGCTCCAGATCCTGTGTGTGAAGCGTGTTTACTCATGATGTGCACAGACTCTAGCTGCAGCTTGTTCCTCACTGAACCTGTGAACCAGTCAAGCATTGTACGTGTCTCCTCGATGATCGCCCTAGGTGTGCGCCGCTCCTCCACCGCGACCCTCCCAACATGAGGTGGCTTTCAGACTCTGAACACGTCGGCAGAAACACCCAGAAGTGTTGCTCAGATTCAAGTTCCACGTCTCCACTATCTTCTGGTGTGAAGTAATAACTTCACGAGGGATCATGTCTACAGCCGTGGCTCGTTAAACCCACTTGTCGCAGTTTTGTGACTTTGGCGCTTAAAGGGTTCATCTGGACTAGGATCCTGTCCTCACAGGGATCTGCAGGCTTCTGTAGGTAGTTTGTACAGGTAGACCTCAGGTCAACTGTCTGATTGTTGTCTGGTTGTCGGGATCAGGTGATTGAGCTTCCTCTGACCAACCCTGAGCTGTTCCAGAGGGTGGGCATCATTCCTCCTAAAGGCTGCCTGCTGTATGGACCTCCAGGTGAGCAGAGGAGTTAAACAGTTACAGCAGACGTGGAGCATAAAGCTGGAGGTTGATGGTTTCTTCTCAAACAGGAACTGGAAAGACTCTTCTAGCCAGAGCTGTGGCCAGTCAGCTGGACTGTAACTTTCTTAAGGTTTGTGTCTCCGGCTCATGGTAACGTGGTTTAGCTCAGCAACGCCGTGAGCTTCCCGCCTCTGTGTTGTGCTGCAGGTGGTGTCCAGCTCCATTGTGGACAAGTACATCGGAGAGAGCGCCAGGCTCATCAGAGAGATGTTCAACTACGCCAGAGACCACCAGCCCTGCATCATCTTCATGGATGAGATCGATGCCATCGGTGAGCGGAGCCGCTGGGCTTCAGAAGGGACACACACACACACACACGCACGCACGCACACACACACACACACACACACACACACACACACACACCAGTATACAAGTTAATGCATGTGTGACCAACATCCTGCTGGGATCAAACGATTCTCCCGTTCGTCTGCAGGAGGACGTCGGTTCTCCGAGGGAACATCAGCCGACAGAGAGATCCAGAGGACTCTGATGGAGGCGAGTAAACCACAGCTGTTGGCCACGGTTCAAGCGAACAAATCGAGCAAAAAGTTTAAGATAAAGATTTAAAAATATGGTTAAAATGAAAAAATAAATTGACGATTGTTATTTAGACATTATAGAAAAGGGAAAGAGGGAAAAAACGGCATGTTTACCTTTGCAGCTTCAACCCACCACTGCTGAAAACCTGCTTCGATGACTGGTCACAGGTAAACCTGTAGAACGGCAAAACATTGCGCAGTGTGATCCGGGCTTTAGATGGTGAAGACAGAATCGTCTTGGACAAAAACGGTCTTTTTACGCCCACAAGGGTCTGACTGATGTCCTCCAATAAAACAGTTTGTCCACAATCGATCAAGATAAACAGCCAAAAACCTCCAACCTTCTCGTGTTAGCTTAGACGGTGGATCCCAACAGGTGAGCTGTGGTATTCCCCAGCTGCCGACTCTGGTGTGATTTGTGTCAGTTAGTTCTTCAGCAGCCTTGTCTTTGTTCTCCAGCTGCTGAACCAGATGGACGGTTTTGACACACTACACAGAGTCAAGATGATCATGGCCACCAACAGGCCAGACACCCTAGACCCGGCCCTGCTGCGGCCCGGAAGACTGGACCGGAAAATCCGTGAGAATTCCTTCTGGGACTTTTCCTTTTTCCCCCGTTCTTCCACATAACCGGTGTGTGTCGTTTTTCTCCTCAGACATCGAGCTGCCGAACGAGCAGGCCCGCCTGGACATCCTGAAGATCCACTCCAGTCCCATCACCAAGCATGGAGAGATAGGTCAGCGAGCAGCAGGAGGTCTCAGTCAGTGCGGTTACTTGTTCGCTGGCCGACATCTAAGTCGATCCAGGTCGATCTCGTTGTAATGAGCTGGGAGTCTTTATCCTAGTTTACATGTGCATTAGAAAACCGGCCTCTCAAATAAAGTTGGTTCCACTCTGGTACAGTAGGTGGCGACCCTTTTCATGTCTGTATTCTTCCGGTTAGCTTAAAGCAGCACAAGCGGTAACTAGAGGCTGGCGGGAGTGAAGCGGGATGTGAACAATGGCTGAAGGACACAGCTTATCCGGTGCGTACCGTCCTGTTTCACGGTGTTGTGCGTGTTGCTTTGTCAATTCAATTCAATTTTATTTATAAAGCGCCAAATCACGACAAGAGTCGTCTCAAGGCACTTCACATAATAAACACTCCAATTCAGGTCAGTTCATTAAGTCAATCAGAAATAATGTTTCCTATATAAGGAACCCAGCAAATTGCATCTAGTCACTGACTAGTGTCAGTGACTATACAGCAATCCTCATACTAAGCAAGCATAAAGCGACAGTGGAGAGGAAAACTCCCTTTTAACAGGAAGAAACCTCCAGAGGATCCTGGCTCAGTATAAGCAGCCATCCTCCACGACTCACTGGGGATCGAGAAGACAGAGCACACACACACACGACGGTCTTGTCAGAAGACGACTTCTGCAGTCTCGTCACCTCCAGAAAGTGACCCAGTTACATGCAGAATGTAATCAGATTACTACTGCCTTATGTGGGTGCTTCAGCTCTATTGGAATCAGCCCACTGCCAGCCAGAGTAACACGTTCTTTTTAAGGCAATACGTTGTTTTTCTGATGTGCATGTAAACACACTGACTGGTTACCATGAGACTGGGACAGCAGCGGTTCAGGAGGTGGAGCAGGTTGTCCCGTAATCAGAAGGTTGCAGGTTCGATCCCACCAGAAAACGCTGCTGTTGCGTCCTTGGGCAAGACGCTTAACCCACCTTGCATGCTGGTGGTGGTCGGAGGCCTCACCTCTGTCGGTGCGCCCCAGGGCAGCTGTGGCTACGATGTAGCTCATCACCAGCGTGTGTGAATGACTGTTGTGAAGCGCTTTGGGGGGTTTTAGAACCCTTAGAAGGCGCTATACAACTACAGCCATTCAACGTTGCATCCCTGTAAACGCTTCATGCGGTTTTCTTGATGTTTCCAGATTTTGAAGCCATCGTGAAGCTCTCTGATGGTTTTAATGGAGCTGATCTCAGAAACGTGTGCACAGAAGCAGGTTAGACACTCGTCAGTAAAAATCTTAAGTTTCATCTCGCACTTTGGTCTCCATGGTAACCCCTGTATCTGTTTCCAGGACTGTTTGCCATCAGGTCCGATCGAGAGTACGTCACTCAGGAAGACTTTATGAAAGCGGTGAGGAAGGTTGGCGACTCAAAGAAGCTGGAGTCCAAGTTGGACTACAAACCCGTATAAACCCACTCCTCCTGTCCCTAAAACTTTGTTTTTTTATGCTTCAAAACCTGCGAAGTTTGTTTGTGGGAAGCAGCAGATCTCCTCCTCCCCGTCGCCAACATGACAAATCAGAGCAAAAACTGCTTGTTTCATTCTGGTCCACTTGGTTGTTTGTATCACCTCTGAAATGTAATAAAATATATCATCTAAGTTCTGACCCAGGAGCCTGTGGTGTTTTTCCTCTGAGATGAAGAGCTGAAGGACGTACTTGTGGGTCGTTATCAGGCCAGCTGCAGAGCCCCCTCTACTTGAGGTGGTATTTATGTTTGCGGTTAGGACCGAAAAGTAAATAGTTATATATATATATAAATTAGTCTCTGACCTTTATCAGCTGAATATATCAGGCTACTTTACTTTAAACAGTTTGAATCTGAGGTTGATGCTTGAATAAGTTCATATAAATTAATTCTGCGTTTTAAAGTGACTGTGTGTAAGAAGAGTTCCATTTATGATGTCTAAAGTAGTCTGACCCTGCAGGACGTTATGTGATGGTGGCGGGCCGTCTTCGTGGAGTTCCATTTGTTTTGTTAAACATTTATGCCCCGAACTGGGAGGATTCTGTTTAACAATGTTTTTTCACAATTGCCTAATATGGATTTGCATCATATTATTTTGGGTGGGGATATGAACTGCGTTCTTTCCACAGCTTTGGATCACAGCTCCCCCAAGTCAGCAGTCAGTTCATAGTCAGCTGAGGTCATTAAAATTTTTCTCCAGGCATCAAGTTTAGCAGACGTTTGGCGTTTTTACAGTCCTAATACCAAGAGCTACTCCTTTTTTTTGCCAGTCCATAAGTCATTGTCAAGAATAATTATTTTTTTATAAACTCATTCCAAATGTTTCAGATTGTGAGTATCAACCTATTGTCATTTTGGACCATGGCCCTTTAACTATGACATTGCGCATTCCTGGGGCAGCCTCGGGTCACCGACCTTGGAGACTCAATCCTCGGTTTCTTTCTGATGATGGCTTTGTGACTTTTATTAATTCGGAAATAGAAATTTTTCTTGCCCAGTATCAGACTCCAGGGGTCTCATACTCTTTAATTTGGGAATCATTAAAAGCATATTTGAGAGGACAGGTTATTTCATATTGTGCAAGGCAAAGGAAGGAGCGTACAAGTCGACTGATGCAATTGGCCGATGAAATTTAGAAATTAGATCTGTTGTACAGTGCCTCGTCTTCAGATACTTTGCACAAACAGGGCCTTACTCTCAAAATGGAATCTGACCTCCTTTCGACCCACCAAGCAGAAAATTTGATTTTGAAATCCAGCCTTAAGTATTATGAACACGGGGAAAGAGCAGGTAAAGTTTTGGCACACCAGCTGCGTCAGAACTGCTAACCAGTATATATCGGAAGTTAATGATGAACAAAATAAAACACACAGGTCACTTTGAAATCAACAGGTGTTTCTACAACTATATTCAAGGTTATATACCTCGGAGTCGCTCCAGAATTCCAGGCTAGACTCCTTTCTTCATGATCTGGACGTTCCCCAGTTAAAACCAGAATCAACTGCCAGGATGGAAGAGAATATTTCAACAGGAGAACTGATTGCAGCTATAAAGACCGTGCAAAGTGGAAAATCATCCGGCCCAGATGGGTTTCCATCTGAATTTTTAAAAACTTTCTCTAGGGTACTTGTCCCACTTTTACTCTGTATTTAATGAATCCCTCTCAACAAATCCTATCCCCCCAACTATGCGGAAAGCCACCATTTCTCTTATTCTGAAGAATGATAAAACTCCCAGTAATTGCAGTTCATATCGGCCTGTATCTCTTCTTAACACGGATGTCAAAGTCCTTACTAAACTGCTTGCCCGACGTTCAGAACACGCTCTCCCCTTGATCATAGCGTCCGACCAAACTGGCTTCATGAAGGGTAGATATTCGTTTTTTTAATCTCAGGCGTCTTTTCAATATTTTTTATAACCCCTCTGCATCAGCCACACCAGAGATGGTGCTATCATTGGACGTGGAGAAGGCGTTCGACCGCGCGGTTTTATACTCTCGAAACATTTGGTTTTGGTCAAAAGTTTTTATCTTGGATTAAAATTCTCTATTCATCACTAATGGCAGCTGTCCGAACAAATAACTACATTTCAGCTTTATTTGACCTACAGAGCAGCGTTAGACAGGGTTGTCCATTGTCACCGCTCCTCTTCGCAATAGCCATAGAACCCTTAGCGCTCGCTGTCCGACAGGATATTCATACTAAAGGGATTACTCGTGGTGGTAGAGTGCAAGCTTTCTCTTTATGCTGATGACTTGCTTTCGTATGTTTGTGATCCCATGAACAGCCTTCCTCATATACTGAATGTTTTGCATAGATTTGGTAGAATATCTGGTTATAAAATTAATATCCAGAAAAGTGAACCGATACCAATTAATTTGGCTGCAAGAAGTACTTCCTTTAGTTCCACACCTTTCAAAATTAATACTGAAAGGTTTAAATATCTAGGAATTTGGATATCCCTAAATTACAAGGATCTTTATAAATGTAATTTTTTGCTCCTCATAGATCGACTGAAACAGGATGTTAAGAGTCTGGGACATGCCACCCCTCTCTTTAAGTGCTAGAACAAACATTATTAAGATGTCCTTTTTGCCAAGACTTCTCTCTGTTCCAAAACATTCCTATTTACTTGACAACATTTTGCTTCCCAATCTGTTGACAATATAATTTCTGCGTTTATCTGGAATCCCCCCCGTATTCGGAGGTTGACATTACAGAAACCCAGCTTTCCAGGGGGCCTAGCACTCCCCATTTTCTTTAATTACTATTGGTCAGCAAACATCAGAGCCCTAAATTATTGGATGAAGGATGAGAACTCCCCTGAGGCCCCCTGAACTCCCATTTCCAAAGCCAATTTCTTATACTTGCAATCCTGTTGTGCTACATTCCATTAAAATCTGGAACCAACTCAGGTAATTCAAGATTCATAACCTGTTTTTCAATCCCAGCTGCTAGTGATCATTCATAGGATCTACACTTCATCAATATGTCAGAGACACACTGTAATTCAGTTCAAGATTGTTCATAGGTTGCACTGGTCAAAAGCCAGATTATCCAAGATTAGATCAGATGTGGACCCAGTATGTGACAGATGTAAGCAGGACTCTGCAGACCTTGTCCACTCGTTTTGGACTTGCCCTAAACTGCACAATTTCTGGTTTTCAATATTTGAAACCTTTTCTAAAGTGTTGAAAGTTTCAGTCGACCCATCTCCTTTTATTGCTTTATTTGGGGTCACACCACAGAACATACAGATTAATGAGTGGCAGGGTAATATGTTGACTTTTTGTACATTTCTTGCCCGACGTCTCATCTTGACCAGGTGAAGGACCGACATCCCCCTGTGTATTCACATTGGATTACAGAGGCTATGACATACATAAAATTAGAAAAAAAATCAGGTACTGCGTCCAAGCCTCAATCAATAAATTCTGACATTTGGCAGCCCTTCCTGACTTTCTTAGAAAAAATTGAGGCAGAGAAATTGAGGCAATAAAGGGAGTGCAGAATTATTAGGCAAATGAGTATTTAGTCCACATCATCCTCTTCATGCATGTTGTCTTACTCCAAGCTGTATAGGCTCGAAAGCCTACTACCAGTTGAGCATATTAGGTGATGTGCATCTCTGTAATGAGAAGGGGTGTGGTCTAATGACATCAACACCCTATATCAGGTGTGCATAATTATTAGGCAGCTTCCTTTCCTTTGGCAAAATGGGTCAAAAGAAGGACTTGACAGGCTCAGAAAGGTCAAAAACAGTGAGATATCTTGCAGAGGGATGCAGCAGTCTTAAAACTGCAAAGCTTCTGAAGCGTGATCGTCGAACAATCAAGCGTTTCATTCAAAATAGTCAACAGGGTCGCAAGAAGCGTGTGGACAAACCAAGGCGCAAAATAGCTGCCCAAGAACTGAGAAAAGTCAAGCGTGCAGCTGCCAAGATGCCACTTGCCACCAGTTTGGCCGTATTTCAGAGCTGCAACATCACTGGAGTGCCCAAAAGCACAAGGTGTGCAATACTCAGAGACATGGCCAAGGTAAGAAAGGCTGAAAGACGACCACCACTGAACCAGACACACAAGCTGAAACGTCAAGACTGGGCCAAGAAATATCTCCAGACTGATGTTTCTAAGGTTTTATGGACTGATGAGATGAGAGTGAGTCTTGATGGGCCAGATGGATGGGCCCGTGGCTGGATTGGTAAAGGGCAGAGAGCTCCAGTCTGACTCAGGCGCCAGCAAGGTGGAGGTGGAGTACTGGTTTGGGCTGGTATCATCAAAGATGAGCTTGTGGGGCCTTTTCAGGTTGAGGATGGAGTCAAGCTCAACTCCCAGTCCTACTGCCAGTTTCTGGAAGACACCTTCTTCAAGCAGTGGTACAGGAAGAAGTCTGCATCCTTCAAGAAAAACATGATGTTCATGCAGGACAATGCTCCATCACACGCGTCCAAGTACTCCACAGCGTGGCTGGCAAGAAAGGGTATAAAAGAAGAAAAACTAATGACATGGCCTCCTTGTTCACCTGATCTGAACCCCATTGAGAACCTGTGGTCCATCATCACATGTGAGATTTACAAGGAGGGAAAACGGTACACCTCTCTGAACCGTGTCTGGGAGGCTGTGGTTGCTGCTGCACACAATGTTGATGGTGAACAGATCAAAACACTGACAGAATCCATGGATGGCAGGCTTTTGAGTGTCCTTGCAAAGAAAGGTGGCTATATTGGTCGCTGATTTGTTTTTGTATTGTTTTTGAATGTGAGAAATGTATATTTGGGAATGTGGAGATGTTATACTGGTTTCACTGGTAAAAATAAATAATTGAAATGGGTATATATTTGTTTTTTGTTAAGTTGCCTAATAATTATGCACAGTAATAGTCACCTGCACACACAGATATCCCCCTAAAATAGCTACAACTAAAAACTACTTCCAAAAACATTCAGCTTTGATATTAATGAGTTGTTTGGGTTCATTGAGAACATGGTTGTTGTTCAATAATAAAATTATTCCTCAAAAATACAACTTGCCTAATAATTCTGCACTCCCTGTAAAGGTAAAATCAGGATTTCTGGTTCAGCTTAGATAGTGGCTCAAGTTTTATCCTGTTTAGATGGTATTAGATGGTCTGGTTCTGTTCTGGGGACAACTGTGGAACCACAGGAGGAGATCATGCAAAGAAGGATTCTCCAGAGAATCAAGAAAATGATGGACAACCCTGAGCATTCTCTTCACAAGACTGTCCGACAACAGAAGAGTGTCTTCAGTCAGAGGCTTCTTCAGTTTGGCTGCAACACTGACCGCTACTGGAGATCCTTCCTGCCAACAGCCATTGTAATATACAACACCTCTTTGATGACTTGATTATTATTATTATTCTGAGCTACTACAGCAATCAGTTTCCCTCTGGAATTAATAAAGTATTTTTGAATTTGAATTAGCCTAGCGGGTGGGGATTGTTCAATCACCTCAGGTAGTATAGTTTTGTTGTTGTTTGAGTGTGTGTGTCTTTTTGTTATTGCTGTTTGTTTGTTGTACTCTTGCCACATTTTTTTTCTCTTACCTGTATTGTTGCAAATACGTATGCTTGAACAATATGCATATGGCTGGATTTTGTGTCTGTAAAATGAAAAAGGCTAATAAACAGACTTTGAACAAAAAAATAATAAAGTGACAATGTGTATTTTTCCTGGTGATAGGGGTCAGTAGATGCATAAATTGCAGTATTTTTGTGTTGGAGTAAGACCTTACCAACAGATGCCCATTAAGCTCAAAAAGCCCTGGGGAGTGCAAACTTCAGCAAAACGACAAGCACATCAGGCTCCTTTTCAGCAGTGGCAACAAGTGAAGAGGTAAATGTGTAAAACGTTTATTAATGTATTTGTTACAAATCAGTAAATGCATTTTGTCCTCAAAGGCTCCCGTAGAAGGAAACATGGCATTGCCCAGAGACTTAGGGCGTTTCTCAATGCCAAGGAACCTCGTCTTGATGTCTTGGCCCCGCCCCGGTTGCCTAGGAGATACGTCATCAGGAGCTGCCAAGACGTGTTCCAATGTTCATGTTCTACCGAGGCATGTGTTCTCCATTTGTTAGCCGTTTAGCTAGCTGGGCAAGGATACACGGGAGGGGTCTTGTAGCCTAGCCTTGGTCAATAATTACCCAGAATACACCGCAGTATTTTCAAAAGGACGGGGGATCAGAAGCCGGCAGCTACTTCAGGGCTAATTTTAAGTTTAAAAGTAAGTGAACTAATTGAAAATGTTTTTTTAGATCCTAAGTTATCTATGGTTGGTTAGTTGCTTAGTAGTTGCAGCTTCGGTGGCTAGCGGGTAGTAACTCACTTATATATTTAATTTAACAACTATATACCCAATTTAAACAGTAAAAGGTTTATTATTTATTTATAGTGAAACTACTACGTATAAAATATAACGTTAAAGCAGTTGTCCTACTTGAGTGACTGCTGCAGGACAAACTGAACATCTCACTACTGCAAACCCATTCTTAACATGCAGGAGAGGCTTTTGATGTTGACGTGTTTGTGACACGGGCTCCATGGTGGGTCAGCTACTAGCACAAGGCCAGGACTTTGATAGCATCCCGTCACAGACATGGTTTAACAGTGAAGTCTGAGTTTTGTCCTAAGGACCAAGTGTTAGTGATCCATAGTGCTGAATCAGCAGAGTAAACAGTCGGGTCAAGTATTTTATCTCTGACCAGTCACTGAATCTAGGACTTGGACGGAAACTCCTCGTCCTAATTCTTACACAGAAATTATTTCCGTTTCACCCTTGGGACTCGGACACTTGAATCTGACTGGAGGACCCTGATTGTTCAGTTCTTGTGTCCACAGACCACCTCCTACACGTCGATCTGTAGGACACTAACCCTGTGTGGGATTCAGTATCAGTACGCGGCGGCCGGATCCAAGACAAAGGACTCGAGGACGAAGGCTCTACATATGGGACAGTGCTGGATGTGGTCCACACAGGTGTCACACACACAGGTGTGTCTGCAGGGCAGCAGAACCCGGTTTATAGCTGCATTCTGACAAACCACACAGTCGCTGCTCGTCCCCTCCAGGCCATCCCCTGTCCTGCCGTTGTCCTCCCTCCTCAGTTCTGGACCAGACGTGTCCCCACCAACAGCTGACATGAAGAGAGGCTGAAGGAGACAGAAGGATGGAATGTCTGGCTCTCTTACAAAAAACCTGCTAGGAGCAGTTACCATGGTGACAGACTAATCACTTCACTTACCTCTCTTTCTAGAACAGAAAACTTAAAGTCAGCGTTCTAACTGAGTTCTGGGTTCAGAAACACCTGACTGAGTTTCAGGAGAACTGCTGAGGACCACACCTGAACCTAGACTGGATCAGCCAGTGAGGAACATACCTTTAACTCATACGTGTGTCCTTGTGAGGTGAGGAGGTACTGGAAGAGTATCCGGGAGGAAAGATTGTGTTTTTCATCAGGCACGTGAATAACAGCCGCATTTGCCACCTGGAACACGACACGAATTAGAAACCTTTGCAGGAGCTCCTCCAGGACTTCACATCAAATCTGTCCCTAATGTGTCTCACAATGTTATATCGGTCTCTGTCTGCTGGTTCAGCCAGAGTCAGGACAGCCACAAGGGGGTAATGGTGCCTGGGCAGAGGTCCAAAGTCTGTGACCCCGAGGTAGGCAGGGACACAGGTTCTGTGTTCCTCTCCATCTCTGCTGCTCACACTGAGATTAAAGGTTAAAGACACCAACAAAAAGCTGATTCAGCTCTTACTGTTTTCTACAAGATAAAAGAAAGGGTTTCACTCCCAACAGTGAGCCCAAAAGCACTTGGTCAGATTGGGAACATTTAATATGGTTATAACCATGAAACACAGATGTAACCATGAAACACGGTTATAACCATGTAAGATGGATATAACCATGTAACACACATGTACCCATGTAACAAGGATATAATCATGTAACAAGGATATAATCATGTAACCATGATGTAACCATGTAACATGGTTATAATCATGTAACATAGTTGTAACCATGTAACACGGATGTGAAAATGTAACACGGATGTAACAATGTAACATGGATATAACCATGTAACACTAATATAACCATGTAACATGGATATAACCATGTAACACTAATATAACCATGTAACACGGATATAATCATGTAACACGGGTATAACCATGAAACATGGGTATAATCATGTAACATATTTTTAGCCATGTAACAAGGATATAATCATGTAACACGGACGTAACCATGTAACACAGATGTAACCATGTAACAGTTATAAATATGTAACACAAATGTAACCTTGAAACATGGTTATAACCATTTAAGAAGGATATAACTGTGTAACACAGATGTAACCATGTAACACGGTTATAACCATGTAACAACGATGTAACCATGTAACACAGATGGAACAATGTAACACAGATGTAACCATGTAACACGGTTATAAACATGTAAAACAGATGTAACAAGGATAAAACCATGTAGCACAGATGTAACCATGAAACAGATGTAACCATGTAACACAGTTATAGACATGTAACACAGATGTAACCATGTAACATAGTTATAAATATGTAACACAGATGTCACCATGTAACACAGCTATAAATATGTAACACAGATGTAACCTTGAAACATGGTTATAACCATATAAGGATATAACCATGTAACACAGATGTAACCATGTAACAATGATATAACCAGGTAACAAATGTTACCATGTGACACAGAAATAACCATGTAACATGGATAGAACCATGTAACACAGATGTAACAATGTAACACGGATATAACAATGTAACATGTATATAACCATGAATCATGGTCATAATCATGTAACATAGTTGTAACCATGTAACAAGGATATAACAATGTAACATGGATATAACCATGAAACGTTGTCATAATCATGTAACATAGTTGTAACCATGTAACAAGGATATAACAATGTAACACGGATACAACAATGTAACAGATTTAACCATGTGACTGATGTAACCATGTAACATGGTTATAATCATGTTACACAGTTGTAACCATGTAACATGGATGTAACAATGTTACACGGATGTAACCATGTAACATGGATGTAACAATGTAACACGGATATAACCATGAAACATGGTTATAATCATGTAACATACTTTTAGCCATGTAACAAGGATATAATCATGTAACATGGATGTAACCATGTAACACAGATGTAACCATGTAACACAGTTATAAATGTGTAACACAAATGTTACCTTGAAACATGGTTATAACCATATAAGAAGGATATAACCATGTAACACAGATGCAACCATGTAACAAGGATATAACCATGTAACAAATTTTACCATGTGACACAGATGTAAAAGGGTTTCTGCAGGTTTATGGGAGCCAAATTTAAGACTTGATAAGACCTTTTTAAGGCCAATTTGACCTAATTTAAGCTATTTGTTCAAATTAAATTTAAGCTATAATTTCCAGCTACTGCCTGGAACCGGTGCTAACCACGTCGCGAACGTGGGATTAGCCATCCAGTTACCATTAAAATTGCACTTCCCCATGTCGCAAGCTCCAACTAGCTTAACCAGCTAGTGTGCTCATCTAAAAATAGCCCCCTTTCACAACCAACTGAATGTGTACGGTTCCGCTTACGTCAATATCATACACAAAAAATGCTGAACACTAACTAGAAATTCACGAAATTTTTATAGAAATAAAATAATCTTGTTTATTGGGTCTTTGGTAATTTAAGACCTTTGGAAACTGTATTTAAGGAATATTTGTCATTTTTAAAGATTTTTAAGGCCTTACATTTGGAAAAGCTAATTTAAGTCTTTTTAAGGACCCGCGGATACCCTGTGTAACCATGTAACAAGGACATAACCATGTAACACGGATATAACCATGAAACATGGTTATAATCATATAACGTAGTTGTAACATGTAGCAAGGACATAACCATGTAACACAGATGTAACAATGTAACACGGATATAACAATGTAACATGGATATAAGCATGTAACACTGATGTAACCATGTAACAGATTTAACCATGCGACACAGATGTAACCATGTAACATGGTTATAATATGTAACATAGTTGTAACCATGTAACACGGATGTAACCAGGTAACACGGATATAACCATGAAACGTGGTTATAATCATGTAACATAGTTGTAACCATGTAACAAGGATATAATCATGTAACACAGATGTAACCATGTAACACAGATGCACACCTACTGGAGTCTGACCAAGAAATGTAAAATGCTGTTCATTTTTATGATAAAAAGTTATCAAATTAAGGAGGTACTAAAACACAATATGTAAACAAAGAATGCAGAAATAAACTACAACAACCAATGATGCAGCAGCCAGAACACCAGCAGGTTTGAAATGAACAGCAGAGACAAACATCACTACATATACAGCCTGATCATACATGTAGGATACTGGAAACTCTCACAATAGCGGCAGTGAAGCTGCAGCGCATCCAGGAGATGGTGTGGGCTTCTAAGCCTCGGGTCACGTTGTTGGGTCTGCAGCGCCCCCTGCAGGGCACCGACTTCACAGCCCCAGAAACAAGTCAGGACACATGGCTGCAGGCAGCTGAGCTTCACTGACACACCATCTGCAACACAGAAACCGACAGTTTACATTTACCACTGATCTGAACTGGTAGCAGAGGCAACATATCGCATATTATGGGATTAACGCCACACAGTCCTTCATTCTTCTGCAATCCTGCTCCGTCACCACCAGATCCTGAATAACCCAGACATTAAATTAAATGTATTTATTTATTTATTCTTTGTTTCATCAGAAAGGTCCCACTGAGATTAAAAACTTCATTTTAAAGGGAGTCCATAAATAAGGATGGGCAACAATGGGACTCCACCTTCTTCTGTTGGCTACATGAGTGAACATCACGTGACCTTTGACCATAGCCAGATGTAGCTGCACTGAGCTTCACGATGAGCCTTACTTGATTTTTCTGCTTTCAGAGTGCCGAGTCAGGTCAGCTCGGCCAGCTTCTGACCACACAGTGATGATTTTTGTACGGAAATCAACTCAAACCAATTCACTTGTTTTTTTTTTCCATGTTTTCACAGAAAGCATCAGTCCTGATGCTTGGTGTCCACTTCCTGCAGGTAAGAAAATCTGTCTGACAGGAAGTAGGCTAAACGATCTCAAAAAGCAACACATCACTTGGTTCATGTTAAGGTCGTGAGTCAAAAAGACACAAAGTGTAAAAATGTCCTCCGTGACACCAGAACCAGAACCTCTGCTGACCATAAACAGCACAAAGACCTGCCTCGTAGTTACCAGAACCCACACCGATGAACCAAAGGCCTTCTGGGTAAATATTCTGTGGAGCAGAAGCATCTGGAAGGAGTGTCTCCTGTTGTTATGTGCCTTGACCCTTTTTGGCCACAAGATGGCCTCAGTGGCTTCTGCCCGTCTCCCGGTGCCCAGCTGTTTAGAATCACTGATAATCCTTAGACAGCTGTTAAAAGCTGCTCTCCTGCCCTCAGTCTGGGAGAAGGAACAGGGAAGTGTGGGCACGAAGGTGTTCAGGCTTCTCTCTTCTCCTCGTGTGATTTGGTTAGTGGTACTTTAGTGGTTTTGACTCTCGTTCAATAGGATTTCTGGTATACTTCGACTTTAGACCGGCCTTGGACTCCGAGTTTGGATTTTCCCCGAGTGTCTCTGCTTCCCAGGACGACTCTAGTTTTACATAGGACTTTGTAAGAGTATTTCAGTTAACTAGTTCCCCTCCTCCCAGCCCTTTAGGCCTGGCGCTATCAGTATATTTATTGTGTTTCTTTGTATTTGTTATAATAAAATACTTTGTTTGGCGACACAATTACTCAGTAATTATTAAACCTACTCACTGTATCTCTTACTCCCTCTTCCTCATCACTCCTAGCGAGCTGAGGGATGTAGCACCTGTTCTATCTGGAGTCAGACATTGGTGGCGGTAGTGTGATGGTCTGGGGCTGCTTTGCTGCTGCAGGACCTGGACCACCCGCTGGAACTGATGGAACTGTGAATTCTGCTCTCTAGCTGAACATCCTGAGCAGAACGTCTGACCTTTGACCTTAAACAGACGTTCCTGCTGAAAAACATTCTGATGTGAGACTAGGGCTTGGGCAATAAATTGAAAATTTATTATCAAAATTTCTGAGGCTTATCGTGATAATTTTTCCCATGTTAATAAATAAATAATTTGATAATAAAAAATAAAGAGATGTGTGTGGGCTGGCCACATTCATGTCCCTTTAAGAAGCTGTAACACCTAGAGTCACATAAAAATTTGACAGCCCCATCTAGTGGACAACTGTTGTTTCTGCGCATACCTGTAGTTATTGCCCATTTATCGTTATCGAGGTGAAATCCTCACTATATCGTGATATTGATTTTAGGCCATATCGCCCAGCCCTATGTGAGACTCATGGTGAGACTCAAGCCTGATTCAAGCTTCTCCATCACGCACGCACGGACGGACGGAGACATTTTGCCCTCATGCTTCTCCGTCTCCTGGGGAGCGTTGCAAAGCAATTCCCCGCCAGGACAACAGAGGGCGTAGCGCTGTTCTGTGGTATCCTGTCATGTATCGGTCCAAGATCGTGTGTTTATGTTGTGTTTTTTGTATATAAGAGACTTTTTAACACGGACAAATTTGTCTCTCATTCTCCACCTCTTCATGCGCTCGCCACCTCTAAACCCACGTTTCCTGTCATTTCCGTCCATAAATAAAACGCATTCTGCGCATCTTTTCACTCCTCCAGTCACGGGGGAATTAAAAGTTCATATTTTTAGAGCTTTTTCGCGAGGTATTCTTCAAGCTTCTCCGTGTCTGCCTCTAGTTATCCTCGGCTCTCTTTATGTTTTTGAGGGCGTAATGGCGGCGCTGTAGACGACAGCGGTGCCCTGACCAATCACAAGCTTGCGTTGTCCATCTCGATGGACGGATGTTTAGAAAAGAGAGCTCGACTCTGTCCGTCCCTGCGAGGGCTCTCCAGCAGTCCCGCAAGGACGGATAATGGCGTTGCTCGTCTCCGTACCGACGCAGACGGAGAAGCATGACTCAGGCTTCAGTAGGAGTTATCACAGACGCTGGAGGCCGCTACAGCTGGTTAGGTTTATGGGTCTGTTAGTTTATCACACAGGACCCGGTTGGGTTGAAAACCGCTTTGGTTTTCACTCAGGTTTTCTTTGTTTTAATACATTTGCTGATCTGAAACAAAAACAGAATAATCCATTAGTGTTTTTGTGTTGTGAGGCTGACCTGCGACACATGCTGACCCAGAACCAAGCTCCAAAGCAAATGGATTGGTAACCTGAACCATCGGTTTCTCCGGAGTCTGTGTGGTGGGCTGGTCACTGCTGCTAAAGATCACCGGGTTGTCAAAGAGGTTGAAGCGAAACCTACAGCACAAAAGAGCCGTCAGAGCCAGAGACCTGGCGCCACTTCCAAACAGCGGAATTATTTCACTTCTGCAGGTTAAAGCTACCAATCAGACAGAGGCTTTTATTGTTTAGATTAAGTTGTTAATCATTGTTTAACTGGGATAAACAACTATATAAGCTTTTGGTAACACAGACCACATAAACCAGTCAAGAGGGCTGCAGGGTGATGCTTCCTCAGTGTTTTATGGGACGAGAACAGCATTCCTGGTGTGTTTTTGTCTGAAGAGTAGAATAAAATCCAGTTTGTTTCCCAGCCCAATATTATTATTATTAATATTATTATGATATTTCCACATTATATCCTTATAATTCACCCAAAATATCACCTAGTGACCAGAATCGGCTATGATCCAGCTTGACTGGCCCAATCGCGAGCGACTCAATCTTAGAACAAAAGACCAGATTTAATGAGAAAATCTGTCTTTGAACGCACCATCAGTAATTCAACTCTTCCTTGTCTCCTGGATAATCATTTACGAGTGGATGAGAAATAAACAGCCAAACGTATTGAGTTGATTATAACGCTTTCAGATAAACCCAGGGGCGCCGTAAAGCGGTGAAAGATTAGGAAGATTCTAAGGGCCCACAGCTGTCAGGGGCCCCAAAAGGTTTCAACGTTGAATAAAAAAAAAAAGTTTAAAAATCACAAGTACTTTACTTTGCAGTATTTTGTCTCATTTAAGACATTAAACAAACAATCTTTTAGTCTTCATGAAATGTATATTTATTCAGAGGTTCCTACTTTATTTTGACGAATTAATCTGAACCCCCATCCTAACGGCATAAAATGGTACAGTCCACCAGTGTTGGGAGTAACGCCGTTTAAGTATAACGGCGTTTCTAACGGCGTTCTTTTATAGGTAACGGAATAATCTAATTAATTACTTTTCCCGCCGTTGCAACGCCGTCACCGTTACTGGGGACGGATCGTTGTGCGTTACTATGAGCTTGTCGAACGTTGAGCAGCAGCGTGAGGCTTTCTGACCGCCACACTTCAGCTGCAGCCAGGGAGAGAGAGGTGTCGGTAACGCACTTACAAACATGATGATGATTGGCCGGGTGGGCGGAGACCCTCACGGTCTCAGTCGCTGCATTCTGTAGACACAACGGGAATAACTCTGTTTAAAATAACCGCGTTAATAAAAAATATTTCTTTCTGTAACGAGCAAACTAATTAATTACGTCTTCTTTTATCAAAACGTCGTTCCTGCTACTGATAAGAAAATGCGTGCAGCAGCGAATCTGCGGGTCTGCAGCCGTGCCCTTAGCATGACAGCGGGACGTCCCGAAGGTCCGCTCACCTGTTCACCGCTCAGACGTACTGATCTTCTACCTTCCTAGATCATCCAGCTGTAACCTGTTTCTGATCACGTCTTTAGTCCCGCTGTAACACTGATGCATCAGTCTCAGACGTCATGGAGCTCAGGTGTTAATAGAACTACCTGTGTGTGTTCACCACCCAGCTTCAGCTCTTCTGTGGTTGGGTCTGACCCACGTTAGTAAATGTAAGTCCTCCATCAGGCTCGTGCCTCTTCTAGTGTCATTTTAAAGGATATTTATTTATTTATTTAACCGTTACTAGATTACCAGCAACAGAAATGCTACTAAAACACACAATTATGTGAAGCTGGAAAAATTAGAATGCTGTGCAAAATTACATTTATTTCTGTAATTTAACTAGACCGAGATACCATTTAAAGGCTCGGGAACCTTTACAGGTGTTTCTAATTGCAATTTTAAATTTTAGCTGATTGGGTTTTTGTTAAATATCATACAGTGACCTTTTAATAGTCTAGATTAGTGTAATGCTCCTGTTAGTAGTTCCTCCTGTTAAGTGCTTATTTGTTTAACTTATTCAGGTTTATATAAAACATTTGGACATACATTTTATTATGTTCCAGTCATTAGTCATTTATATTTTACTATTGTAGTAATTCTTGCATTCTTTAATGAAAAAAGTAACTAAGTAGTTACTTTTGTTGGTAATTAGTTACTTTTATGATCTTGTAACTCAGTTAGTAACTGAGTTACTTTTTTGACAAAGTAATCAGTAACTATAACTAATTACTTTTTTAAAGTAACATTCCCAACACTGCAGTCCACCTGGCTGAGGGGTACTAGCAGGCAAAGCCAGCTCACGCAGCAGTCAGACAGCAGAGTGCACCAAGGCTGCAGTAAAAATATGTCTGCTAAAACAAAGTCTGGGTCACAGAAAAGGAAAGAAAGAAAGGAGAAAGAGGACAGGCAGAAGAGAGGGCGTCAGTATGTCACACAGTTTTTCTCAAAGAAAGGTGGGTTTAGTTAGTGAGTGGTTAAATTCAACCTGTTAGCTAGCTCTGATATCCACAGTGAGAGGAACTATGTTTCATCTAATTATGGTAAATGGGTTGTTGTCCTTGTCCCTACCAGAATCAGCAGTTGATGATATGTCAGCAGGTGTCCCCTCACAACCCAATGAACCTCAAGAAGGTGAGCAATGTAGCATGTTAGCTAGCAGCCTCGTTTAAGGGGGTCTGTGGGAATCACTTAAGGCTCTCTTCTCTATCAGTACTATTACAAAGGAATATAAAATGGCTATTTTTGGTGATAAACACATTGATATTTATAATTGTCGTTATGTGGAAAAACAATCAGTAAAAATGTATAGATGGTTTTGGATGCTGGGCAGGTTGAAGCATTGTTATTTAGTCTGTTAATGTAACATAAATTACTGTGAGATTATTACTGTGAAGCACCTTTTTGAAGGCATCATACAAGAGGAAAAAAAAAACTCTTCATCTACTAAACACCTTGAAATGAAATGTTTTGAATCTGACTGAATTATGGGAGGTTTTACAAGATGTAATTTGTTTATGTAGCTTTTAGAACACAAACCAAAAATCAGTAATTTCCAAATAATTCAGAGAGCAAAAATGAAACAAACACTACTAATAATTGTAATAAATAAACTTAATATAAGATTGAACACAATAAATATGAAATCTACTATTGATGGAGAACTACAGCTAATATCCTGCAGGAGTCTGTGCTGCATTTTCCCTGTTGTGCATTCATTTTAAAGACTGTTGTAACTTAAAGTTAATGTTAAAGTTCCATTAGTTGTCACACACACTAATGTGTGTGCGAAATTTGTTGTCCGCATTTGACCCATCCCCTGGGGGAGCGGTGAGCTGCAGACACAGCCGCGCTTGGGAACCATTTGGTGGTTTAACCCCCCAATCCAACCCCTTAATGCTGAGTGTCAAGCACGGAGGCATTGGGTCCCATTTTTTCAAAGTCTTTGGTGTGACCCGACCAGGAATCAAACCCTGATCTCCCAGTCTCAGGGCGGACACTCTACCACTAGGCCACTGAGCTGGTCTCTTGGATAAAGATTTTGTCACAAATGATAGCCTATATTGTAACACATATATCAATTTCATTACAGAGCCTGGACCCTCCTGATGTCAGGTTTGGTCAGGACAAAGAGTGGAAGTGAAGGAAGAAGGGAAAGAGTGTGGCAGCTCAGAAGATGGAGAGACCCAAAGTCAGCTGAATAAATGTGATAGGGATTCCACCAAGGCAGTGTTTGAGTCCAATGACCCAGGTTTGTGGCCACCAAATTTAAAGGATAATGAAATGGAGAGTATTGTAAGAAATTTGGCCAAGAGAGATGAAGATCAGGACATGCCAAATGATTCAGAGGCAAAGCCGTGTCCTGACGAGCCCCCAGGGGGCCCAACTTGATATTTTTTCATGGGGCCCAAAATCTCTGGCAGCCCCCCTGGATAAACCTGACCTGGATCAAATGGGTTTGGTCAGGTGACAGGTCAGAGCGGTCATATCAGGGATGGTATCGGCCCAGATCGGTGCTTCTCTATTTTAAAATAAGCAGGAGAATAAATGGCTTCACATAAAACCATCTAAAGAGACCTGCAGATAGAAACAGGGTGAATGATCCTCACATTCATACCTATCATCAGGTTAAAACGTCATCTCAGGTGTTTTATAGCTATCATCTTAACACCCACCTACACTTTGGCCTATTTCTATTAAAATAGTCTAGACTATTGCGGAAACGCGACCGTCTTCACTTGAACCGCGCTGTGAAGGAGAAGGGACATTAATACAGCCGACAGGCTGGGCTAACAAGATTACTCACCAGGTTAGCGCCATGAAGGCGGCGGTTACTGAAATCACCGTCCCCAGGAGAACAGGGACATAGAGGTCAAAGATGGCGTCGTCCATGGTTACGTGGGCACGAGACCGCTTTTCCACAAATATTCACATCTGTAATTTTCGATAGAACGGCAAACATAAACAAACATGGATGACGGGGCTCCGTCCACTTCCGTTGTTGAAAGTGAAGCCTAAGTCACGCCCATCTACTTCCGGACCATGGGCTTCCCGCCATAGATGCGTATATAAACCATATAAACGTGTTTATATACATATATATGCTTCCCACTCCCGAAAAAAAACGAATGGGTGTCTGGTCCAGATATGTACATAAACACGAACATGTCCAAACATGGCAAGATCTTTGTAGACATTGTTTGGTCCATGTGCAGAAAAGTTATTTTCTCTTCCGGTTTGGTATGTGCCATGGATTACACATATTTTCTTAAACTTTAAAGACACATTTTGATGCCAAGAAAGTGCTTGTTACTTTAGGTTTAGAGTGAAAACATGTATAGGACTACAAATGCTCGTCTAACCCAATTTATGTCATCAAACCATACTGGAGAGAGTGAGTTTGGTTAGCTTAGTATCCTTCCTTCAGGAAGAAAGGAGCATTAACCCTGTAGAACCACGAAATCCGATTCTCCCCCCGCCCCCCATCAGCCTAATGTGAGCCACCTGGCTCTGTATTGGGATGGGGCCAGACAAGATCTGTCTGTCCCACCACATGATGAAAACCTGCTGGAGCACAAATTCTCCTGCCGGGAAGAAACTTTTTCCAGTCTCGTGAAAATCGAACTCCCGCCACTCTCGTCTGGGGAGGACGGTGAGTTTTTCCTGCTGGTCACGTCAATAAGAAGAGAGTATTGGTGGCTAGTGCTGGTGGTGATGGTGAGTTTGAAATGGCCCAAATGCTTCCTAACAGACTATCTAAGGCTGCGTTTCTGCTGTGGGACAGCCCGTCTGCAACTGTACAAGCGGACTATGATGCAGTGAAGTAGCAGCTGCAGGAAGCCTTTAGACAAGACATTTTCTGGACCATTTTAGGGCCAACCTTGCTGCTCGCCATCGCACACCTGGTGAAAACCTGCATGTCTATGCTGCTGACATAGGGAAACTAGTAGACAGAGTGTTCTCAAATTATGGTCAAGCAGCTCTGAGGAAAGAAAGATGTCATAGATGTCTGGCTGGAGCAGGGACTTAGGTGAAACTTTGATCATCCCGGGCCGCTGCGACGTGCCTCGAGAGACTTTAAAGAGTGAATACACCCATCCTACCTACCAGGACAGGTGGCCTTGCACTAGTGCGTTCCATTTCGAAGACGTTCCGCTGGCGGCAAACAGTGGAGGGATTTGCAGAAGATATGAAAAAAAATGAGGAAAGACACTAAAAGACTGTCAAATGAAAACAAGAGATTCAAGTCATGGTAGCCCAGATAACTAACAGGAACAAAAAACCTGATCCTGGTTATAATGAACTTTGACACTTGAATCAGAGTCAGTTTTATTTCCACACGGCTGAGGGAATGCAGGACAGATTTAGTTGTTTTCAGACGTGCTGAAACAGTCATGCACCATCCACTCCTGAACAGGAATTATCTGGTTGAATTAAAGCAAAAACAACAATCTATGAAGTCCTTTTGATCTGACTGGTGTTTCTGCGTCGACTTCAGCATGGCTGCAGTAATAACAGGTTATAAAGCTAACAGATGATTCAACCAAAGTTTAAAACAATTTCATAATCTCAGCTATAGCGTCACCATCCTGGTGCCGTTACACAACACACCTGAACAGCTAAACAGCTTTACCACAGGACAACCCACTCACAGGCCACTCAGGTGGGGGGAGTCAGGCTCCGCCCCAGCAGGACTCAGTTCACACAGGTAAAACAGGGTCTCCTCACTGGCCTCTGCTTCTGTTAGAGGCTCCAGGCGAATCAGGGAGCCCCGGCGGGGCTGCTTTGGCTCCAAGCTGGTTTCCAGCAGCCGGGTGTGCGGTTCAGCTTCCACAGAAACACCAGAGTGGGAGGCTTCCATGCTTGCTGTTCCAGTGGGACCCAAATCCAGGTCTGCAGAAGGGGAACAGCCATCCAGGAAGGCCAGCAGGGGGCAGGTGGTGTACTGGATTAACTGTTTATCTATAACGGAGACAGGATGAAACCAGAAAAGTAGATTAAATCCTAATGAGAATTTGGTGCAAAAGGTAATTTATGTCTATAAATTTACTGAAAAGGTGAAACTAATCTATGAGACAGACTCCATGAAAAACCAGATATTTCAGCCTTTGTTCTAACTGTGATGATTATGGCTAACAGCTGATGAAAGCCCCACGTTCACAATCTCAGACAACTAAGATATTGTAAAAACGTTCAATATTCTAGACTCGGTGTGTCACACTCTTGTTGGCTAATGAATCCTGAAGGGTTCCTGAGCCTTTAGATGGTCTCTCAGTCTTAAGTTCAGTTACAGACATGAATGAACGTTTGCACCGTATTCTAATGTTTTTAAGTTTCTCCTGTACTTCCCTGAACACCCTGAATCACACAGGCTGGATGTACTAAACCACAAATCTGAGAAGGTTGTAAAGATTTATGGAGAAGGTCTAAAGCTTTAACTGGTAATAATATAGCATACCTGCTAGGCTTCAGATGTTAACACTTTCATGTTAGAAAGTGATCTCGTTTCCTCAATCCTCAGCTCATCTGCACAAAGTTTCACGTGAGTGTTCCTAACTCCCCAACTCACTCCCCGTGGTTGCAACGCTAGGCCGGAGAAGTGCCGAGCGATGCTGCGTGCCGCTTTAAATTTTTTAAATTTTTTTTTTGTACAGCCATCTCTACCATAGACCTACGCTATAAATGGCGCATGCCCGCTGTATCCCCGTCCAATACAAAGAATAGGAGAGCCTTTGGTCGCTGAGGTTTGCGATCAAAACCAAGTGAAGTCTCAGCTCAGGATGTTCACCCGAAACCAGAAGCTCTCCACAGTTCCCCGTTTTCTCGTTTTTTATTATTATTATTTTTCGGTTCACCATTCTATGTTTGTTTTAGAGCAGCTGATGAAGAGTTTTTCTTATTATGGGGAACCGGAAAATGGGACCGGTGGCACCGGTGCTCAGCAGGCCTGGCCACTGTCGGTGCGCTCCAGGGCAGCTGTGGCTACATCGTAGCTCATTTCCACCAGTGTGTGAATGTATGAATGGATGACTGATTGTGTTGTGAAGCGCCTTGGGTGGTTGTAGAACCCTAAAGACTAAATAATGGTTCTGCGTCAGTGTGGAGACCCGCAACGTCGTTATCCGTCCTTGCGAGGGCTCTCCAGCAGGCTCGCAAGGACGAATGGAGTCGAGCCCACTTTTCTAAACATCTGTCGAACGAGACAGAGAAAACAAGCTTGTGATTGGTCAGGATGCTGCCTTCATCAACAGCACTGCTCTCAAGAAAGGCAAAAATATCTCGCAACAGACACGGGGCAGAATGAAGAATGCCTTGCGAAAACTCTAAAAATATGAGTTTTATTCACTGGATAAGTAAAAAGGAACGCAGCAAGCGTTTTATTTGTGGATGGAAACGACGGGAAACGTGGGTTCAGAGGTTGCGAGCTCATGAAGAGGTGGAGGAGAATGATGGACAACTTAGTCAGTGTTAAAAAGTATCAGAAATACAAAAAACACAAAAGTAAATGCACTATCTTGAACTGCATTAATGACAGGATACCTCAGAACAGTGCTACGCCCACTACTGTCCTAGTTGGAGCTGCCCAGTGACTGCCTGATGGAAAATCAGCAGGTTTCATCAGACTCGTAAAGTTTCTTGTTTTTGCTGGGGACCCCCTGTATTTTACCGCCCCCTCCTACAGTCTTCTGATTCTGTAATCAGACCACAGCGCCCTGGGGATGTTTTTCAAGATGCCAAGAAAAATTAAATGCCAAAACCAAAGTGCAAAGTGTGTCACTGAGAGTTTAAAAAAAAATTTATCCTTGTGCAAATATTGGTGTATTCACCTTTAATACTAGTTATTTAAATGCAGCAGTCGCTGGATTGGTGCAGTTCAAAGTGAGTGCGTCTAATAAAACAATATTAACATGAAGGTGAGACGTGTCATAATTTCATCGCCCCCCCCCCCCCCCCCCAGCTGGAAAAATTCCTAGGGGAAACACTGTATACTCAGACCTACAGCCCAGGCGAAGAAGAAGAAGAAATCATTTCTATAGCGCCTCTCAAGATAAAAATCACGAGGCGCTTCACAAACACAAAAACAAAAAATATAAAAAAGCATTTAGAAAATGTTTAAAAATATATAAAAAATGAGCAAAAACAGTCAATTGTGATTAAAAAAAATGTAAAGAAAGAGAGAGAGTGAACAGGAAAGAGGGAGATCAGTGGATCCTGAGGAAGGTGGAATAGGTGGGGAGAGCAGAATAAAGAGAGAGTGGTGAAGAAGGTCATACAAAAGCCAGCTTGAACAAGTGAGTCTTCAGCTGCTTTTTAAAGGAGACCACTGAGTACATGATCTCAGGCTCAGGGGGAGAGAGGTCCAGAGTCTGGGGGCCACAGCAGCAGATGATCTGTCACCTTTGACCTTTAGCCTGGTGCTGCACAACCAGTAGGCTTTGATCACTGGACCTCAGGGACCTGCTGGGGGTGTAGGGACTAAGAAGATCACCAATGTAAGATGGTGCTTGTCCATGTAAGGCCCTATAGACCAGAACCAGGATCTTGAAATGAACCCTGAAGTTGACTGGCAGCCAGTGAAGCTGGAGGAGAAGCGGGGTGATGTGGGTGTGTTTGGAGGACTTGGTCAGAAGCCGAGCACAGGCCTTCTGAACCACCTGTAGACGGTTCAGGGAGGTTCTGCTCAGACACGTGAAAAGAGAGTTACAGTAGTCTAAGCGTGAGGAGATGAAGGTGTGGAGAACTGTCTCAAGTTCAGAGCGGGACAGAATGGGACTCAGCTTAGCAACGTTCCTGAGATGGAAGAAGGAAGAGCCAACAAGAGAACTGACATGAGAATCCAGGGTGAAAGCTGGGTCAAAGGTCACAACAAAAATCCATGACAGAGGGTTTGGCGTGGGAAGCAAGCTGACCAAGAGAGTCTCTGACTTTGGGAACCAGCTTGTCTGGGCACAGATGAGGATCTCAGTCTTATCTTCATTCAGGTGAAGAAAGCTCCCACCATCCAGGTTTTGATAGAGTCTAAGCAGGTGTGTAACATCTGCAGCTTAGACATCTCATGGGGCTTAAAGGAGATGTACAGTTGGATGTCATCTGCATAAAGATGGTTGGAGATTCCTTTGAAGGAGCTCAGGATGTGCTGAAGAGGAAGCAGATAGAGGAGGAAGAGCAGAGGCCCCAGCACAGAACCTTGTGGGACACCATGGGTAAGAGAGGTGGTGGAGGACCTAAACTTGGAGACGACCATAGAAAAGGAGTGCTCAGAGAGATAAGAGGAGAACCACTCCAGAGCAGATCCTGGTAGGCCTACCCAGTCTCTCAGCCTCTCCAGTAGCAGGTGATGGTCAACAGTGTCAAAGGCTGCAGTCAGGTCCAACAGGACCAGAACAGCACAGTCCCCTGCATCACTGTGAGTCAGAAGGTCATTAGAGACCCTAAGAAGAGCTGTTTCAGTAGAATGAGCTCTACGAAAACCTGACTGGAAGCTATCATAGATGTTATGTTCATCAAGAGCAGCTGTGAGTTGTTTAGCCACAACCTTTTCCAAGATCTTGGAGATGAACGGAAGTTTAGAGATTGGTCTGAAGCTGCTATGGAGAGAGGGGTCGAGACTCGGTTTTTTAAGAAGCGGGTGGATTACAGCGTTCGTAAAGTAAGCAGGGACCTGACCAGAAACCAGAGAAGCATTAATTATAGAGAGCACGCTGGGACCGATGGACTGAAAAGCACTTTTAAACAAAGATGAGGGTAAGATGTGGAGGGGGCATGTAGAGGTCTTCATAGAGTTAACTAGTTTGGGTAACTCAGGCAAAGAAACAGGAGCAAAGCTATCTAGGATGATGGGCCTGGTTGGAGTCGGGAGAGGCGGCGATAAGGCTGAAGGAGAGATGCTAGATCTAACCTTACTGACTTTGTCCACAAAGAAAGACAGAAAGTTCTCACAGTCTGCAACAGAGTGGATGGAGGCTGTAGGAGAGGCAGGAGAGACGATGCTGCTGATGGTGTTAAACAGCACCTTGGGGTTCCCTTTGCTCTGGGACACCAGGTTGGAGAAATAGGAAACCCTCGCGTCTCTGACTGCAGAGTTAAAGGATGACAGAAGATCCTTTAGGTGCAGCAGATGGACGTGGAGATGGGTTTTCTTCCACAAACCCTCAATTTTTCTGCATTGGCGCTTCAGGCTGCGAAGGTTGTCATTAAACCAGGGAGTAGGGTTCACTGCAGGAACTGATCTGGTTCTGAAAGGACAGATGTTGTCCAGAATGGAGAGGCAGTGCTCGTTAAACTGAGAAGTTAAGGAATCTGGGTTGTTATCAGAAGAATAGGGTGGATCAAAAGCAGCAGAAAAATTGCTAGCTGTGCTCTCATTAAGAAAACGAGAACTAACCATACGGCGAGCAGGAGGTGGGGACGCAGAAACTGACAAGTTAAAGAAAATGCAATGGTGATCTGAAATATAAACGTCCTCAGGACAAACACTGTCAGCATTTAGACTCAGGGTAAAAACAAGGTCTAGAGTGTGCCCCCTGGTGTGTGTGGGGCCAGAAACATGCTGGGTAAAGCTGAAGGAGTCCATAAGGCTGGAGAAATTCATGGCAAAGTGATCAGAGGGATCATCAACGTGGATGTTAAAGTCACCAGCAATCACCAGTCTGGGCAGCTTCACAGTGGAGGATAGAAAGTCACTAAACTCCTGAAGGAAAGATCTGTTTGGACCAGGTGGACGACAGACCACAGCACAGTAGAACGGGTCCTTACGCCCGACTTTAATCAGCTGCAGTTCAAAGGAAGCAAAGTGACCAGAGGTTGTAGAGCTACATGAAAGATGGTCTCTGAAAACAACAGCTAGGCCTCCACCACGACCAGAACCCCGGGGCTGGCTAAGAAAAGAATAACCACTCGGGCAGAGTTCAATCAGACCAGAATAATCAGATGTTTGCTGCCAAACTTCAGTCAGAAACAGAAAATCCAGGTTTTTAGAGAGAATTAGATCATTAAGCAGGAAGAACTTACCATTAACAGAGCAGGTGTTTAATAGAGCCATGCTGAGTGAGGTGGAGGAATCAGAAACTACAGAAACAGCTGGAGTTAGTGGACGTAAATTAGCAGGGTTAGATCCACGGTGTTTATAAAAACCACTTATGGAGGGAACAGGAGGAGAAGCCACTGAGGAATGAGGATAAACCGACCTTAAAAAACTTGGACGGATGAAACGCGCCGCAACGCGGCCTGGCGGGAATGCGGAAGTGGCGCTCAGGTCACCAAACAAAGGACAAGAAGCTAGAAGATCACGCCGATGTTTACCAGATAAACCGCACTTTAAGAGGTCTTATTCTCACCTGGATTCCTGCTCGTTTACCTCTTTTCCTCCAACGTTTTCCCGGGACCGGATAAACATCGCTGGAAACGCCATGATTGGAATCATCGTTTGGTTCCGGGCCAGTGTGCCACTCAGGTAAACAAACAGGATTGTACATCCTCGGTGCATGTTGGGCGATCGTGAACGAACGGAAGGACAAAAGAGTCTGGCGATCATAGGAGATGGTAGCAGGGACACTACTGAAGAGGATCGCAGACAGGAGCAAGGCGGAAAAGAGGAGGCTAGTGGAGAAAAGTCTGAATGGATCAAGAGATCCAGATCAGAGATGATTGGACTCCTTGGCTCGGTCGAGGGTCTGCCTAACACTCGAGGTTATGCCTAACGGTCAGGGTTTTGCGTAACAGTTGAGGTTCTACCTAACAGTTGAGGTACTGGGTAACGGACAAGGTTCTGCTTATACGTTCAAGTTTACCGGTCAAGGTAATGCCTAACTGTCAGGGTTCTGTGTAAGGGTTGAGGGTTTGGCAAACAGTCGAGGTTATGCTTAGACATCAGTATTTGGTATCTGTGAGCAAAACTGATGCAGGCTTGAAAAATAAAAGTAGAAATTAATTAATAAAAAACACTTTTATCTCATCAACTACAGAACCTGCCTAAGTTATTTATGTTATATTTCTAGAGGATGAAACCTCTTGAGATACATCATCTCATTTTCAAGGGGGTCCTCCTTTGAAACACTAAACAATATAAGATAGAAAGACTATCAGTGGCATGAACTTAAACTAACAATACAAACAAACCAACAAAATTTAACGAGAGAAGAAAAAACACCTCGCCTTGACAACATGATTACATCAAATGCCAAACTCAAAAACAATTACAATGGCAACTTGTTAGCTGACTTGAACACACACCTAGAGATAAGGTAGCTGAAATATGTGTGGTTTTCTTTCACATTCAAAGCTGCACCTGGCTGCCCTATCACTATGTACCGTGACACTAGCCTAACGTGCAAGTACAACATTGTAAAATAAAGCCCCGCGCTGTTTGACGGACAAACTTGTCTAATTCTCTTTGTGTTTTGTTAAAATCCAAGAGCCACACATGCACACTGGGGATGACCTACCCGTGTGATCTTGTGCTCTGCCTCTGTTCGTCTGGGTAGTGTTCTCTTTGGTCGACACGTTCTCCTGAAAATACCGCAGACAACTGTAAGGACTCAAATTGCAGTGCAGATACAGGAACCATCAGTTGGACTACTTTTTTTTTATTTATATATATATAGCGCCAAATCACGACAAGAGTCGTCTCAAGGCACTTCACATAATAAACATTCCAATTCACAGTTCATTAAGCCAATCAGAAATAATGTTTCCTATATAAGGAACCCAGCAAATTGCATAAAGTCACCGACTAGTGTCAGTGACTATACAGCAATCCTCATACTAAGCAAGCATGCAGCGACAGTGGAGAGGAAAACTCCCTTTTAACAGGAAGAAACCTCCAGAGAATCCTGGCTCAGTATAAGCAGCCATCCTCCACGACTCACTGGGGATGGAGAAGACAGAGCAGACACACACACACACACACACACAAGTAATGTGTCTATAGTTATATTGTGATGTCTTAGTAAATATTGTATTTGGTGAAAGATAAACTTTATTGTATTTATTCTAGTGGATCTATAATTAAACGGATAAACTAGTAGTAGCACATCCAACGTCAATGAAAACAAAAAGTTATTATCAGGAGAGAGAATGTATTAGTGGTTAGCAGCAGTGTGCTAGACGATGGCCCCCTCCATGAGGCCACCTCAGCTCTGACCAGTAGTTTGCCTGTTGTATTAATTTTACATCCCTTTTCACTACTGAAGCAACACTTCATGCAGCTTCTATGAGCCAAAGAAAAACATCAAAAACCAATCAGGAATCAAGAAGGAAATGTGATATCTGTTTATTTGTTTACTTCAGTTCAAACTATTTAGAATTCTGTCATTTCATCACATTAAGTTTGTGTTTTATTTCAAATACCTTCAGCTTTATTCATTTTCTGAATTTTTGTGTTGAATTGCTTAGAAAATGAATCATAGGACAACATCAAAATAAATGAAAAGATTCTGTATTTTTTAAGCCTGTTTTACACATTCAATGTTATTTAAACGGCATCCTGTACTTTTAAGAAGTATTGTTCTGCTGAAATTTATCTGGTCGTTTTGGCACAAGTAAACAGAAGAATGAATCGTGATTTATATCGTTACCCCATGTGCTTCAAATTAAATTGCGATACAGATTTTAGCCATATTGCCCAATCCTAGTCCAGCTGGTGACAAAAAGGCATGCAGCGAGCTTCAACAAGCTTCACTTGTATCTTTAGTTTACCCTGGAGAGAGCAAATGAAGCCAGACAGGGTTTCTGCAGGTTTAAGGGAGCCAAATTTAAGACTTTTTAAGACCTTTTTTAAGGCCACTTTGACCAAATTTAAGCTATTTTTAAAATTAAATTTAAGCTATAATTTCCAGCTATTGCCTGGAACCGGTGCTAACCATGTCGCGAACGTGGGATTAGCATCCTGTTACCATTAAACCTGCACTTCCCCATGGCGCAAGCTCCCACTAGCTTAACCAGCTAATGTGCTCATCTAAAAACAGCCCCCTTTCACAACCAGCTGAACGTGTACGGTTCCGCTTACGCCAACATCGTACACAGAAAATGCTGAACACTAACTAGAAATTCACGAAAATTTGACAAAAATAAAAGAATCTAGTTTATTGAGTCTTTGGTAATTTAAGACCTTTGGAAACTGGATTTAAGGATTATTTGTCATTTTTAAGGATTTTAAGGCCTTAAATTTGGGAAAGCTAATTTAAGACTTTTTAAGACTTTTTAAGGACCCGAGGATACCCTGGCCAGAGTTCTTTCATTTGGTTTTGTTAAAGCGGTCTGCTCTGATGGCTGCCAACACACTACCTGCTGTGACCTCCCCCGACCTTTGTGAGAATAGCTGTGTGTGTTTGTTGGTTTTACCTCCAGAGCGTCAAAATCTACCCCAAACTGCTTTTCATAGAGCATGGCCTGGAAGTCCTCCAGACTGCAGTCGATACTGTCCAGATAGTCCATGAGCTCCACCCTGTCAGGAGACACAGACAGCGTCATCTAAAGGGAAACCAGAGGGGCCTTTGGCTGAACTCGGATCAGTGTGCCTTTGGTACATCAGTGGTAGACTTCTCCACAACCTCAGACCCCGAACCCAAAGTGACCCGTTTGAAGCCAGAGCCCAAGTTTTAGTTTTTAACTGTTGCCCAGCGACTACTGCTCATCGTAACTGCATGTAACAAGCCCTCATCTTTTCCTGCACCTTAATACTGACTGAACTTCACACACAACCCAGATCAGTAACTGGCTGTCCAGCAACTTTCTTGTTCTCAGCGCCAACAAGACAGAGGCCCTGATCGCTGCACCCCCGGAACTTCAGCCAAAAATCGAGCAGGAAATTGCCTCTTTTTGCCCATCAGCCAAGGCCAACATTAGAAACCTGGGAGTTATTTTTGATCCTGCTTTAAGTTTAGACTCACACATCAAAACCATCTCCTGCTCCTGTTTCTTTCAACTGAGAAACATTTCAAAAGTCCGTAAACTGGTTTCTACTGCAGATCTGGAAAAAACCATCCATGCCTTTGTATCATCACGCTTAGACTACTGTAACGCTCTTTTTACTGGTCTCAGCAAAACCTCCCTCTCACGCCTTCAAGCCATCCAAAATGCAGCAGCCAGACTCCTAACCAAATCCAGCAGACGAGCTCACATCACTCCAGGTTTACAGTCCCTGCACTGGCTCCCGGTAGAATATAGAATACAGTTTAAAGTTTTAGTGCTGACCTATAGAGCTCTTAACAACCAGGCTCCAAGCTACCTATCTGAGCTTTTATCCCCACACATCACCTCTCGGAACCTTAGATCCACATCTGAAAACCTCCTGGCTGTTCCTCGAACCAGACTGAAAACCAAAGGGGACAGGGCCTTTCAGACTATTGCACCCAGACTTTGGAACAGTCTACCTTCAAATCTCCATCTCTCCAACACTGTAGAGGTCTTTAAAAATCATCTAAAAACTCACCTTTTCATCCAGGCGTTCCCTCCCTAAATGTTCAAAAAGATGGCTTTGTTCGGGTTCACACCTTCACTTTGTTTATACTCATGATTTTATTTTCTACTTTATCACTGCTATTGTTTTTCTGATGTTTTTATTGGTTAGAGGTATTTGCCCTGATCTTTATCATGTTGTACAGCGCTTTGTGATTTATATCTGTGAAAGGCGCTCTATAAATAAACTTTTACTTACTTACTTACAACCCAACATGTCTTACTTGAGTATTTTTTTTGTCAGAACAAACTTTAGCATCCTTTATTTGTAGAATTTGCACACAGACATATCTTCCCTCATGTATCTGCTGCCCAGACCAGACTCTGTTGACGACATTAGGAGCAGGACTCACTTTCCCAGAAGGCTGATGTTTTGTGAAATTGTTCCGCTCTCGTTGAGTATGGAGTCCATCATCTTTAGCGGATCTTCTAGGCTCAGACCAGAGGGCTTATTGAGCAGCAGAGCGTTGCTGGTCGCTCCGCCGCCGTTCGTCTGGTTCTCTGCTGCTGATTCTTTAGCTTCAGCCTGTCTGAGGTCACCTGTACAGGTGGGGTTGGCCTCCGTCTCAGCTGGCAGCCCCCCACAGCCATCCAGTTCTACTTCCACAATTTCTAGATCACTAAGGAAGAACAACTCAAATCAGGCTCTCTGATTAGGCACGGCAACAACAACCTGGAGGTTGGTAGTCTCACCCGTGTTCACAGGCTGGAGTTGCCTCTGTGATGTCCGCGCCATCGTCAGCATCATTCTCAGTCAGGTCACAGATGATGACATCATCTACGATGTCCCCACCCTTCACACTGTTCAGACGCGGACCAGCATCGCTGACCGGCATCTAAACAGCAAACGGTGGGGGTTAGTAGGTATTTGGTGAAGGATTTACCAACATGGTAAGACTTAGGCCTAGTCCACACGTAGCCGGGTTTTTTTAAAACGAATATCCGCCCCTCCAAAAGCTCTGTCCACACGTACCCGGATAAATACGTTGTTAAGGACATGCCAGACCTGTAGGCGGCAGTACTTCCCCCGTTCTTGACCTCGTCCTTCGTCTGTGGTCTTCCACAAGGAGCAGTAATTCCTCTTGCAAAAACAAACAAGCAAAAAGCGCTTGGACGATTGATAAAGCGAGCGCAGCTCTGAGGGCGTCCATGCTGTCGGCTAGTGTAAACACAGGTCGCACACGTGATGTCAGCATATTTTTGTGGCGGAAAGTGACGTTGCGGCCCTTAAAACTCCGGTTTTGTCCGTCCACACGCAGACACCCAAAACGGAGAAAACGCAGATCTTCACTTTGGCCGGAGTTTTTAAAAAGATCCGTTTTCGTGTGAAAAAACTCCGTTTTCGTGTGGATGACAGGCCAAAACGTAGAAAAATATCTATGTTTTGGCAGATCCCCGTCTACGTGTGGGCAGGGCCTGATAGGCCTGGACGTTTTCCCCACAAAAAAAAACTTTTAAAAAACTGGTGATTTTATCTGGTTCTCAGCAGGTCATCACACCCATAAACAATATGGACACTTCCACCAAAAGAAATGTACATTTTGTGGCCAACCACACCCTGCCCCACCCCCAGTTTTTGTTGTAAAATTGTAAATTCTCCTAAACTTGCTTGAATGTTGACTGCTATAATGCTATAACAGACTGACCTGGTCCACACGTGCTTTATCCTCATAAATCTGATGAATGTATTTGGGTTTCTGCCCATTGCTGTTCATAAGAATTGACCTGTAAAAAAGGAAAGCATGAGCTGGAAGCAGAAATATATCATGGTTTACTGGTCTAACACGTTTCACCCTCACTAAACATGTTTTTACAGCATAAATCCAAATGGCTGTTTTACTGAAAAGATGCACTACTTCACAAGTACATCAACTAAATCCCTTTAAGTGTGCCACGTTGTCTGGGATTCAATCTAATGACATCAACTACAGCTTCAGTTAAAACTAGAATAAGACTTGGCTATAAGCTGTTACACTAAGCACACCGTTTTGATTCCTATTCCAGAGGCTTGAGGATGAAACCCGGATTAAGGTAACAGCACTAGACTGGTTCAAGTCTAATTTATCTGATCTAGTTAGTTCTTGTTCATAATGAATCTCTTTCAGCAGATTTTGTCATGGAGTTCCTCAGGGATGAATGCTTGGTCCGATACTCTTTACTTTACATGTGCTTCCACTGGGTCAAAGGATGCCATTGTTATGCTGAGGAAGGATACCCTTTATCTATCCATAACGCCTGATGAATCCCATCAGTTTAAGTATTTTACGAGCACTCTTCAAACACAAAGACCTGGACGACTCCAAAACTCCTGTTCGCCCTCGTCTTCCTCACTAGCATCTTTTCAATCTGTTTCTGAAATTTCAGTATTTTTCGGGCTCCCGTGTTTACTTTATTCTCATTCTTTTATTTCTACCCCCCCCCCCCCTTTTTTTTTTTTGCTATGACCCCTTTTAATCATTTTTAAAATGTTTTTATTGGTTCTTGTGACGTGCCTCGTGATTTATATTTTAAGAGGCGCTATATTTAAAAAAAATCCTTTCTTCTTCTTCATTTCAAAACTCAGAGCAGACAGAGGTTATGGGTTTTGGACCTAAGCTCCTGTGGTGTTGTTCTGGACCAGGATCGGTCTTTTAGCTCTCTATAAACACTAGGACCGACATCAGTGTGATGTTGCTACAACCATGACCATCCTGACCCAAAATGGTGCAGATAAACTAGTTTATGCATATTTTACCTCCAGACTTGATTATTGTAATTCTCTAAGATCAAGATGTTCTAAAGGTTCTATTAAAGGCATGCAGCTTATTCAGAATGCTGCTTTCAGAGTTTTGACAAGAGATCGGATTCTTCTCCATTTAGCATCACTTCACCAGCTCCCTGTAAAATTGGGAATTTTACATAAGTTTTACTTCTAACTTCTAAAGTTCTCAACGTTCCAGAAGTTCCCACCACAGTACTTGGGGCTCAGACTGCAGATCTACTTGCAGTTCCAAGCGGTTCTAAAGGTAAAACAGAAGGCTCCGTTCTGGTGGAACCAGCTTCCAGTTTCCATCTGTGAGGCAGACACCCTGTCCAGTTAGGGTTAGCTCGAGTTATCCAGGCTTATCCCTTTAGATATGCTGCAATCTACAAACAATCTGCTTGTTCAGAAAGCTTAATCCCAACCCTTTCACTATTCCCTACAGAGGAAAATAGAGTGAACTCACCTTTTACGTTTTAAATTCAAAATGCGGTTACTTTGTACCAGTGTGATGATGAAATGTATCAGCTGGGAGAAAAGATCCACAAATACAATTAAACATTAATCCGGATAGTAGAAAAACAATTATCACCTATAGGTGAAACTCAAAAAATTACATTATGGTGCAAAAGTTCATTTGTGTCGGTAAATAAACTTAAAAAGACAGACTCATTACATGGAAAGCCAGATTGTTCAAGTAGGGATGCACCAAAGCCTCTTGGCTAAAAATGACCCAAAAGTGCATTTTTGTCCGAAACACCCGAATCACCAAAACAACGCGGCCAAAACAGGCGATCAGGTGAACCCTGCTTTTGTTTCATCTCGCTCTGCCCTTATGAGGCAACTTAACTCGTTGCTTCATAAAGATAGTACATTCTAATTTGGCCCCTTTTAGTAATGCTGTTTTATTAATATTCATATCAATTATGAACCGTCATTTTTACCTTCAGCTTCACATCTACCGCGTCTGCCCGGCTTTCTTCTTCTCCTTTTACATTCTATTCTATTAACTATTAGCGGTGTTTTTACCATCCTTTCTACACCCACCATGTCCTGAGCACGGTGAAATAAGCTTTGGTTCATGCGTGTGCAGCTTGTTTATTCTCATGAAGCACAGAGACTTCATCAGAGGGTGAATATTCCTCTTCAGATTCAGCCATTAGCAGACTTTGTCAACAAGGAACAAACCTGTCAGCATTGAAAGTTTCTCCTCTCTAATATTTGTCCCTTAACCTTCTCCTCAGTCGGGAGCATCTCGATGGGGGGCAGTTTTTAAACTAAACTCCAAAAATGTAAATAGAAACAACTAAAAGTGTTGCTCAGACTGAAGTTCCACATCTCCACTAGAGGTGTGAATCTTCACTTGTCTCCCGATTCGATTACGATTATTGGGTCAACGATTAAATTCGATTCGATATCCCGATGCATCACGATTATTTCATATTGATCCTCTCTTTTGTGTGAGCACTGTCTCTCTCTCTCTCTCAGTCGCTGATCGAGCGAGTGGAGCGCGCCGCATGACAACCCGCTCAATTAACATAATTCACGGCCCAAATCCAACAGAACCGGTCGGGCTGATTCGGTTCCGGTTCGGTCTCAGATTACAACTCAAGCGTTCAGCCCTGCAGTACCACATTAAGGCGGAACCACTTGGTAAATGTGGAGGACGCTCACTCTGACAGATTTGGATATACGCTGGTGCCGCCATTAAAAACAAAACTACATTCCACCATAATCGATTATGGCGTACTCTTCTACGATGCAGAATCGTTTATGTCCGCATCCCGATGCATCGATTACTTGATTATTTTCCTCAGCTCTAATCTCCACTATCTTCTGGTGTAAAGTAGTAACTTCATGAGGGATTATATTTGCAGCTGTGGCTCGTTAAACCCAGCAATGGTGCTTGTTGGTCGCAATATTCCAACTTTGGTGCATAAAGGATTCATTTCAGTCCTCGCCAGGCATTTATCAATCAATCAATCAATCAATGCTTTATTTATAAAGCGCCTTCCGCAACCCTGTCAGGAAGCCCAAAGCGCTGAACATGGTACAGTTGTAAGTAATTATACTGAATTAATAAACAATAAAAGAAATTCAAATTACAAAATATAAATTACAAAATACAAAATGGAAATAACAAGATAGATTATTTATAAGCCTGTACAATTATCATTTTTATTTATTTGTTATCTATTAATATTTAATGCACATGAATGAGGTCAAGTGAAACTTTTTATTTTGAGTTTTAATTTAATTTTGCATTGCTGTATTGTCATCAGTGCTGAATAAAAACTTTCATGGTTAATTGATTTATTGCCATGCCTTGATTTTAGTGAGGTTAATACACATCGTAGCCATAAATGCTACGGTTCTAATTATTGACATAATAATTTATTTAGGTATTTTTACTTTCTGCCTCACTTTGCTCATTTTTGGTTTTTGGTTTCGGCCAAGAATTTTCCTTTCAGTGCATCCCTAATTTCATGTCTTTGTCTGTTTTCATTTTCATGATAATGGCTGACAGCTTGTGAAAACCCCACTCAGACCATTAGAACATTGTGCTTGTTTTAGTGTGTTGTGTTTAAAATTTAGTTGAGTGTGTAATTCCTGAAGACGCAGACCAACCATACCTTTTTAATGAGCTGCTGTTGATGGGAATGTTTCTGTCTCAGGTCTGAAATCTCTCTCCATAGAGCTTCGTTCTCCCTGAACATTAACACAAAAACATGCGACAGTGAGACAAGGACAAGCCAACTTCAGAGGGTCTTCTGTGTTTTAGGTGAAAAAATGTTCAGGAAGTTGGAACCGAGGGCTTGGTACAGAAACTCAGTAACTCCTCAGTACTGGCAGAAAACATGCGACAGGTACTAGGGCTGCTCTGTTATTGCAAAAATAATAACGATTATTTTGACTGGAATTGAGATCTTTATTAAGACCATTTTAAAATTATTGTTTTCATTTATTTATTTATTTATTCGGTCCTAAAATTTCACAGGTCTTACAATCTTTCATTTGTGTAAGACAGTGTTGTCCGGTTCATTGTGGTGCACCGCCTGCGTAGGGAGCCTAATGGGCTCGACACACGGGAGGCGACAAACGACCGCGATCAGCGAAATTTGTCGCTGTCGCTTTTATTACCCGTCACACGGGAGGCGATCTGCGGCAGCGGCTAAGCCGTCTACGCGTTCTGTTCCATGGCGAAATCGAATCTTCGTTGTTTTGCTTGGCTGTGTCACGTTGGAGGGAATTAAGGTTATTTAAGCGGTTCAGAGTTAATAAAGCGGTAGATATGATGTTTCACAAGGTGCTGCTAGAGTTATGTGAAATCTTACGTCTGATTTTACTATAAAACATAATAATAATCAACTTCTCCTCCATGTTTGCTCTGAGGTGTACGGAGCATCCTGTCCGCTCATTGGTCAGTGAATGAAACCTCCGCTGATTGGTCCTCGTCCGAGCGACGGCGATGAAAAGTTGAAAATGTTTCAACTTTCTGGGATCGCGTCGCTGGGTCGTCCGTGCACGACACGTGCACGAGTGCAAACTTTCACACGCACGTTTTTCACATTTCGCTTGATAGGAGAGAGACCCGCGATTATCGCTTTGTCGCGCATGTCTCATTGAAAATGAATGGAGGAGAGGCAATGTCGCCTCCCGTGTCTCGAGCCCATAAGTCACGCCCACCTACTTCCGCACCATGGGTCTGGGAAGAAAAAATAAATAAATGCAAGTCAATGGGGCTAAAAACGCTATTTTCTAATCTGCTTGTTATGTGCCGTGGATTTCACATATGATGTACGTGAATTTTGTTCCGGAACTGCGCTGCTCTGGGTGGCTGCATGTTGGAGTAGCTCTGTTGACTATATGTAAGTTTTGCCTTTTTTTGGGCATTTTTTCTTCTAGTTTCCCAAGAAAAACTGTATTTTTTTGGGACATTTTACTTTTCTGTTTCTGGTGCTGTGAAGCTCACTCGTGAACAAGACCCTGAGATACTTAAACTCCTCCACTTGAGGTAGGACCCCTCCTTGCAACCTTCTGATTACTGGACAACCCGCTCTACCTCCTGAGCTGCTGCTGCCCTGAAAGGTCAAACGTCCGGCTGCATTTTGTGAGAGGAAACAGCAGCACAGCCAGTGAACAGACTCGAGTTTAGAGGAGTTTTTTCTCTCCAACCATCAGTGGTGGTGCCCCCATACGAGGCATTCTTTCAAACAACAACAAACTTATTTGAAGTGCTTCTATAAATTACTTTCTGAGATACACTCATTCATGTAAACCGTAACAAAAACGAAAGCATAAATAATAATAATCAGCAGGGGTCCAATTTGATAATGTTGAATATTTGTGGCAAATTTGTCAGTAGTATATAGTTTTCCTTTTCTCTCATAAGAACAATAAAGAATATTGCATGAAATTATACGCGAGGGAACAGAAAGTGAAATGTAAACATCACCCGGCGCTGTAATGGTGTCAACCGCTTCGAGGAAGGACAATGTACCGTTTGGCGGGTCCGTGATTCATCAAAGCGTTCGTGGTGGTGGTGTGTGAGTGTGTCGGGAGTTTGTAGTGGGCGTGTGATGTGTGTAGGATGTGTTTGTCTACACGTATTATTGCGAAAAAGCACAAGAAAAATCTGAAAGACTAGGACCACAAAGAACTGCAATTCGCGGGAAAATTACGTCAAAGCAGGTGATAGGGTGAGTGATAATCATGCGACAGTTCACGTTGACAACGTGATGACGTTTTTTCTAGCGTGTGAAGCCCTGAGCTGCAGATCAGAACCAATCAATCAATCAAATTTTATTTGTATAGCACCTTCTACAACATTATCCGAAGCCCAAGGTGCTGAACAACATCATTAAAAGAAAAACATTCCCAGTACATTGGGCATAAAAGCAGGATAAAAACATAAAATTATAAAATATCTAGCAAACACTATTACAGATAAGAGATATTGGGATAAGACTAATCGATAAAAAAACAAATGTCGGACAAAATAAAATCCAGCATCTGGGTTAAAAAGAAGAATAACGATACAGAGTTTGTGGCAGAATGAAAACGCTTTTCTCATTTGTGCGTTTTGGTCGTTTTTTGCAAACTCATTAGCGGAAATGCGCAGCGCTCTGGGACGCGTTCAGTGTGTGAGATAAAAGTGCAACTCCTCCGGTTTATTACGCAAAAAAACTTTTGTTCTATCTTATATAGTTTCAGTTCTACAAGCATTTGAACACAGATAAGCAAATGGGAGCGCCGGCGCTCCCGCAGGTCTTAAAGGGTTAAATGAGCTAAGATCCGTGTTTCATGTCCACTAGCTTCGGCTTCATTTTCCATTTCAGTGTTTGTGGCAGATGAACTCAGGGTTGAGAGGTCACACGTTCACCGTTCTCCATTATGCAGCTGAAGCTAGTGATGACGTGACGGGCTTTCCTAATACATACCTCTTGAGAGATGCCAGCCTGACATCAATGCTCTCCTGTTTGCTGTGAATGTTCTGCACACTTGCCAGGATTTTGGTCAGGTCTCCATGTCTAAACTTGTTGTCTTCAGGTCGTGTGTTAGAAACCTGGAATCAGATTCTGTGTTAGAAACAGGAGGGAGTACCAATAAAAGTCTCTCTCTTGCTGCCTTCCAACCCGACTCTACCTTTCTCTTGATGTTCTCCAGCAGGTCATCCTGTCCGTGTTTGAAGTAGGGGTGCTGAAACTCCACAGGACCATCCCTCTCCTGTTTCACAATGCCTGTGTCGATGTGCATCACCTTCCTGAATCCATCTGCATACACACCAGAAAAGGAACATATAACCTCAGATTAAGGCCCTGTCCACACGTAGCCGGGGATCTGCCAAAACGTAGATAGTTTTCTACGTTTTGGCCTGTCATCCACACGAAAACTGAGTTTTTTTCACACGAAAACGGATCTTTTTAAAAACTCCGGCCAAAGTGAAGATCTGCGTTTTCTCCGTTTTGGGTGTCTGCGTGTGGACAGACAAAACCGGAGTTTTAAGGTCCGCAACGTCACTTTCCGCGACAAAAAAATGCTGACATCACGTGTGCGACCTGTGTTTACACTAGCCGACAGCATGGATGCCCTCAGAGCTGCGCTCGCTTTATCAATTGTCCAAGCGCTTTCTGCTTGTTTGTTTTTGCAAGAGGAATTACTGCTCCTTGCGGAAGACCACAGACGAAGGACGAGGTTAAGAACGGGGGAAGTACTGCCGCCTACAGGTCTGGCATGTCCTTAACAACGTATTTATCCGGGTACGTGTGGACAGAGTTTTGTTTTTAAACGAGGTGGTGTGGATGCAAGTTTTTGGAGGGGCGGATATTCGTTTTTAAAAAAAAACGGCTACGTGTGGACTAGGCCTAAAGGTGCAGAAAAACACCAATCTGATGGAGTTTGCATTTGTTAGCAACATATGTGCTAAACCAAGAGACAGAATTTTTTAAACCTCTAACCCTAGCAGTCAACCTAATCAAAAATGGCCACCATGGCAAATTAAACTAAATCAACACAAAAAAAGACAAAACTTCAGAATAAAAATGTACACGAAGATCGATTTTACTAAACTATAATTTATCTGGTGGATGAGTTTAGCTTTTAGGATTTAAGTTCAAGGCTCAGTATAGGAAACTAATTAGCCTTTAAATACAATTATTGGTTATTAATTATTATCATTAGGGATGTAAGAAAATATCGATATGGCAATAAATCGTGTTTTTTTGTCTTGTGATATTACATCGATATTTAAAAGCTGTGTATCTAATTTTTGGAATAATTTACATGTAAACATTTGTGTCCAGGGTGGGCCATTTATATGGATCCACCTTAATAAAATGGGAATGGTTGGTGAGATTATCATCCTGTTTGTGGCACATTAGTATATGTGAGGGGGGACAAACTTTTCAAGATCGGTGGTGACCATGGTGGCCATTTTGAAGTCGGCACGTCTTGGATCCAAGTTTTGTTTTTTTCAATAGGAAGAGGGTCATGTGACACATCAAACTTATTGGGAATTTTGCAAGAAAAACAATGGTGTGCTTGGTTTGAATGGTGATTACATAATCAGGACCTAGTATTGGGACGTAAGTCCATCCCCGAATAAATCAAACAAGTCTTACACATGTTCAGCTGCCTAACAAAGCTGGCCATGTTGTTGTGCTTGAAGAACTTGGGGAGGATCTCCTTAGCAAAGCGCTGCTCGTCCAAAACCAGGAAGCTGCTCCCCTCCTGGAAACCAACAGAGATACAGTCAGGGTGGGAACTGGGACTCTGACATCTTAAACCAAAAAATGTGGAACCCGGGAGCCAACAAATCCAGAATCAACGAGCTATCCCTGCACTCAGAGCTATAAACAGTCTGAGGAGCGTTAACAGTCCTGCTTCCTGCTACATTCATGACCAATCAACAGATGTGAACAAAAAGTGACTAAGAACTGGACCTAATCACCAACTATGATTGTCATTAAAATGCTTTAAAAAGACCCAAAAGTATGAATAAAGAGGAAGATCTGACTTGGAAAATTACAGGATGTAAGCAGAGTGCTGACTCAGCAAGTTGGTAGTGAACAGATCAGCTTTTCTGAGCTACAGTCAGGAAGGAACTACTGCTACAGTAGACATAAAAAGGTCATCATTTGATCCTTTTTTAATGTGAATTAAAAATTTTAGTCAGTGTTTTTTATTAATCTAATTTCAACTTTATTTCCAATCACAAAAACAACAATGTAGTTGGAATATTACTAAAGCAATGTTGTCATTCCCACCCCCAACCCAACACCAAACTCAAAAAGCGGGCAGAATGAGGGCTAAACAAACGGAAACAACAAAAATCTCTCCTTAATACCTTCTTAAAAAGTGAACTCTGGATAGTGTTTTCAGAACACATAAATGTCTGATTTTTCTTGAAGTAATAAAAAATTGGATGACTCAAAACTTCCTGCTTTTAAATCAAGACAAGACTGAAGTTCTCATCTTTCGACCTGAAATTCAGAAAAGGAAACTGCTTAGTCAATCACCTGACCTGAACGGCATTAAATTAGTCTCCGAGAACAAAGACAGGAACCTTGGTGTTATCTTTGACCAGGACATGTCATTCAAATCCCAGGTTAAACAGGTTTGTAGGATTTCCTTCTTCCACCTTCGAAATATTGCCAAGATTAGAAGCATCCTTTCCAGGAGCAGGGGTGGAAATGAACTACCCAACCAACTGGCCAGCCGGGCCGATAAGTCAGAAAAGTTACCGGCCCCGCAGGTCATCTGCTAAAACGAGTACAAATCAAAACTGAAAAAAAAAGAATAAAAAGGAATGGTGAGTTTTTTCAAACAGACGTTTTGAGAAAGAATTAAAAGAAACAAAAGAAAATAACAAAAAAAGCAAAAGATAGCAGCTAAAAATATTATTTTTTAAAGATTTTAAAAATGCAAAAGACTTACTATACAAATCTGTTCGCAAATGGCTGCTCCCTATAGGGTGCGATAGTGGTGTGACGGATCAAAATTGTCACGGTTCGCATCATATCACGGTTTTCGGTCACAGACGGATCGGATTGTTTTTTGCATCAGCAGAAAGAAAAGGAAAAGAAAAGAAAAAACAACTGGGAGTGGCCTGGGGTATCACATGCCACCCTTAGAATCTGATTGGCCACCCCCAGGTGCCACCAAGGTGCCACCCTACTAAGTTCCAGTTTAAACTGACATTACATTGCCGACAAAAGGCTTGAGTTGTAAACTCCAAAAATAGTGTGTGGTAGCATGCACCTTTAACATTATCTTCTAGCCCAGGCCTACAGAACATTTCTGTAGTAATATTATTTTTTCATATTCACATAAATAGTATCGAGTACCACTCAACTCCAGTTGGTGGCAATAATGCAACAAGAAGTGACTTGCTAACCACCACAAAACTAGAAGATGAATAGAAAAAAATGGTGATTGTGCAATGTGAAACTCCAAAATTCACTAGAAAGTAAATAAATAAATGAATAGTGTAAATAAATAAATAAGCATAACCATTGGTGCCACCCATGCATAAACAAGTGCCCCACATGGGCCACCCCATTTTAAAAGTCCTGGACACGGCTCTGCCTCTTTCTTTTTATCATTTAGACAGGAGTCTGCAGGTGTTGCTTTTAATCTGCCGGACCCTGCATTCCATCAGCTGGAGTTCAGAGCCTCTCTGCAGCTCTGAACACATGATAACGTATTGTCAACAATACTGTTCCCTCCTCAAGGCCTCAAGCGTTATCGTTCTACAGGACTCTTCATGCCTCTGAATAAAAAGAACACTCTCAGCTCGTATGAGTTGCTTAATCAAAGAATGAACTCTTGAATATAATGTGAACATTTAAAACTTATAAGTTAATTAATCATTAAATAATAATTTGGTTGATGAACAAATGTTATATGAATACTAAATTAAATGTTTTGATTAATCTGTGAAATGTTATTATTACATTGAAAGATTTATATATGGATCAGTAATGTTTGATATGACAAGGCCATCATCATCCACACTCACACATAGGGATGGGTACCGAATTCGGTACTTTTTAAGGTACTGACCGAATTCCATAGTATCGACCGAGCACCGATTCACGTCATTTCAAACGGTGCCTCGTTTCGGTACCCATCCATCATAACGAGAACTTGCCAAGACAGCTGCGCAAGAGCGTTATGTCGTCGGTCGCTGCGAGCCAGTTGTAAACAGAGCAGCATGGTAGAAAGAACGCACGCAAAAGCTTGGGTCCACTTCACTAAATGTGATGGGTAACTGGGTGATGATGAAACCAGCGACAACGATCTAAGTGGGACATCCTCATCTTAATCTGCTCCGGTAGGTAAATAAAATTAGCTTGATATGTTAGCTTCCGTTTCGCTAATGGTGCGTTCGCTTTCTCCTCTGAACTCTGAATTCCCGACTGGAAGAACATGAACACGCTCTAAAGTTTGGCTTCACTTTACTAAATGCGACGGGTGATTGGGTGAAGATGAAACCAGCGACAACGATCTAAGTGTGAGGCATCAACGTTTTAATCTGCTCCAGCAGCTAAATAAACTGTTTAAGATAACGTTAGCTTGATATGTTAGCTTCCATTGCTACCATTGTTATCAGCTAGTGGTGCGTTCGCTTTCTCCTCAGAAATTCTAACTTCCCAGTAGGAAAAATCAAATGAAAAAGGAGGCAAAAGGAATGAAGATACACAGTAAATTTAGTTCACAGTAAAGATGTTTGCTTCAGTTTAATTATCAGCTTATAAAACTACAAGGACCATGTTAAAATACAAACAGTTGTATGTTATTTATCGTGATATTTATCAAATATTGTTATGTATTGAGAAAAATATATATTTAACTATAAAAGAGAATTAAAATAATAAACACTCAAAAGTATCGAAAATTGGTACCGTTAAGTACCGGAATCGATTCGTAGGTACCGGGATTTAGTACCGGATCGATTCAAATGTCAAAGGTACCCATCCCTATTTATAATACTGGTTTTGTCCATATACCGGTACCCAACGTCTCCCTGTATATTCTGCATCGTTTTGGGGATTGTAACATGTTGTTTAGCACATCCTTTCTCCCAAATCTGCTACTTCTCTGTGACGTTTGTTTACACTCACCATGTCTGCGCACATCCCAGAATGCAACGCACAATCACGCATGATCCCAAGCCCAATAGTAAAGTGTTACAGAATTTCTATGCACGTTGTTGTTCTGTTCTACAAAACCTATAACCTTTGTAGCACCAGTGCTATAAGCTGTTGATGTACCGCCCTGATATTTCTATTTCTTCCTTTAAATTAGATGCACTTTAAAAGCCAAAATAATGACTACACGTGTCTACAGCCCTATTGCAATCAATTTTAGTTCATCAGCATAAAGGTGATTTGCTTTTTAGGAGAAATAAACCCCACTTTGAAAGATGATTAGGTTGTCATCTCAAAACAAAAACTAACTGTTCGTCATCACGCACACAGAGGAGCATGTTAATGTGTAGAAAAGAGTACTAGATGATACTGGACCTCCTGAGTGCAGCCTGGGTTCCCTAAACCAGCTCCATAAACGTTCTGACTGTAGGAGCTCAGTTGGTGTTAGCATGATGCTGCTCACCAGCTTAGCTTTAGCGTTCTGAGCTAGCAAGCCACTAGAACCTCCACGTTACTGACAGCCAGAGGCTCGTTAGCATCGCCTCTAATGATGAACACATCCCATAAAGTCAAGTTAAATACGGAATTCCTGCCGCTGACCTCGATAGGTATTCAGCCAGGCCAGCATACTTCACTAGCACATCAATAGTGTGGCGTTACCTGGCTCCAGCAAATAAACTCGTTGGTGTCCGCGTCCTCCACCAGAGTCCAGAGCTTTGATAAGAAAGCCGGCACGTTCGAGTTCTGCTTCATCCTGAAAACAAGACTTCAGTAGAAGCGTACGCAGTAAAACCTCTGTGTTGCTGCCTGTAGAGAGGCGGTCTCAACAAAAACACACAACTTAGAACTTCCGGTAGATGCAGCGGGCACGGGATTGGTCAGAAGCAGCGTTACGTAAGACTCCTCACGAGGAGCTACATGCAGGGGTGCAGGATCGGCTCGGGGTACTTCGACAGCTGATGACGTCAAAGCAGTTGATTGGCTGAACATGAAGCTTGCGGAAGTTACGTTATCACGGTTGTAGTCCTGTAGTCCAGAAATCAACACTTTTTGGAGAAAATATGTTTGAATTTCTAAAGGAAATGTAAAATATAAGCAAATGATAAACGCTGACCCTCAAAAGCTCTTGATGTTGATGAAATGGGGCAAAATAAAATATAAGAACTTTATTGAAAGACACCAAGCAACATTTAGAGTCAAAGAATGTATTTAGATAACAACTAAGGAAATATACAGACGAACTCCACATGAATACAAACAGATGTGGCTTCACATATAAGAACTGTTCTGTTTATTGTCAGTCCGATGTTGGTTTTATGCAGTTTCACATTCTTTACAAAACAAAGATAATATGGTGTTTTCTTTATAATTGTAATTTGTTAATAAAACATTTAGGTGTTAACAAACAAGAATTTATTAACAAAACTTCTGACGTGTGAAAGCCGAGTAGATTTGCAGTAATGTGACGTCATCGGCAGTCGAAGGACCCCGAGCCGATCCTGCACCCGACCCAGGCAGACAGAAGGAGCTGGTAAATGTTCTCCTCCTGGAGAATTTGGGTGCTTATGAAAAACAGTCATAAATATGACTCAGCATCTCAATGACGACACGTGTTTTAGACAAAGGTGTTATCTAAATGTGCTGCAATGACAACAAGCTGTATACATTGAGGAATTTATCTAGCCCCACATGTTAAAGGTGTGGTTTATTTGTAAATAATATATATATGATTTGGGATGAGGATCAACACCTCCAAATCTGAGACCATGGTTCTCGACCGGAAAAGGGTGGCTTGCCAACTCCTGGTCGGGGGAGAGGTCCTACCTCGAGTGGAGGAGTTTAAGTATCTCGGGGTCTTGTTCACGAGTGAGGGTAGGAGGGATCGGGAGATCGACAGGCGGATTGGTTCGGCGTCTGCAGTGATGCGGACGCTGAGCCGATCTGTCGTGGTGAAGAGGGAGCTGAGCCAGAAAGCCAGGCTCTCGATTTACCGGTCGATCTACGTCCCAATCCTCACCTATGGTCATGAGCTTTGGGTAATGACCGAAAGAACGAGATCGCGGATACAAGCGGCCGAAATGAGTTTCCTCCGTAGGGTGGCCGGGCTCAGCCTTAGAAATAGGGCGAGGAGCTCGGACATTCGGGAGGGACTCGGAGTAGATCCGCTGCTCCTCCGGATCGAGAGGAGCCAGTTGAGGTGGTTTGGGCATCTGGTCAGGATGCCTCCTGGACGCCTCCCTGGGGAGGTGTTTCGGGCATGTCCTGCCGGCAGGAGGCCCCCGGGTCGACCCAGGACACGTTGGAGAGGTTACATCTCCAATCTGGTCCAGGAACGCCTTGGGCTCCTGCCGGAGGAGCTGGTGGAGGTGGCCGGGGAGAGGACGGTCTGGAGCTACCTAGTTGGGATGCTGCCCCCGCGACCCGGACCCGGATAAGCGGAGGAAGACGACGATATATATGATTGTACTCCAGATGCAAGTCACAAAGAACAGATGTCGGTCATCGTGCGCATTGTCTACTTCCAGCCACAACCTGTCATCAAAGAGTACTTTCTGGGATACATTGATGTGGAGCAGACTACTGGCCTTAACCTGTCCAATGATGTCCTTGAGAAGCTCAAGGAACTCGGGATTCCCTTTGAAAATTGCTGAGGACAGGCCTATGACAATGGAGCCAACATGGAAGGGAAAAAGCAGGGTGTTCAGGCTAGACTGCAACAGTTAAATGCAAGAGCACTGTTTGTTCCTTGTGGAGCTCACACTATGAACCTTGTCACTGCGGATGCTGCCAAGTCCTCTCAAGATGCCACTAGCTACTTTGAGTATTTGCAGAAGATCTTCAATTTCTTCTCAGGTGCGGCCCAACGATGGACCATTTTGACAAAGCACGTCAAACTGACACTGAAATCTTGGAGTGACGTTAGATGGGAAAGCAGGCTTCAGAGTGTAACAGCTGTCAGGAACCAAACAAAGGAAGTGAGAGGTGCACTCCTGGAGGCTAGGGAGGCAGTAAGTGATCCAGTGGCAAAAGTGGAGGCTCAAGCTCTTGCTGAGGAAGTCGCCTCATTTCGCTTTTTGGATTGCTCTGTTGTGTGGTGTGAACTTCTCACCATCGCAAACCAGGTGAACTAGCTACTTCAATCCAGTTCCATGCAGCTTGATATTGCTGTCAGGCTCATTGACAGTGCAAAAGCCAACCTTTCCAAATACAGACAGTCTGGGTTTGAAGAGGCTGTGTCAACTGCCAAGGAACTCTGTGAGGCCCAGAACATAGAACCAGAGCTTAAGGAAAAAAGGCTCAGGAGGACAAAAAAGCAGTTTGGATATGAATGAAGTAATGAACTATGTAACTTACATAGTTCTAAATAATAACAATATGGAGTTCCTGTGTTGAGTAAGTTATATTATGTAAATATCAATCCTACTTTTTTAAATAATAAGCAGTTTGTGCATACAAGGGAATTAAAGAGAATTTAAGGCGAAGCGCTTGCACATACTGTGTTATTTTTTCGGGGGGGGGGGGGGCACCACAAAGCCTTTGTGCTTAGAGCACCAAAATAGCTAGCAACGGCCCTGTATGGTTATGCATCCACATTTACGTTGAGCGTTCCAGTGGCCTGATGGGCGCTGGAAAGCGTAACAGGGTCGCCACCATATTGAATGGGTCTCCTCGTTTTCCAAAGTCAAGAGTAAGCTACAATGCCCGTTTCTACGCAGCCACCGGTTACAACTGCCGTACAATAGAAAGGAGATCAGCGATCGCAGTGCTTATTTACAGACTTCATTCAAGGGGTGAGGTATGTTACTATGGTTACCACAAGTGCACCGCATGAATTATGTAACGCCATTGGTTTAGAAAAATGATCATGGATCTAAATGGTTATCTGATATATGCAGGGCTTAATTTGAGCCTGATCTTGATCCGGGAACTAACTTAATTTTGAAAGGACCTTTCCGGCAACTGTCTGCTACGATCCAGCAACTCACGAGACAAACTTAGTGAACTTTGGTTTGACATTTGCGTTCCGGGACGTTTGATTTACAAATTAAGCATTTGATATAGGTCTGAAATTTGAAGGAATTTTTTCTCCAACATTAAGTCTGCTAAACAATAAATAAATAAATAAATAAATAAATAAATAAATGACCGCTGCTCGAGTGGGCCCCCTTGTGTCCGTGGGCCCCTGGGCCTGCCCATATTATAATCCGGGTCTGCAGATCACGTGTGATTACTAGTGACATTTCTAGCCTACCTGATAGGATTTACATTCAGAATGTTTTGTATTTATTTTGATTAATCATAATTATATTTTAATTATGCCATAAATTGTGTCTGATTTTGTGAAAGGCTTGACAAAATGTTTTTCGTTGGGTAAACACCCTCAGTAGAAATGAATGCACTGGGGGTGAATGGGGACCCATTTAAAATGGCTGCCGGCCACTATGGCAGCTCCAGCAGTTACATATATCAGATAACAGATATCTGGAATGTTAATTTCTACTAGTAACAACAGAAAAATAGATATCCAGAATACATATCCAGTCTGCCTAATAACTGTTAAATGGCTTGCCATTGTGCGGGCTCAAAGTTTATATGTTTACAGTTCATCTGAGGATCATTTTGACACGTTTGCCCACAGGCCCCAATGCTTGTTCCCATGTGATTTATAAAATTCTCACTTAAAATGCATAATCATATAAATACACTCACTACTGGAGATGACATTTAAACCTGAAGGTACACACTCAAGTCAGTCCCAAAACTATTTCACCAAGTTTAATGAGACCACCAATGGGTCCACAGAGAACAAAAATGTAAGGATTTTATTCGGTTTTAGTTCTTTCGTGGAAAGAATAAAAGTAGTTTTGTGGAAACTACACATCCTCTCATAAACATCACTGCAGGCTAAAAGCTGGGGCACAATTCAGCCATTAGATTCACAACAGATACTTCACACTGTCTGTGGGATAAGAAATAATTACTGTTGTAGCTTTAAAACCAACTTTCAGGTGCTAAAATTAAAAAGCCTCTCAAGTATTTAATAAAGCATCAGTCACACACACACACACACACACACACACACACACACACACACACACACACACACACACACACACACACACACACACACACACACACACACACACACACACACACACACACACACACACACACACACACACACACACACACACACACACACACACACACACACACACACACACACACACACACACACACACACACACACACACACACACACACACACACACACACACACAGTGGTTTGAATAGAAAAATAACTCAAGTTCTTCATATTTCCTCACAATCATCAACATTTAGAGAAAGAAAATCGTCATGGCAGCTGTAAGAGATGTGCTTCTCTACAAACTGACTACTAAAGCTACACTGATGCTTTTCCATGGATCCGCCTGCATGTAGAAAGCTAGAAATATTGCCTTATTCCTTAAAAACAGCACCGAAATCTGACATTTGCATACTTTTCTGTGCTGATTAGAGACAGATTTTAGAGTTAGAATAAAGATTCACATTGAATGTTTGGCACATGCGCTGATCAGATATAAGGTTTAACTCCAGCTACTCTAATATAAATAAAAATCTATCTAGCTGCTTGAATAAATAGGTTTAAATTGTCCAATATATACACATCCAGTCCGTTGATAAAAAAAAAAGTGCAGTTTTGTCCTTAAGACTAGTCGCAACAGATTGTTTTACACCAACTTTCTGCTGCGCGTGATAAAAGGTGCACTTCATTTACAGAAAACACACTCAAATAGCTGCTACGGCTCCATCGCTCAGGTTTGAGGAGGAAGTGGGATCGTCCGCTGGTGGCGTCGTTTCCTGAGCGTCCACCTGAGGAAGCTGCTCCCTCCAGTAGGTGAAGTGGCTGAAGGTGTCTGAGCAGGGGAAGTCTGAGGAGGAGGAGCGAGCTTTGAGGGGAAACACGTGGTCCACCACTTCGCCCAGACGAGCATAACTGAAGGGAGGGTGAGGACGAAGGTTAACACCGAGGCGTGTTCAAGTGATTGGATCCGGTTGAAGGTGATACAGACTTACGATGAGATGTTGGTCTTGGCGTGTTCCTGCACCAACTCCCCTTTAGGGTTCACGGTAAAAATCCTGTTCAGTGGCACTCCTACTTCTTTATAAGAATACACATCCTACAAATAAATAAATGAAAACATAAATCTGTGCTTTTTTTATTTATCATTAAGCTTTTAGTTTAAAGCAACACTAAAGAGTTTTTAAGCTACTACTTTCAAACTAGTTTCAGTGGTCTGAAACTGAAATTCCGTGAATTTGTGAGTTTTGTTGTCCAACAGTGTGAATATTTTTACTTCATGGCTTATTTACAGTCAGTTGGCTCATGTTAGCGTTAGCTTGTTACTTGCGCTAGCTACAGCGGGCTGCTGCAAGGTTGCTACAGACAGTTGTAATTCCGCTTTCAACCAGTAGGAGGAATAAGCAGGAAACGTATTCACTGTTGATTTAATCAGTCATAAATGAAACATCGTGAGCCTGTACCGTTGGTCTGTTGCCAAAGGCGGCGTAGAAAGGTTGCGTGTTTGGGTAGAAGAGATGCTTGATGTCTGTGAGACACTCCACCTTGAATTTCTCCGGCTTCTTCTCAATCACCTCCCTGTCGAACACAAAAAAACAAAAGAACCATCACAATTAATAGAATTATCGATTATCCTGATTTGGTACAATTCAGAAAGACAGAGATGCATGTAACACACCAACACTGGGCTGAATTACCTGTGCAGAGCTGAGAACAGGCTGCTCGGGCTTAGCAGAACCGGGCCCATAGGCAACATGGTGCCTCTCTCGTTGACCCAGTTCAGGTAACCTCTTGTCATGTCAGCCATGCCGATGGCTCGGGCCGAACAGTACAGGAACTTGTAGCCATTTCTGATGGAGAAATAAAATGTGGCCAAATTTAAAGAGCAAGTCACCCCCAAATCACATTTTTTTTTGCTGATAAACTATATAAATGAGTGTCAAATCGTGCTACAGACACTTGTAGTCAATAATTTGGCAGTTCAGTGCATCTTGGTTAAAATTCAAATATTCTGCCTAAAACTCGGTGTTGCGCCGTCGTCAGGGAAAAATTCTGCACTGTATTTGAATTTAAATCTGCCACCGCTATTGGCTAAGAGGTATGCTATGATGTCATCTGGTACATTATGATGTCACAGTGCCATTGTGAGCCTGTGTGTGTGTGTATTTGTTAGCGGCTCCGCCCTCTCGGTCTGCCAAGCAACAGCATTTGTTGCATTTTTCAAACATGAAGTGGGAGTGAAGTAAGTTTCTTGTAGGGGGTGACTTGCTCTTTAAAGAAACACTAAACGAGACACTATGGGATAAATAAATTCAGAAGTTTTGGGAATTTATTATATGCTTGAAAGAAGAAATCAAGAATTTATTAGTTATTTTATAAAATATGTAAATATTTTGTGCTCCTTGTATTTTTGTATTAATAAAGTCAATATGAGATTATGGCTTTAACAGGTGCTTACTGGCTAACTTTGTGGTAAAGGTGAGCAATTCCCTGATGTGTCCAGTCTTTGCCAAGAGTGGGCAGGATGTGTCCCAGCGTGTCTGACCTGGACACACACAAAAAAGTCCGATTCAGCACCGAGGTTAATTTGATTTCACATGCTGAGGTAAAGGTGTGAACCTGGTGATGGTTCCATCGATGTCAGAGATGATGATCTTGTCGTCCCAGTTCCAGAGGTAGATGGTTCCTTGACAGCGACAGGTTCCCTGATACTGAGTGGTCACGCTAAACACAACGTCGTTTGGACCGTCGAGCAACTGGAGCGACAGCTGGAGGAGAGAAGAAAGAGACAAAAGGTGCATCAAAAACAACCGAGATGAAGAAAAACGCTCCGAGTCTCAAGGTCACACCCTTACCAGCTGATCTGAGGTCAGACGGAGTGTTTTCTTATAGGACACGCCTCCTGGTGGGGGTCCAGGCTCTGATTGGATGATGGGAGAACTCTGCTTGGCTGCAAGGTGGTCTTCGTCGCTGGAAGATGACTCTTCTTTATGTCTGGGATTTTAAAAAACATTTATAAATTACACACGTTAATGAATAAAACTATGTTTCAAATCAGTTTTCCTACCTGCTTTTCATCTTTCCAGCCTGCTCGACAGAACCACACGCTCCGAGCTCATCAACGGAATCCTGAAAAACGAGAAAATGTCAAACCGGAGTTAGCTGAGGGTGCTTTCTCCACCGCACACAACGAGAAAACGCCTCTCGTTTCAGAGCGTACTGGTTTGGTGTTGCTGTTTCTGCCCCTCCAGGAGAACCACCACCTCCCTCCTTTCTTGGGCATCTTCTCCTTCATGATTTTCTCCACGGCAGCCTGGAGAGGGGCACAACCGAAACGACCACAACACAAAAACAATTAACAAGATGCAAAAAATAATAAAAACACACCCAAACAGGACCATGAACAGAGTTTCTGTGACATACAGAGCTGTAGCCCAGGACACCAGTCAGACAACAGAGGAGGAACTTTAAGGATGATTGTAAATAACAAAGGCACGACGTCTAATTATATAAAGAGGAAGAGGGATGAAAAGAGAGAAAACACAAGCAAAGGCAGAGTTTAACAGATTTATCTGAAGTGTTTAAAGAAAAGATGGATCTTCTCCTGTTAGAATGTTAAGGAAAAACAGGTGATGCAGTACTAAAGTGGACCAGAAGGGGGAATAGTCACCATGTACCACAATCAGTCGTGTGTGTGTGTGTGTGTGTGTGTGTGTGTGTGTGTGTTTGCGCATGTGCATGCATACAATATTTTGTGTGTACACGCATGTATGTGTGTATGTGCGTGCGTGTTTGGGTGTGTGTGTTTTTGCGCGTGTGCATGCATGCAATGTTTTGTGTGTACACGCATGTATGTGTGTTTGTGTGTATGTGCATGCATGTTTGGGTGCGCGCGTGTGTGTGTGTGTGTGTTTGCGCATGCATGCAATGTTGTGTGTGTACACGCATGTATGTGTGTTTGTGTGTATGTGTGTGCGTATTTGGGTGCATGTATGTGTGTTTGTGTGTATGTGCATGCATGTTTGGGTGCGCATGTGTGTGTGTGTGTGTGTGTGTGTGTGTTTGCGCATGCATGCAATGTTTTGTGTGTACACGCATGTATGTGTGTTTGTGTGTATGTGCATGGGTACGTGTTTGGGTGTGTGTGTGTGTTTGCGCATGTGCATGCATGCAATGTTTTGTGTGTACATGCATGTATGTGTGTTTGTGTGTATGTGTGTGCGTATTTGGGTGCATGTGTGTGTGTGTGTGTTTGCGCATGTGCATGCATGCAATGCTTTGTGTGTACACGCATGTATGTGTGTTTGTGTGTATGTGCATGCATGTTTGGGTGCGCATGTGTGTGTGTGTGTGTGTGTGTGTTTGCGCATGCATGCAATGTTTTGTGTGTACACGCATGTATGTGTGTTTGTGTGTATGTGCATGCGTACGTGTTTGGGTGTGTGTGTGTGTTTGCGCATGTGCATGCATGCAATGTTTTGTGTGTACACGCATGTATGTGTGTTTGTGTGTATGTGTGTGCGTATTTGGGTGCATGTGTGTGTGTGTGTGTGTGTGTGTTTGCGCATGCATGCAATGCTTTGTGTGTACACGCATGTATGTGTGTTTGTGTGTATGTGCATGCATGTTTGGGTGCGCATGTGTGTGTGTGTGTGTGTGTGTTTGCGCATGCATGCAATGTTTTGTGTGTACACGCATGTATGTGTGTTTGTGTGTATGTGCATGCGTACGTGTTTGGGTGTGTGTGTGTGTTTGCGCATGTGCATGCATGCAATGTTTTGTGTGTACACGCATGTATGTGTGTTTGTGTGTATGTGTGTGCGTATTTGGGTGCATGTGTGTGTGTGTGTGTGTGTGTTTGCGCATGCATGCAATGTTTTGTGTGTACACGCATGTATGTGTGTTTGTGTGTATGTGCGTGCGTGTGTGGGTGTGTGTGTGTGTGTGTGTGTGTGTGTGTGTTTGCGCATGCATGCAATGTTTTGTGTGTACACGCATGTATGTGTGTTTGTGTGTATGTGCATGCGTACGTGTTTGGGTGTGTGTGTGTGTGTTTGCGCATGTGCATGCATGCAATGCTTTGTGTGTACACGCATGTATGTGTGTTTGTGTGTATGTGCGTGCATGTTTGGGTGCATGTGTGTGTGTGTGTGCATGCATAAGTGTTTTTGTGTTGTGTTTATGTGCGTGCGCGCATGTGCGTGTAAGTATATGTGTGTGCATGTATGTGTTTTTGTGTGTGCGTACTTGTGTGGGTGTGTGTGTATGTGTACCTTTGGCAGAGGTTTCTGGAAGACTTGCATGGCGAGCACCAGCGGAGCCGCCGAGCTCCAGTTAAAGTATCTGTGGGAAGTTTAAAATTATCTGTGAATATTTAAATAAATCCATCCAAAGAGACGGACTCAGGCCATTCCTTTTCCACGTTATTTAGAAGTTATTATGCTTTTGCGAGTTTCTTTACTTTGAGCCAACTTTCACCACTAGGTTGGGGTCATCGATGATGGAGGGGTTTTCCATGAACTGTTGATAGGAGATGATCTTATCCTGAAACTCTTCTTCAGAAATACAAGAAGAGGACATGTGAAATTCACAGGCCCTGCGTTTGGATAGCTTTGTGTCACATGATAGTTTACCTTTAGTGATCTCCTTGTTGTCATTGAGCCCTCCACACAGGGAGACGGCGATGGAAGGGAGGTCAGACATGGGGTCACAGTAGCTGTCCACGCCGCTGTCTCCTCCTGAGCTCATGGACTGTGGGGACTGACTAGAGCTGTGGAGGCCCGGGTCAGACACGCTTCTCACGGCCAAGCCGCTGTCGCTGCAGCGGTGAAGGAAATGTTCCTGAGAAATTCTCTCCTGACATTCTGAACACAGATGTGTAAACATCTGCTCGCGTACCTCTTAGGAAAATACAGTGCTGCCACCTCCGGCTCCAGGTCGGTGAGGTCATCCAGGTAAACCCCGTCAGCACCAAGGTGGCGGCTCCTTTTGTCTGCAGCATTCAACAAAAACAGGTCAGACAAACACGTACGCTCCTCTTTTTATTAACTGTTCAATAAAAACGGAAGCTGGCGACAGAAACAATAGCTTTTTTTTAGTCCTTGAATGCATCATAGCCAATAGTATTTTCAAGTTAATCAGACATTTAAAAACATATTAAACAGTTTTCGGTTAGTTACTGGTCGTTAAGGTAAACTAGTTGAAAATGAGAGGAACCTCCACGCTGACCTTTCCTCTTGGGAGAGTCTGTCTTCCCGAGAGGACGCAGAGACATCTCCTCCATGTCGGCCCGCGTCTCTGACGCTAGCGCCGGAGCCTTCGCCCTCACCGATTCTGACTCCACCCCATCGGACTCCTCTTTGGCCACGCCCTCCTCCTCCATCACCAGTCTTCGAGCTGGCATCTCACAGCAGGCCCTGCGTGGTCCTGACGGCATCTCACGAGGAATCGCACGGAAGTGTGTGTTTTGCGTCACAGGGATGGATACGGGATACACAGGTGGCGGGCTGGATTTCAGCGGGAGGAATGACGGCTGAGAACAGAGGAGAGAGATGTAAGGAATGGGACTGCTACAGAACAGATAATGAGATGGTGGACGACTGGGCACCGTGGCGGCCTGCGGCAACTCCCCCCACGCCCAGTGCATCGCTGGATTCTGACTGTCCGAGTCCGACATGTTGGTGATCAGCTCAGAGTCGCTTTTAGGAGACGTGGGGCGATAGTTGCTGGGACTGCAGACGGGAGAAACGATGAAATAAAGTCAGACATTCTTCATGTAGGTAGATTGTGTTTATTTCGTCTGAGTGGAGCACCTTCGGGCTGGACTCCACTCCCCGTCCGATCGAGTGTGAACTCCGTTCTGTTTGAATGAACTCAGAGCAGCCGTTTCGTCCCCTAAAGCTTCCCGTGATGCAGATCTGAGACGTAAACACAGAAACATGGAGGTCAAAACGCACCCGTCCTTCTTTTTATTATGTTCACTCTTTCTTAGCAGCTCCCCACCTGTTTTTCTCCCCCTCCCCTCCTTCATCTGAGCTCATGTCTATGGAAAACATGTCTTCATCTGCAGAGTAGTCCCCACTCTCCTCTCTCCTGGTGCTGTCTGCTCGACTCTTCCTCCTCCTCTTCCTCCTCTTCTTTGTCTCTCCACTGCTCCCCATGGAGCCCAAGGTTTGGACGGGAGGTCCAGGGCTCTTCCCTAACAGGGGGGGGCTCATCAAAACGGCTCCATCGGACAAGATGGGAGAGGTGGCCAAGTAGGAGGGAATGACTTCCTGTTTGTGGCAGAAACAAACAAGAAAACATGAAATCTGTGTGACATTTGATTTCCGCTGAAGTTATTAATAACATCTCCGGCTGAGAACCACACTCAGTTGGGCTTAAAATGCCTTAAAGACCCCTTTTCCTATATTAGTGCACAACTACTTCAGCTTAAAACCCAGAAAACCTAAAGGACAACAGCCTAGTGAATGGTTTTGATAAAGATCTTAAAAGATCCTTGTGAACCGCTAGAACACAGAAGCTGGTGTAAAGTGGATGCTTAGTCATTTGTTATCTTAGAGAGGCTAAATATGAAAACTTTACAGCTGTACGGCACGATTTCTTGAGTTGAATCGTCTGGTTTAACAAATACGTCCTTCATAGCCCTCGCTGCTAAACACAAGCAGGCTGTTCAAGCCACAAAAAGGTAAAAATTCCCGGCTGTCATGCCAACTCTGAACACAGCATGACCTTGTGTAAACTATTATTAGATATGTGTCAAGAGAAAGATGGTTCAAATGAAGATAAACAAGGGTGAGTGTGAAAGGGGGCAGAGCCAGAAATATTGTTTAAAGGGGCTAAAAAGGGTCCCAGAACAACATTTTTCTATAAAGCAATTTGTTGGGGCTCAAAATGGCACAGGAGTCCTGATAGACGGCCAAACTCAACCCCATAATAAATCCTTACAATGGAAAGACTGGTTTGCCCCCGCCCACTCGGCCAGTACATGAATAATAAATGAGTTGTGTGCTGATTGATCCATTTACCCCAGTATCTACACGACTCTGCTAGAAGCTAGCAACTTACAGTATCTGGATAACTCAACAGGAGAGGTATGGAACCTGGCAATCATTCAAAGTCTGGATAATCAGAACGTTACATGTGTCTGCCAATATTCTTCTGTGTTGTTTTCTTTCTCGCCCAACAAGGGTGTTAAAAGTAACTCAGGCTAGTGTTAGAAGGAGCTCGGGCTAGCATTAGCAGTAACTCAGGCTAGTGTTAGAAGGAGCTCGGGCTAGCATTAGCAGTAACTCAGGCTAGTGTTAGAAGGAGCTCGGGCTAGCATTAGCAGTAACTCAGGCTAGTGTTAGAAGGAGCTCGGGCTAGCATTAGCAGTAACTCAGGCTAGTGTTAGAAGGAGCTCAGGCTAGCGTTAGCAGTAACTCAGGCGCAGTAACTCAGGCGCAGTAACTCAGGCTAGTGTTAGAAGGAGCTCAGGCTAGCAATAGCAGTAACTCAGGCTTGTGTTAGAAGGAGCTCAGGCTAGCATTAGCAGTAACTCAGGCTTGTGTTAGAAGGAACTCGGGCTAGCATTAGCAGTAACTCAGGCTAGTGTTAGAAGGAGCTCAGGCTAGCATTAGCAGTAACTCAGGCTAGTGTTAGAAGGAGCTCAGGCTAGCAATAGCAGTAACTCAGGCTTGTGTTAGAAGGAGCTCGGGCTAGCATTAGCAGTAACTCAGGCTAGTGTTAGAAGGAGCTCAGGCTAGCATTAGCAGTAACTCAGGCTAGTGTTAGAAGGAGCTCAGGCTAGCAATAGCAGTAACTCAGGCTTGTGTTAGAAGGAGCTCGAGCTAGCATTAACAGTAACTCAGGCTAGTGTTAGAAGGAGCTCAGGCTAGCGTTAGCAGTAACTCAGGCGCAGTACCTCAGGCTAGTGTTAAAAGGGGCTCAGGCTAGCATTAGCAGTAACTCAGGCTAGTGTTAGAAGGAGCTCGGGCTAGCATTAGCAGTAACTCAGGCTAGTGTTAGAAGGAGCTCGGGCTAGCAATAGCAGTAACTCAGGCTAGTGTTAGAAGGAGCTAAGGCTAGCAATAGCAGTAACTCAGGCTTGTGTTAGAAGGAGCTCGGGCTAGCGTTAGCAGTAACTCAGGCTAGTGTTAGAAGGAGCTCGGGCTAGCAATAGCAGTAACTCAGGCTAGTGTTAGAAGGAGCTCAGGCTAGCATTAGCAGTAACTCAGGCTAGTGTTAGAAGGAGCTCGGGCTAGCAATAGCAGTAACTCAGGCTAGTGTTAGAAGTTACTTAGGCTATCGTTAGCAATAACTCAGGCTATTACGGTCGCAGTAGCTCGAGCTAGTGTCGCTGTACTGTTAGCTTTACTACCACCAACATTTATGCATTTTTGGTGTTGAAGTGGGTTGGGACATGCAAACATATGGTGGTGTGTCTAAGTTTATGATACATTAAACCAGATTTTCTCATGGCCATTTAACGTTACTAATTTGCATGGGAAAGCAGGTTGGAGAGAACATAGGCTTTTTGGTATGCTGCATTAGACACTCCAATCTGCCGATAATCAACAATAACAAGATAAATTTGGTTCTAAATTCCAGGACACCTTTAATTTAACTCACAGATCACCGGTAGTGACAACTATACGTAAAACTGTACAACATCTACTACATATCTTCATGCTCTGGTGGCCAAACCTACCTGACCGTTTTCTGTTTCTCGCACAAAGAAGGCCTCTCCATTGTCCCCGAGCTTCATATGAAGATCCACTGGCACTCCATTTATTTCCATGTCCACCTGAAGGAGGAGTAAAAGAAAAAGACAAATGAAGCTCAATTTCTCCATTTAACAACAGAAGCCCAGATTTGGATGAATCAGTACCACTTTCTCTCTGGAGCGCAGGACACCCATTTTACCAAAGCGAACGTGGAAGGGAGAGCACTGCAGCGAGTCATCGGGCTGCCTCACCACGATGACATCAATGCATCCAGAGAGTGTTGCAGGATTGAGGCCTCGGTACAGCTCCTTGACCTGTACAAACACCTGGCCTGCCAGCTGGCCAACATAGTTCATGGTCTGACGGGTCTGGTTGGGTGAACAGATGGAATCAGTGGAGTGGATAAAACAAAAGAACATGTTCTCATATTACATTTTCTGAGTTATTCTGGTCCCAATACAGGCTCTGTATTAAAATTACAATAGGCGTGCCTCAAGGCCGTGTTTTAGTACCCTCTATTATTACCATCAACAACGTGGAGCTGAATGTTACCAATACATTTTACATCTCTATGCTGATAATGCAGCTGTTTATTGTACAGACTGAATAAAATTTGTCTATCTGAAATGCAACAAAAGTACATTTATTTTGACTTTGAAACAAAAAAATAAAGCCCAACAGTTCTCCATATTGTCAAACGCCTTTTTATGAATATGTTCATATTCAAATTGATAAGTATCATGCTAAACATAAATGCAGAAAGGACTAAAGGATTGAAAAATTGGACAGGAAATAAAGATGGTTCTAGGCCAACGCCATGTTCTGTATACTGTAGAACCTGTTGCTGTTTCACTTTCATCTGTTCTTTCTCGTGAGACGAGAAATCCTATCCAGCTGTTTTCCCGACTCAAGTTGGATCAGTCCGTGCTTCTCAAGTGTCGGTAATCACGTCTTATATTAGCTGAGCTAAATCTGCAGCGTCATTACACTGAAAACACCCGAAAATATACTGTTAACTACACTTAGACTGGAGCCAATCCAGGTGAAATGTAAACATTTAAACTGTTATGAGTTTAGATACGCTTTGAAGCAGATAACTAGAATTGAACTTCTAGAATTGAACTTCTTTTACAGAAGATCTGAATACATTTTTACTCAAATTTGAAGCGTATGAACACAAGGTGGGGTGACGAATATAGAGGAAGTTGGTTACATGGAATTTGTCGATATAATGTGATGTTTCCAGACACCTCTTTGGAGTTGATCATTAAAAGTCTTGGAGAGCGGGGCTGACCTTGACCCAGGCATCTCAAAGAAAACAGATACAAAAAGTTCCAACACATGCACTCTTCTAGTTTTCATGTGATCAAATGAATTAGAGGTCAACCTTGAAAAACAGGTCAAAACTGGTTTTAAATCAGCAAATGAGACTAGTGGACCTCTAAATGCTTAATTATTAAGCGGGTTTTCCATCCGAGCATCGAGTTACAGCATCACTTGCAGCTGATTTTCAGAGGCCTTTTAGGTGCTGACTGCAGCTACATGCTGCTGAGCAGCTGTATCCAAAAATAGACTTTGTGTCAGGGATTACACGAAAAGAGGAAGAGTCTGAAAACGCAGTCTGCAGGTTTTACAAATGAGATGTGGTGGATGAATCCCCAGCTGAATGAGTAAATAAAGTTTGCAAGCTGCTGTGGGAATGTGACAGAACATTTCAGAGGATTTATGGGCTTCTTTCAGAGAACTATCAACAAACATGATCTTCTAAAAAGGATGGAGATAAAAATATTGCAAATAAAGACCCAACACTAAAAAGCTTCACATACTAATGTTTAAAATTAAATAAATAAAAGAATAAACCCTGGACAAATTCTTATTTGTCCTGCTTGGCGCAGCAAACTTAAAGTATTCATGATAAAATTACCCAGAATTAATTAAAAATATTATTCATTCAATGGAAAAAGGGAAAACAACTACATCCAAAAAAAATAAAAATAACTACACGTACCTGTTAAAGCTGCTGGGAGACAATCACGGAGAACAACAAACCCCCAAAATGTTACAGAAAACCTCCTGAGTCCAGCCGGAACGTTTCATTTAAAACAACCTTTAGTAAGACAGCCCCAGAGGCAGAAAGAGGACATTCAGCTAAAAGCGACTCATTTCTTCTCTGTTTATCTCGTTCTTCACTACTCTCGAGGCTTTTAGCGTTTGACGTCATCGTCCCGGTTAGCCAATCACCATCGAGCTCACGAGTTGCCAAACAGTCTGTTAAAACCAAACCGCGTGGTTATCATTGTTGCCAAACAGGTTAATTAAGGCGCCATATTGGCATTCTACCTAGTATTTCTACGTCACGTAAATTATAAAAGGTATTTTTAAAGCAACTTTGTCTAAAGAGTGATAATTTCTATGACGTCGTCATGAAATCCCACAGCTCCGAGTCGTTGTATGGCAAGCCGATTTAGCATATAAACGAATTAGCATGTAAAACTAGAGACTTATAAAAAAGAAGACAATATAGATAATAAAAAGATAATAAAAAAAATTGTTGAGCAACATGTTGAACCAATAAAAGATAATAAAAAATGTGTGCGTGCTCATTTTGTGTGTGCATTGCGTGTGCGTTTTCATTGCGTGTATTAGCAGAAAACATCGCAAAAAACGTCTCATTGTTCCTTTTTAAAAATTCTTCAGGATTTTTCTAGTTTAAAGCAGTTATAGTGAAGCTACGGAACAACCTAGCTTTTGAATGCAAACACGGTCACGGAACACTCATGTGTCTTCCCTGAGATGCTTTTGTCCGAACCGGAAACCCGCATTTCCAGAGGAAATGTGAGAGCGCTAAACATCAGTCGCCATTTTATACATCCAAGCATCTTTTGTATAGACACAGAACCGCAAACTTCTCAGGGGTGTGTAATGATGAATGGAGGACCCAGGAAACTGCGGCGGTTTGGCGAGGCAGACAGCAGAGTGGTCGAGTGGTTGCTTTCAGACTGAAACGTGTTTTTGGCAGAGGTTTTTAAATAAATGCAAGGAAATCCCTTTCACAATTTCTTTTTTTCTCTCCGCAACATATTTATAGCTATACTGTCGTTGTGTTACAATGTTGTTAAGAAGCATGATTAAATTTTTTTTTTCTTAATTTCATTGTAAAAGATGGCGCCAGCCTTGTTGCTCATGGCGTGCCATTTGTCACCTGTTGGTTTGATTTGTTTGTTTCTGGTTTTGTTGTGTTTTATTCACATTTTAATGTTTTTTGATCACTATTTTTTATTGTTTTTAACTCTTTTTTTGTTTTTAAATGTTTTTATCTCTGTATTTTATTGTAGAGGTGTTTTATTGTGCTGCTTCTCTGCACTATGTTCAGCACCTTGGGCCCCCTTGGTGGGAAGGGGCTTTATAAATAAAACGAACGAATGAATGAATGAAAATGTTTTAAGCTAATTTGTTTTCCAAATTTGCCATTGTAGCTTTCAATATCATACATTTAAGTAAGAGTGCCAACAGGAAAATCCATATTTACATTATAAATTGTTTTAAAAAGATTCTGTATTTGTCAGGGGAACATCCTTTTATATGTTTTAATTTTAATTTTGTCTAGTAAAATCATTTTTTTTACTATAAAGAAAGTTGTCAATGATTTCTAAACAAGACTGGCTTTATTATATGTAACATTGGCTTGCACAAAGCGAAATTTAAAGTCACCTAGTGAGTGTGCTGCAGTGAGGTGATCATGCTCACCAATCAGAGGCCTTTTTACAGCACAGGCGATGTTGGCTGTTTCAAGAGGAGACCTTTCTGTGAAAGAGGATGTGGCTGACTGGTGGTTTCAGCTCAGTGTTACTCAACACTCAGAAACCATGCAAGCTTCTGTTTCACACAATTCAACCCATTTTAAATAAACAGATGCAAAATCGGCCACATCTAATTTAAATATAACCATCTAAAATGCTTTTTGTTCTACCGCTTCTCTCAAACACATCTAGAGTTTCTCTTTCTTTATGCAAGACCTCAGGCCATGAATGAGGTCTTGTGCATGCAGGTTCATGTGAAGCATTCCTAGACTGTTTAAGCAGACTGTATGTTCTAAAATGAACTAAATCTAAGTATTTCTAAAAGAAGCGAGCATTTCTCGAGCTTTGTTGACAGTCTAGAGGCCCCTGTGTGGTTTTCTTTCCACTTCCCATAATTTACAGAAATGTTTACAGTGACGCAGACTGATAATTGCTGTGTAGTTAGCTCTGCATGCCATGTATGCTAGTGTCACAGTTGTGTGTGTGTTTCCTGTGTTTTAATTCACCTTGTAGGCTCATTATGTTTGGTTTTATTAATATTTACTGGGCTGACCCATAAAGTACTGACCCTGAAACTACAGCTGATGCCATTAAGCCATTATGTAGTTAAGTGAATTAGTGGATTTATGAGATTGACATTTTATAAATAAATGAAGAAAACTATGCTTGCTGCTTATGTTTAGCCTGAGAAAATAAAACTATTTATTATTGATATGATTATATTCTAGTAATATGAGGGTCTGCCCTGGGACTGGGAGATCGGAGTTAAAATCCTGGGTGGGTCATACCAAAGACTTTAAAATGGTTCTTGTCCTTGCTGAAACAAGGTTTTATTACAAGTAAAGTGGGTGATGTTGTATTAAAGAGCTTTCAAAATCCTTATTTCACCCTGTGCAGCAAAACTTTAGCAAACCAAGCCAGTAATGGAATGTGATAAAGTACAGGTACATTCTTACTGTACTTAGGTACAAATTTTCTGTATCTGTACTTTAATTTATTAAAGTGACAGTGTGTATTTAGGCAATGGGGGCAACACATATCTAAATCATTGCAAGCGAGGGGTATTTTTGCATTCACCATACCTTAAAGGGACTTTACGGACTTTTGAATTTTTATGCTCGCGATTGCCCCCTCAGGCCAAAAGCGTAACGGCAGCTTCAATAGTAGGCTCATGCACGAGGCACGCATTACGTGCACACTCCTTAACGAAAATAACAGCTGAGACAGCCCCGTGTGTGTGTGTGTGTGTGTGTGTGTGTGTGTGTGTGTGTGTGTGTGTGTGTGTGTGTGTGTGTGTGACCCGGAGGACAGACTACAGGAGAACACGCAGCTAATTAATTAAATAATGTGGTTCTGTAGCTTTCTCTTCAGCACAGCCGACAAAGGTTTATGATGGGTCAGTCCTCCTGCATGCTCAGATCATTCCCTTCCCTTGCTTGAAAAATTGTTCCAAAATGAAAGTTGAACCCACATCTTTTTTATCTGTGAATTCAATGCCGTTCGGCGAGTCTCAAATAAAAATTTGGGCATCTTACTGTAAAAAATATACCATTAATGTAAAAAAGAAACTCTAAATAATTTAAGTTCACATCCAATATCGAACCCAGGTCTCCTACAAGGGAGTCAGACACCTTACTAGGTGAGCTAAAGCACCAGTGATGTCCTTTGTATCTGTAACATTTATATCCTTGATGACAGCTGAAACAACGTCAAACCAAAGAACGGTTCGGAGTGAAAATGGCTATTTTGTTGCTAATTTGCCGGAAATATCTAGAAGTAAGTTCTACAGAAAGTAGCTAAGGGTCCTCAGAAATGTAGCTAGCTTTGTCACTAGGCGTTAGGAACAGCGACAAAGTGGCACTGCCTCTCTCTCTGCTGCTAAAGCTACGGATAGCAAATGCTATGGGCGATGCCTGAGCGTGAACGCGCATGAAGCAGCCTGCTCGACCCGAGCAGCTCTCTTTTTCTGTGATTTTACAGAAAAAGAGGCAATCACAGTAAAAATGCCAGGGCTCATTCTACAGGACCAGGGCATTGCAGGAGAATGTATGAAGAAGACATTTATTATTTCTATACGTGTTTTGGCTGTCAGACTTCCGTATAGCCCCTTTAACATAGATAACTTCTTTGGATCTAAAAAAAAACATTTCAGATATCAGCCCAATAGCTACAATTAGTTGACTGACATTTAAACTTGAAATTTGCCCCCAAAGTAGCTGCCGGCTTCTGATCCGCCGCCCTTTTGAAAATACCGCTGTGTACTCTGGGAAATTTTTGACCAAGGCTAGGCTACAAGACACCTCCCGTGTATGCTTGCTCAGCTAGCTAAACGGCTAACAAATGGAGAAAAGACGCCTCAGTAGAACATGAACATTGGAACACATCTTGGCGGTTCCTTATGACGTATCTCAACTGGGGCGGGACCAAGACATCAAAGCGAGGTTCCTTGGCATTGAGAAACACTCTCAGACCCACTCCCATGTGTTTTAGACCCCATTTTCATGGTTATATGTTACAAAGCCGCCACTATTTTTCAACAACTGGGCATTCATTTAATTCATTTTCAACAACATTTCGATGGATATTTCCAGAGATTAATGGTAAAAACTACACATTGTAACTCTAACTAATTTTCTTAAGGACTACTTTTTACTTTTACTGCACTACATTTTAAAGCAATTTTCTGTACTTTCTCCTCCACATTTTCTACAAAGTAAAAGTACTTTAATTCGGGTGTCCTACTCTCACCCCACCCCCGGTCTAATGGAGACTGACAGCACACTCCAACGTCCGAGCACAACACAAGATTTAAATGCTAGTAGAATACTTTTACTCTTTTTACTTTTAAGGACATTTGAAAATCCCCGGGTCGACCCAGGACACGTTGGAGAGGTTACATCTCCAATCTGGTCCGGGATCGCCTTGGGGTCCTGCCGGAGGAGCTGGTGGAGGTGGCCGGGGAGAGGACGGTCTGGAGCTCCCTAGTTGGGATGCTGCCCCCGCGACCCGGACCCGAATAAGCGGAGGAAGACGACGAATTTGTTAACCCCTTTATTTGTACTTTTACTAAAGTAAAAAAATCAAGAGCCACTTCCACCTCTGAGTTAAACCGGAAATAAAGTATTTTATTGCACTTACAAGAGTTACTAATTTCTTCAACAAAATGACTTCAGTGTCATTAAACCTGATTTTTTTTAAAACACAAAGCATTTACAGTATTAAGATGATCCTTCCAGCTCAGAATGTGACGAATACCACATTCTCGAAGAGCTGACCCCACATCCGTTTTCATCAGTAGGACTTCCAAGGATAGATGAGCCCCACAGCTGTTCCTACTGACGTGTTTCTAAGAACATGCTCTGTCACGACACAAAAGCCACACATGGTGGGAGTTTCGTGTCCTGCACGCACGATCGCTCAGGAACACATTACACAGCAACTCTGTCTAAACAAACCCAAGGATTTAATGCTCCATAACCTTTTTTTTTACTTTGCACAAGTTCACCACTTGCAACATTTACCCAGAATTACTCAGAAATTGCAAATTTTATGCAACGTTTGTAGAGAAGCAGTGGGATTTTTTTAAGTGAAGACTACTTCCCCGCTCTTTTTTTTTGTGTCAAGGAAGCAATTTTACTCTTTAAAAAAGGATTTACTGTAATTTATGTAAATGCTATTGACTTACACTCCGCATTACACACACACACACACACACACACACACACACACACACACACACACACACACACACACACACACACACACACACACACACACACACACATATATATATATAATATTATGGTTTTAGTGCGTAGCTCCACACATGTGGGCCATAGAAATTAATAAGGGAAGAATAATAAATGTGTGACGCATTAGCCCACACCTTTATGGAATAAGGTATATTCAAATAGCTGAATTATCCCTTAAGATTCATGTTTGATGTAACAAAAATGATCACAAACATTATTTTCTAACCTTTATTACCTCAAATGAGTGAAAAAACAAGAAAGAAATTTTAAAATAGTCTCTTTTCTTGTGATTATTACAGAGTTATAACTTACTGAAAGCATTTGTTTCATGTTTGCCTCCCTTAATCAATCAGTTTATTAATATGCCCTCTGCCCTCATGTGTGATAAACGGGCTGTTTTCTCCTTTCCCCCCCTCCCCCCCATCACCCCAAGTCGCCCCCTCCAGGGTATTGGTTGCAGCAGATTATTTTACGTGGTGGATTATCTAAACACACCCTGCTGCAGGACTTTTAAAAAACATCTTAATCATTTGTCCTTGAGAAGATTTTAAAGGAGTAAACTGCTCTAATATTTTTAAAATACATAAATTATTAATATTTCATGATTTTCACCCACCCTCCCCTCATGCTGATGATTATAAATCACTCACCCAGCTCCAGGTGGTGTCTGGGGAATCCTGCTGAACAGCCTCATCTAACTCCTCTTCACCCTCTGTTGATATCATGATTCCATCACGCGTTTAATCCCAATCCCATCAGTAGATTACATTAACTCCAGCAGTTTGGCCCTTTCCTGTAGCGTGTGTCCTCTCTCCCCGAGCTCGATAAGCATTTGACGGTCAAGTGCAACTGAACAGTGTCTACTAAATTTACCTGGGCCCCCCTGCTGGAAACCCGAGTCGGGCCTTAAGAGGTCGTCATCCACGGGAACCTCTGACTCCTTCGGAATTTGATGGGATTATTTGGCAGAATGTTGATCTGAGTGAACGTCCTCTGGTTTTAAACGATCACACACCAGTTAGATAACTAATCCCCACCACTCACCTCTACCAGCACATGCTTGACACTCTGTTAAGTGAGTACATTTCCAGTTACCTAACAGAAAGACTTTGAGACCTTGCTGGTACCCCCCCCCCCCCCCCCCCCCCCCCCCCGCTGACCACAATGGTGTCACAGATTTTCAGATGAGGCCCACCTGTTGCAGTCATGAGCTCACTGGTACTCAGGGACCCTTACAATAACCTCAGGGATTTCGTAGATTATAGTGATTGGACTTAACTCTGGGTTTCACTAACTTTTCCATGCTTTGCAACACTCCCCCCTCCCCCCCCCAGTTGAAGGATGGAACATTTCCTGAGCATCTCCCAACTTCCCACACCTATTTAACCCCCTAACGCCTGGATTAGTTTTCAATTATAAACATTTTTTTCACTTGTGGATTTTCTCGCCGGTACATGCGGCATTTTGGTTGCATTTGGAGGAAATGCAGGTTTGATGCAAATTTGCGACGACTGGTGTTACGGGGTAAAAAGAACTGCAGTAAAATACTACATTTCAGAGTGTCGAAACTTGTTGCCTCAATAACAACAACATCAGTTTAGTTTTGTGACAATTTATTCTAATTACACCTTCAAACTTTTCATTTTCAAAATAAAGTAAAGATTGTTAGCCTAGTTTTATTGTAAATCTTTTAAAAAAAAGACTAAGTTCTATGGAGTGATTTTTGTAACGTGATACGTAAAAAGACCCAGTTTTCTCAAACCTTCTCTAGAACAGAACAAATCTGGATGTGGAATTTTTAATGTTATGTTCCCACTGTATTTATTTGGTAAATTACTGTGAATGTAAACATAACTCCTAAGAGTTTTCACAAATTCTTTGTTCACAAAATATCGGGCATTAGAGCAGCTATTTCTGGTAACTCTGTTGACCCTGTTCCAGTTCCTCCATCACCACCCACCCTGAGCTCCCTCAATACCGTTTCTTATTCTGAGCTGAGTAAGCTAGTTGCGAGGCAGAAGCCATCCGGCTTTCCACCTGAGGTTCTGCCGCCTCGCCTCTGGAAGGCTGCCTTTCCGTGCCTTGGCCCTTCACTTGGTCAGATTATCAATGGGAGCCTCAGCACAGGTGTGGTCCCAGCTGCTTTGAAAGCAGCAGTTATTCGGCCGACCCTGAAGAAACCTGGTGCTGATGTCTCTGTGATCGAACATCACAGGCCTATCTCTACCCTGCCTTTTACATCAAAACTGCTTGAGGAAGTCGTTTATCAGCAGCTGGTCTCACATTTAGCTGACTCTGATCTGTTTGAGGTTTTCCAATCAGGGTTCAGGTCTGGCCATAGCACAGAGTCTGCTCTACTGAGGGTCTTAAATTATATCTATCTATCACTAGATCAGGGTACATCTGTGCTGCTTCTGTTGTTAAATTTGACGGCAGCTTTTGACACAGTTGACCACGCGATTCTACTCGATCGCTTGGAACGATGGGTTGGGATTAAAGGGTTTGCTCTGGATTGGTTTAGATCGTATCTCCACAACAGGACATTCTGTGTTAAAATGGGTGATGATTTCTCTTCTTGGGAGGGGCTCCACTGGGGGGTCCCGCAGGGATCAATCCTTGGTCCTCTTTTGTTTGCCATTTATTTGCTTCCTCTGGGGTCAATCTTTCGTAAACATGGCCTAGCGTTCCACCTCTATGCTGACGTTTGTCAGATTTACTCTCCATTGTGTCAGGAGAAAGGTCACTTTATCCAGTCCTTTGTGTGCTGTCTTAACGAGGTGAAGTCTTGGCTAATGGCCAACGTTCTGCATCTGAATGAGGGAAAGTCAGAGCTCATTGCTGTGGGTCGTTATGTTGATCTTGGCCCTCTTTCTCCTTACTCAAAACCAGTTGTCACCAGTTTGGGGGTGAAAATTGACGCTGGACTTAAATTTGATGCTCACATCAATTCTGTGATCTGGTCCAGTTTCTTTCATCTGAGACGCCTTGCAAAAATCAAGCCTATGCTGTCGAGAGCCCACCTGGAGCGGGTACTCCATGCTTTTGTAATGTCTAGGCTTGATTACTGCAACTCTCTATATGCAGGGTTGTGTCAGTCATCACTGCGCCGCCTACAGGTTGTGCAGAACAGCGCAGCCAGGTTCCTGACTGGGACCAGGAAACGGGACTACATCAGTCCAGTTCTGGCCTGCCTGCACTGGCTTCCGGCCTGTTACCGTTCACACTTTAAACTCCTCGTCTTTGTTTACAGTTTCTTCCATGGTGGTGCTCCCCCCTATCTAGCCACGCTCCTGAACAGACATTCCCCATCACCCACTCTGCGCTCCTCTGACCAAGGCCTGCTCGCTGTCCCTCGTTCTAGGTGCCGTACTCGTGGGGACCGGGCTTTCTCAGTCCTAGCCCCGTCACTCTGGAACCAGTTGCTACCCTCAGTCAGACTGTCCCCATCTCTGCCAGCCTTTAAGAGTCGCCTAAAAATGCACCTCCTCCGCTTGGCGTTCCCTGAATGTGTATGAGTTAGGCCTTCCTTTATGTTGATTTTAATTCCCTGCTTTCATCAGTTTCTTTATCTCTTGTTTTACCCATTTGTTTTCTGCTTTAATGTTTTTACCTCTTTCTCTCATGTACCGTGTTCAGCGCCTTGGGCTTCCCGACAGGGTCGCGGAAGGCGCTTTATATATAAAGCTTTGATTGATTGATTGATTGATTGAGTGATTGATTGATTAAAAATGAGCGTTACAAATAAAAGCTAAACAATTTACTAAGTTAAATCTACATATTTTGAGAGGAATCAAATTATTTGATGTGTTAAATGTGATATCAAATTTTTAATAAAAAAGCATGAATATCTTGACTGCTGTAAAATAAAAGGATCCTATGTAATAAAAGCGGATCAGGAACTCGTCTATGCTCTATCTAACATCTATTTAACGTTATGTATGACTTTATGGATTTAAAGTTTATTTAAAATTTTAATATCTTACTTTGTATATTTGAATTGGAACCTAAATGTTCAAGTGAAGAAATGGGTGATAAAATGCAGTTATTTTATTAAATCCCTCAAAAGAAGTTCCTTAGAGTACACTGCCATCTAGCGTGCAATAAAGGAAACTGCACGGGTCAGACATTTAAGGTTGCCTTCAATTGCTGTAGTTAAATAATGAATAACCTCAGTTAATTTGGTCTGAGGACTGTTAAATTTCATTCCGTCATGCATATCTGTATTACGGTATTTCATATATCTTTCAAGAGTATGATTTCATTCACTCAAACTGTTGTTGCCAAGTTTGCGATAATAAAAAACCAAAACATAGTAACATTTCACACTGTGAATGTCCTATTTTCCTGCAGCACCTGAAGTCAACATCTTGACGCATTCACGGCGTTCTGTTGATCCAGCTAACTAACTGATCGTTAGCTTTTGTGTCAGTTATGATGTCCGCGGTGTCTCATTGTTTATCTGTTGTTTCTGGGTAAATATACCTGGCATTTGGTGGCTTTAATGTTCCGTGCAGGTCATCTAAAAACCATCGGCAAAGCAGGAACTGGCTGGTAGGTGGTCTTTAGACGTGACATGTTGCTCACGTCTCCTCAACTCTCGTTCATAATCAGCCGACTACAGCGTTTAAGACAGCTATGCTAGCAGGCTAGCCGCAAAATGTGAATTTTAAGCGATTTTTAAAAATAATTTTATTTGTTGGTGACAGTTGTTGCATATTTTGTTGTTCTCGAGCAGCACTTAGTGGATTATCAAGATATTATAATTGGTCGTTTGTTGATGTAGAGTGAGCAATTTAGCTAGAAACGTTAGCACTCTAAGCTAACATCTATTACTGCTAAGAAGGTAAGACAAGAGCAGTTTAAAATAAGTAATCTGGCTTTTTTGGGGTGAATTTAAACGAGCTTTAAGAACGTGAGTGTTGAGAAATGATGTAGATCTAATTTAAATTCGTGAAATTATGACAACGTATTGGTAAATGTCAGCAAATTTGAGAATTATTGCAATCCGTGTCAATTTAGTTGATGATGGGTTCCTGAGTCTTAGCTACACACAATCCATTTTATAATAACAAAAAATCTTTAATGATCTTACTCAAAGATTCACAATGACTTGTTCTCATGCTTATAACTTGTTTGATTGCATTAATGAAACCTTTTTGGTCTCCTCATTCCCCAGGCACTTTCACCGGACGATGGACGAGCTGGTCCATGACCTGGTGTCAGCTCTGGAGGAGAGTTCAGAGCAAGCTGCGCGTGCTGGCTTTGGAGACGGAGGAGATCACGCGCTGGCTGTGGGCTGCCTGCTGAAGAGACAGGCTCGGAAACGGAGGGGGAGAAAACGACGCTCGGACAACCCACATCCGCCGTGGGAGACGGGTCATCTCAGTGAGGGTTCAGAGTCCAGCGTGGAGGAACATAAGGTGAATTATTGCAGGACTGATAAACAGAACTTTTATGACTGGTGCCAGCTTGGCTATCAGCCTGATACTTGAGCTGCACTCATGCTGATTGCTGTATAAATCTGTTGAAGTTCTGCCGTGCACGTGTTGCATCATCTCTTTTTATAGCCGACGCATCACAGTCTGCTTTTCATCGCCGTTCTGTTTGTTGCAGGACTACCGCGCCGGCACAGGAGGTGTTTCTGCTGCTAATAGCCACGCTCGTGACAACAGCGACTCCGATGACCAGCTTGGCCCAAAAAGACGCCCTCCTCATGCAGCCGATCTTGGACGGAGCAAGCGTCCGTTTTGGCAAGACGACCTATCTGTCCTGGGCTCAGTGGAGGGAACGCGCAGCCTCAGGCGACGGCGTAAGGTCAAACGCATGGCCGTTGACCCGCCTGTGGAGCCAGAACCCCACTCCTCCATCGTGCTGGGTCCCCCACCCATCCCCAAAGCCCGTGTTGGCAGCAGGCCTCATCGGGTGGGCGAGCTGGAGCTATGTGGAGGAGCAGTGATCGGGTCAGAGGGAGGCAAGAACCAGGTGAAGAAGAGGAAGCTAACAACCCACAGGCTGGGAGCGGAAGCTGCAGATGAAGGGGTGGTTGTTGAGAGCGAAGACCCAGTTTCTTCTCCAGCGGAGGGGTCCAAGGAGAAGATGGAGCTGGAGGAGCAAAAGGGCTCAGATGAGGAGATGAGTGACAGGTGGTTAGTGTTTGCACTTTATTTATACATTTCTACTCTTGCCTTATTTAACGGGCTTTTAAGGATTGCAGGTAATATGTGAGTCTGGGCATCAAACTAAGAAAGCTTTTGGATTTTTTTAAATTGAACTTTAACCCCCAAATTCCACTACCTCCGCTCCGGCACGAACGCCGGAGCAAAATCGGTCCCGTTGTAGTCATTCAGAGCTGTTCCACTACTGCGGCCGTGCTCCGCCCTCTGTTCCGGCGTCCGACAAAAATAGAACCGATCCTATTTTTGCCGGACGCCGGAGCACCTCCGCAGTAAATGGACAGGAATCACAACGGCCCAACAGGAAAAGGAGCAAGCACAACTTCCGTTTTTCACAATAAATCGATAAACAAAAGGTGTTTTTTGTTTCTTTTGCACAGGTTTAACAACTTTTAACAACTATCAATGGCGGCTGAACTTTAAATGCACAAACATAAGCCATAAATACAGTTTCTACTATCAAAGTAGTCACACTTTGTTGATCCAAACACTGCTGATCTCTCAACACAAATGATGGGCAGATTAAACAGTTCATGCCGATGCTTCTCCCACACAACGGGTGTTTGGATCTAACTTCCGCGTTTATTGCTCGGACTGTATCGCAAGATCTCGAAAATCCCGCGCACGCCTGTTTGCGCACCTCAGGTCTCCGCACCGGAGCGGAGCCGTTGTAGAGCGGGTACCAGTAAACATTGAGTTTGGAAGCGAGCGGCTGCGGAAGGCGGGGGCGGACCGGAGCGGAGGTAGTGGAATTTGGGGGTTAGATCCATAAAAATAATTTTATTTCCAGGTCTAATTCATCTGGACTCAGTTATGGTCTAGTCTGAAAGCTTCTCCAGACTCCTCCTCGTCACCTCTAGAAAGCCCTTAACCGTTGTTGTTGGACTCTGAGTGGAATTGTAGATTTGATCAAGGTAACAAAAGAATTTGACGTCATGTTCAGCGCTTTATGTCGATGTTTGTGTCTCCTCCCCAGTGAGACCAGCAGTGTCAGCAACAGCAGCGATGGTGGCCTCTATACCAACGATGAGGGGAGGCAAGGTAACGATGGGGTCATGTTCTGATTTGATGTCAGTCGTCATCTGATTAGTTTTCTGTAAATTTTCTGGCCTTTTGTTCCAGGTGATGACGAGCAGAGCGACTGGTTCTACGACGGCGACCCTGGGTCGGGTTCTGGGCCCGGCGGTGCGTGTGGGATAGCAGGAGTGGTCCCCTGGTGGGAGAGGGAGACGGCGTCGGAGGAGCTGGACCTTTCCGACCCCGTCTTCAGCAGCATCCTGTCTGGATCCTTCCCGCTCTTGACCCCTGGAGCTCAGAGAGGTGGGCGGCGTCACTTCCACCTCCCCGCAAGACTGAAAGAAGTGTTTTGCAATGTTGTTGCAGTCCCACTCACGACCACTAGGGGGGATAGCTTCTCTACTCAGTAGATTTCAAACAGATCTGTTTTCTCCTTCACTTTGTCTGTTTTATCCGAGTTGCTGCTGGAGTTTTAACAGTTTTTTAATAATAAATCTGTGTTTGTGTCTGTCAGGGTTTCAGGCCAGGCTGAGCCGTCTCCATGGGAACCAGCAGGGTTCTGAAGCTGGTCTGCGAGGAAGCTCCAGTCCAGGCTTCAGTGAGAGGCTGAGCAGACAGAACCAGGACTCACATGAGTACGTTTTCCGTTCTTATTTGTGTTTTTCCAAATTCTGGCCCCTCCTTTTTTCAAATATTCTCAAGTTAGCAACCCGCTGCTTTCATGAGTACATTTCAGTTAATCAAACGCTACTAAATGGTTCGTTTGATTCGTTTTTGGTATCGTATAACACGACGGTCTGTCTTTAACAGGCCGTGGTTTAGCTCAGGCTCAAGGAGGGACCACGGACAGGTGAGTCTAACAGTCCTGCTCTCATGTCCCGATTGCTTCAGACCGTAAGACGTCTTGTCTTTTGCTCCCGTCTCAGTTGCACTGGGACCCGTGCTCAGACAGAGGACATCGTAGGACTTGCTCAGTTAAAACAGCCAGCAGGTGAGAGTCGTTGGCCTAATAACTCCATTATTATTATTTAAATTATTAACATTTTCCTGTTTGATTTTGCAGACAGACCAGCGGACACCTCGGCTCTCTGTGCACAGGGGACATCAAGCGGAGACGAAAAGCAGCCCCGCTTGGCTCTGTTGGATCCTCCGGTATTAGATTCTAGTTGTATTTGATTATTTTTTTGGTCTAATTTGTTCTTTATCCCCGTCACTCCTAATTATAAGGGCTTAATACTCCTGGGAGCCACGCCGGTCCGGTTTGGGGCTCAGAGTGAGCAGCTTTACTCTGCGCTGCTTACAAATAAAGAGAGGATTAAAAACAGCGATTAGCTGGACTCTGACCGAAGACAACTTCCTGGAAACAGGAGGATGAAACGACCGTTGTCTAAGACGGACGTCGCTCATCTATAAAAGTCGGTTACACGCTTCCGCTCCGGCCGTCAGACAGCACCAGAAAACCGCCAATCAGACAGAAAGAAATGCAAATCATGAACCCAGAGCGGTTTATTATTAGCACAAATGTTGAAGACCCCCCATGAAAGAGAAACCGGCCTAGTTTATGGTGACCGACGCGTTTTTATTGATTTGCTTTTGTCTTCTCCAGGCGTCGTCGGGGAGAACGCTCCGCCAATCCCCGACTCGAACACGGGGAGCCGCATGTTGCAGAGCATGGGCTGGAACCCCGGAACGGGTCTGGGTCCAGAGGGGCGGGGCATCACCGAGCCCATCCGGGCCACCCAGAGACCCAAAGGAGCAGGTTTAGGTTTCAACTGAACGTCTGCTGTTCGCCCCAAACAGGAGGGACTGGAATAAAACGTCTCCTCGGGGCTCTTTTAAAACAACTTTTTTAAGTAACCCAGCCATGTGGACGACCAGAGACTAGACCTGGGGGATCCCAAGCTCATCTGTGCTGACAAAACTACTTTCCCATATTGGGGAACCCAGAAGAAGCCTGGGACGGCCTCAGAGACTTCCCGTAGTCGCCACTGAGGCGTAAAAAAGGGACACGTTTTGCTCAGACTCCATGTTGGAGGTAAAAGACACTGATGAGTTACCGCAGACGCTTCAGGATCTTCGAGTGCATCAGAGGTGGCCTCTGGTGACAAACGGTTAGCGGTTAGCCGCGTTGATTGGAGCACAAACATGGACTTGTCTAAAATTGCACAGTTTGAATTCAGCGGTTTGAGTTTATAAACCTCAGCACAGCTCTCGTGTTGTTTTATGGCATGGACGTAATTTTCACTTTAGAAGTGGGGGGGACACGGGGATTGGGGTGTGGGGGGGGTATCTTTACAGTATGCTCTAATGGGAAACAGGCTTCAACACAAATGGTTGTTTTCTGCTTGGTCCTAGAGCTCAACCAGTGTCAATTTAATATAGCGTAATATTGTTTTTGGATGGTAAAAAGTGCAGGGGTCAAAACTTGACTTTGGAAAAAGTGGGGGGGACATGTCCCCCCTGTCCCCCCCCCAAAATTACGTCCATGTTTTTTGGTGATGAAGTTGGGGTACGCTGCATTGATGGAAGGTTTTATTCTTCATTTAAATGGAGCACGTTTAGTTATTAAAATGCTTTTATTTCTCAACAAAAGAATCTAAAAGCATGGTTTTTGTGTTGGCTCGGTGCCTGCCGCACCTCTCTGCTGCAGCTTTAACACAAACTTCTGTGTGGGATTTAGCCTTTTCTGTTTTAAAATTTAAAAGTAAAAAAATTGAAGGATGCTAACTAGCATTTAGCCACCTGTAGCCGTGCTAAGTGACATCACACTTGACAGCTTTACATGGAGGTGATTTTTCACGGTTTCCTGTGCGTGATCAGAAACCGCCAAAGGGGAAAATAAGGAATGTCACCTTCACTTAAAGGGCTCTTGCACCTGTTTTCCCCTATGTTGCATGACTAGTCCATTCACTGTGGACAAAAATAGACGATCAGATGGAGCTAAAGGCATGAGTCTTTAAACTGGCGTTTACGGAGAATGTATGTTTGTACTGGAACAGCGTCTGTTTCCTTTTTGAAGCTGATTGAAAAAATAAAAATCAGCTGTCTGTTAAGGCTAATCTGGGAAAGGTGACTATATTTTATGGTCTTTTGTTTCCATGTTGAAGTCGGTAAAAGAAACCGATTATGTGGGGGAGAATCTTTTTAGATGAAGTTTGTTTGCAAAATGGACAGCACTGTTAAAAAAATCATCTTTTTATTAGTTTTACTGCTTTCATTGAATTTTGCAAATGACCCTCACCTATTCTCAAAAAGGACTTTTATTTATTAAAGAGATACTTTGCAGATTTTTTATGTTTTAAAATCATTTTCTTGAGCCAGTATGTGCTAAAATGACCCTTTGCAAGGTTAATGAAGTGCCACTCAGACCCCCACCACCTTCTGTGGTCAGAATACCACACTTGCAACTTAAGAGTGCTGGACTGGAAAAAAATGGAGCTTACATACCTGGTGCTGCAGTCTGCTTCCTGCATTTCCTGCATGTTTTAGATCGTAAACAAAGCTGGTTTGTTTACTTTAGTGATTAGTCGCTCCTGTAGACACTAAGGAAGACTGGGGAGACGTTTCAGTTTTCAGATTAAAGTGTCAAAAGATTCGCTCAGCTCGGAGGTAAATTTTGTTTTTGGTTCTATTAAACGGACACTTGGGGGTGCTAAAAGCAAGCCAAAACCGTCTAGTCTCTCTTTAATGTCTAAAAATTTCTATTTAATACAATCAAAAGAAAAGAAACAAGTTAAAGTTAAATGGAATGACATGTTTTTTTTTAACATTGTCTAAACCTGACAATGACCCCCTGAAGGACACTCAGGCCTAGTCCACACGTAGCCGGGTTTTTAAAAAAACGAATATCCGCCCCTCCAAAAACTTGCATCCACACCACCTCGTTTTAAAAAATAACTGTCCACACGTACCCGGATAAATACGTTGTTAAGGACATGCCAGACCTGTAGGCGGCAGTACTTCCCCCGTTCTTAACCTCGTCCTTCGTCTGTGGTCTTCCGCAAGGAGCAGGAATTCCGCGTGCAAAAACAAACAAGCAGAAAGCGCTTGGACAATTGATAAAGCGAGCGCAGCTCTGAGGGCGTCCATGCTGTCGGCTAGTGTAAACACAGGTCGCACACGTGATGTCAGCATTTTTTTGTCGCGGAAAGTGACGTTGCGGACCTTAAAACTCCGGTTTTGTCTGTCCACACGCAGACACCCAAAACGGAGAAAACGCAGATCTTCACTTTGGCCGGAGTTTTTAAAAAGATCTGTTTTCGTGTGAAAAAACTCCGTTTTCGTGTGGATGACAGGCCAAAACGTAGAAAAATATCTACGTTTTGGCAGATCCCCGGCTACGTGTGGACAGGGCCTGAGACCTCAAGGCCTTCGGTAATCAGCTGTTTCTACTCACACACTAAAAAAAAGGTGAATTTACACAGCCAAGTACTTTTAACTAGTAAATCAATTTGCTTAAATCTAAACAGTAATATACATTTAAGCAGCTGGGGTTTGTTGAACCAGTTGACATAACTTGGATAAGTAAATCCAACATTTAATTTTTAGAGTGTATTACGAGTGAGTCGTCCTAATCCTTCAGTTTCTCTGTGAACCTGCACAGACCAGGTAACAGAACCAGATGATGGATCCTACTGAACCGTTTTCTGAGTATTTTGTTTTGTTCTTGGCTGAAACGCTGAAGCTCGGCCTGACTGGGCGAGTCTCATCAGTCCAGGTCTAAATGGTTCATTCGAAACCAGATCAGCAGCTATCAAAGGAAACCATTGAAGTGACTGAAAAATGACTTTCTATTCCTTCTAAGCAACTTTCTAATTTTGTTTTCAGTTACTCGTCATTCTCTGTGAGTTTCAGAACAAATCTACTCGTGTAATTCTAGATTCTCTCCAGCTCCGTCGACGTTCCCATGCTGACTCAACATCCCTGAAATACGATGCGTTCGCTGTCCGCCTCCTCCATCTTCAGCATGGCTGCAACAGAAAACCCTCCTCTGTATCTGTGGGAATTCTGTGCGTCCACTAGCTTTCCTTCTGCTCACCGCTTCCCTCTGCATTTGAGGGGAGCCTCTGCTCGGTCCTCCCCCAGCTCAAAACACACACACACACACCCGCTTTCTCTCTCTGTCTTTGCCCTGACACACACACACTTTCAGGACTCCCCTGTGAGCACGGCAGGCAGGTAAACTCAGCACTGGATGAGAGTGAGATGCTGAGAGGAAGGAAAGAGGAAGAGAGAGAGTGTGTGTGTGTGTGTGTGTTTCCTATATGAATTTGTGTGTGCGCTGCTGCTGCATCGCTGAGCTAGAGACCAGAGGCGAGGAGAGCTGGAGTGTTTGTCCTTGAGACTGACTGACTGCAGCTGTAGAGCAGAGGACTGACCAACCAGCTTCAGTGGATGAAACTGACGGTGAGTACTGACCAAAACAAGGAGAAGAACATCTGCTTCTGCTTTTGTTTGCGTACAAACAGTCTGCTGTTGTTTTTTATAGGCAGAAACAAAGATGTGTGTGTATTCGTTCATGTGTGTGTGTGCCTGCAGGTGAACTCCTCTCTCTATTGGCTCCCTTTCATACGTCCTGTAAAACATCTGGGCTCAGTTTGAGGTTGTTTCTGAGCGTTATTTTTTAAAAGATGAATATCCTCCTCTTCCTCGCTGTTTCTGACCACCATGCATGCAACTCCATTGTATTTGGTGGCCCTTTGAAGCAAAGTCGTGCGTAATCTTGCAGAAAATTACATTTTGATTGGTGCACTTTTTTTTTGTCGTGGCTGGGAGCCGGTAGAGCAGGGTAACTGGATGGCCAGAAGGTGGGGGTCAATGAAGGAACAGCACGGAGCTCTGAGGAGTGGAAGGGAGGGAGGGTGTGTTTCGTGTCCTGCCTGAGCTGAAGCATCCCACCTGGAAGCGTCGGTTTGATTCAACAATCAGAGACTAGAAAGATTTAGAGGAAGAGGAGAGGGTGAAGGAGGGGATGGATTGTTGGTTTTCTGTGATGCAGCTGGATCACCTGTGGAGCTGCTGACAGAACGTGTCCCGACCAGGTGGATGACAGAGGTAAACCCAGAGGGTGAACACACAAAACCTCGATACACATCTTATTAAAAAACAAAAACAAGACAAGAAAGATGTTTTGAGCTGACTTGCTTAGTGATGACTAGCTGATGCACAGCCAGGGGGCTGAATTTACCACCTGTGGAGATAAAAAGTGAGATGATGGGGTCAGGTGGATGCTATGTCGCTGTCTGAGTGACTGTGTGTGTGTGTGTGTGTGTGTGTGTGTGTGTGTGTGAGAGTGAGAAAGTGTTTCTTAGAGTTCCTGACATCAGCAGTAAGTGTGTGGTGCTGACTCCCAGGATTCAGTGTGTGTGTTGGACCCGCTTCAGTGACTCTTCGCCTGGGGCAGGTCTGGGAACCAGGTGCATGGAGGTGTGTGCGTGTGTGTGTGTGTGTGTGTGTGTGTGGGGGGGGGGGGGGGGTATGAAACTTGTTCTGGAATTCAAATCTATTTTTATGGTGGCTGGTTTTAATCGATCATTTATGCTAAAGGCACTTTTTGATGTGATAGTCGGGTCTTTTTTTCCAGCAAAACCAAAAATACGCAAAAGAAAATGAAGAAAAAAAAAAGATAAAAATCTGGACTTGCAATTATTAAAGAGCAAATATCACAAAAAATGTAAGAAAACAAAAAAAACAAACATGTATGTGTTTTACTTAAAATCAAGAGATAAAACATTTAGGGACAAATTAAGAATGTTTTGAATCGTTGTATTCCACTTTAGAACAAAACTTTACTTTTTCTTTTTGCTTCTTTTAGAAATCTTTTGTCTTTCCTAAAATATTTTACGTCTGTTTAAAGATCATGAAACCAAGAGAATAAAAAACAATAGTTAGACTTAGAAAATAAGACAGCCTTTCACTCTTTTTTTTTTGTGATCCAAAAAAAAAGCATCATGCATAACAACAGAAAAAGTCCTGGAGTACAGCCTTGTGGGACTCCATTTTTAACAGATTCATTTCACTGGCTAAGTAGGACTTAAACCATTGTACATCAGCTTAATAAACCTTGATAGTGGCGAGCCAAGGGGAGATTTAATAAGGAATTAAATCCCTCATGCAGCAATGTGAGATGTTTACCCGGAACTTCCGATTTTCTGGGGCGGCACTGAGATAGAACGACAACACGCACAAGATATATTCCCCCTTTTCTCCCCAAATGGCAACTAGAGACAGAAGAGGGTGACCAGCAGTTGACCACTTAATCCCATCGCGCTTGCTGGGAATATGAAGGGTCTTTGCTGTGGTAATCCACATTATGCTGTTAGGAGAAGCTTGGTTACATAGACTAATCACCCTAAGGGCCTCCAGATGGGCACCTGAACAATATGGCCGCCTGAACAAAGGCATGCATCTGCGTAAATCTCCTATCTCCAGTCGAGTCTTTAAATCATGACTTTTTGTGTTTTAATCTATATTTTCAAGGCAGGACTGAACTGAGTAAATACAAGAAAAAGTCCTCCACTAGAGGGCAATCCAGTCAAGTTTTCAGAGAGTGTCAAGTCTGGGTCTTGAACTGAGGAGGATTCCTTTGGTGGTTTTGGCCTCAGATTTTCATAAACAGGCTTAAATTAGTCCAGATGAAATCCTGTCTCCCTGAAAGCAGATCCCATTTCCCAGCAATGACTCGCTTGCTCTGCAGTGGGACTGTAAGATCTCCAGATACGTGAAAGGCATTTGAAGACCATTGACCCACTGAGCAGCAGCAGCAGCAGGTCCCAGTAGCTCAAAGTGACATTTCTGTGTTTCTCTGAGGGTTTCTAAAGTTTCTGCCATGGATGTGAGTGTGAGATCTGTGATCCCATACAGCGTGCCACAGATCAATGAGAAACTGATCCCAGTCCAAGCGCTCATCTGTCAGCCAATCTGTGCATTGTTTCCCTCCATCTATCTATTTTAAGACACCAAAACTGAATGTGGATGTAAGATTCTCCCTCAGCAAATAGACTGATGTTTCTTGGAATCTGCATTTGTTTCGTTGAACGGTCCTACGTCTTTCTGCTCCTAGAAGCTAAGTGTGCGCCAGTGGATGCTGTGTTGGTGCAGCGGGACGAGAGTGTTTGCTCACAGTGTCAATGGTCGTGTCACACTGTTCCAGTAATTGATGGATGGCTGACAGTCAGATATAAACTAAGCAGATTACACTGTCCAGTTCGGAGGCTAATGCTAATGTGTGTGATGGGGGGGGGGGGGGGGGGGTTGACTGTCTGGTTTTGGAAGTCAAAGCGACAGCTGTCCCTGGAGGCTGAGATTTGGTTAGGGTTAGGGATGAGGAGAAAAAATGTGAACACACACACACACACACACACACACACACACACACACACACACGCTAGATGCATACATTTCCACAACTCTCTCTGTGTGTGTGTGTGTGTGTGTGTGTGTGTGTGTGTGTGTGTGTGTGCTATTGAGCTTCTGTCCTCAGCTCAGACTTAAAAGTGTAAAAATATTTTTGATGTCTGCAGCCGTGCGTGGGCTGCTCTTCATTCGGCCTCCGTTCATCTTTAAACCCTTGGCTTTTCTCGTTCACCACGTGGTCAGGTTGTGTTTTGTTTGTGTGGCTGATAGTTTATCTGGATTATTGAGTTTTCTTTTATTTATTATGTCATCTACTTTGAAATAATTTTTCTTTTTGCACTTGTGTCGTCCAGTGAGAATAATTTAAATCTTAGGGGCATTTCTGGGACCAGTGGCTGCTGGAGTATTCCAACGCTTCAAGGCCAGAAATAAATTTGACAAAAAACGTTTAAGAATGTCATGATTAACGAGCCGAGGTGAGTGCTCCTCCTCATTAAACCATCTTTGAGGCTCTCTTCCACAAGTGAGAAGCGGAGGGGACACCAGCTGTGCTGTATCCGCAATTAGAGCCTCTGGTATAAAAGGAGGATGGAGACACCACTCGACGCCGGATGATTGCTACAGTTTGGTTAGCCCCTGCCATTTGTATTCGTTTGTTTGCTCGCTTGTGTGATCGTGATTGGATTATTCGGATCTCTGACTCTGGATTGTTTTGGATTACGACCTTGGACCCACCTCTGAAACCTCGTCTGCTTTGCCCTTGTTTAGGAACCCGCTACCACAGTCATTGACTTCGCCGCGAGAACCCCGGGTCTTCAGGACCACGTCCCATCCTCCTCCCCCGCTCCTGCCCTTCCCCTCTCCGCTGCCTCACTCAACAGGACCCCCCTTCCTTGCTCACCTCGGCTCACCACCTTCCCTGTTGGTCTTGGGACTTGAACTCTGGACTAACGCCTTACGGCACCCTACTCACTGGACTTACCAGTGCATCCTCAGTTCCCGTTTTATAATAAAAAATACTTTATTTTTACCTATCCCGAGTGTCGTGTTGATTCTACCATCTGGTTAGCGTCCGCCAAGGGGACGAATGGAAGACAGCCTTCAAGACACAGCTGGGGTATTACGAATATTTAGTGACGCCTTTCGGACTCACCAACGCCCCAGCTGTGTTCCAAAGACTGGTCAACTCAGTACTAGGTGACTATATCAATGACTTTGTTACCGTCTACCTAGATGACTTTCTGATTTTTTCCAGGTCAGTCACCCAACACCAGAAGCACGTCAGATCCGTGCTTCAACGCCTTCTTGAGAATAGACTGTATGTAAAGGCTGAAAAATGCGAGTTCCATGTCCCTGTTGTGAAGTTTTTAGGTTTCGTTCTGGAGAGTGGGCGGTTAAAGGCAGACCTCGACAAGGTACAGGCGGTTGCAGACTGGCCCACACCCTCAACCCGGAAGCAGTTGCAACGGTTCCTGGGATTTGCCAACTTTTATCAGCGGCTTATCCATAACTATAGCCAGACTGCCGCTCCTCCAACCCGTCTCACGTTCCTCGCTAAACCTTTCTCTTGGTCTCCAGAAGCCGAGGCTGCGTTCCGAGCCCTCAAGAGGAAGTTCACGGAGGCTCCAGTTCTCACCAGACCGGATCCAAAGCAGCAGTTCACCCTGGAGGTGGACGCTTCCGACACTGGGGTTGGAGCCGTCCTGTCACAGGTATCACCCTTGGACCATAAACTCCATCCCAGCGACTTCTTTTCACGACGGTTGACACCAACAGAGAGCAGGTACGACGTGGGGGATCGGGAGTTATTGGCAGTGAAGCTGGCCCTCGAAGAATGGAGGCACTGGATGGAGGGGGCGGAACACCCTTTTGTTATCTGGACTGACCATAAGAACTTGATTCACCTCAAGGAAACTAAGAGGCTAAACCCACGCCAATACCACTGGTCACTTATCTTTTCACGTTTTAACGTTGTTATCTCCTATTGGCCAGGGTCCAAGAACACTAAGCCTGATGGGCTTTCGCGCCAACACTTGCCTGAGGATGAACCC